CTCGGCGGCTGGATCAAGAGTCCTCAGCCTCCGAGTCTGATGTTGCCCCACCCCCAAAACGACGTCGTCCCGGCCGTACCTCTGACCGTCCTTCCCCAGTCCAGATGCCTGAGTCGTCGTCAGACTCTGATAGTGACGCGTATGAAGGTCCACGTCGCAGTCGACAGGGGAAAAAGCAACGCCGGAACAACCAAAGTGATCTGAAAAACTCCTACATACCTACACATGGTGAAGTTCGCTTTTCAACACGGCGGGCAAACAAGGTCTGTAATTACAACGAAGAGAGTGACGATAACATGTTTGAAGATGAGTACGAAGAAGGTACTCCTGGGGAATGGACATATACCGTCGATGACACCACACCGGCCATCGACAAGATCCTCTATCATCGCTTCAAAGAAGGTGTAGACCTTGAAAAACCTGATCTAGGTCGCCGTGACTGCGAATACTACACCAAGTGGCAGGGTCTAGCACATTACCATGCAACCTGGGAAACAGTCGATACCCTTGCTAACTGCCGTGGCATCAGGCGTCTAGACAACTATATCCGGAGGGAGATTGAACAGGAGATTCTCTTCATGAGAGATCCCGATGTGATCCCGGAGGAACGAGAGAAATGGAGTCTTGACCGCGAACGATATATTGAGAAAATTGACCACTTCAAGCAGGTCGAACGTGTAATCGGCTCCCGTGAAGTCGATGGTGCGACCGAATACTATATCAAATGGAAACGTTTACCTTATGATGGCTGTACATGGGAAGAAGGAAGCCTCATAAGCAACATGGCTCAAGCCCAGATTGATGCCTACCTCGACCGCTGCTCCCACCCTCCAATCTCCTCCAGAGCAGAGTCTAATCCTGCAACCCGCTCCAAGTTCGAACCTATACATACCAACCCAGACTTTATACAGAACGGTCAACTCAAGGAGTTCCAAATTAAGGGAGTCAACTTCCTTGCTTACAACTGGGTCCGCGGCCGCAACGTTGTCCTTGCCGACGAAATGGGCCTAGGTAAGACTGTCCAGACGGTAGCATTCATCAACTGGCTACGGCATGTCAGACAGCAACAGGGTCCATTCATCGTCATCGTCCCATTAAGTACCATGCCCGCCTGGAGTGAGACATTTGACTATTGGACACCTGACGTCAACTACATCGTTTACAGCGGTCCGGAGCCTGCTCGAAGGATCATCAAAGACTACGAGCTTTTGGCTGATGGCAATTTGAAACGTCCTAAATTCAATGTTCTCCTCACCACCTATGAATATGTTCTGCAAGACGCAAGCTTTTTAAACCAAATCAAATGGCAATTTATGGCAATTGATGAAGCGCATAGATTGAAAAATCGTGACTCACAGCTATATACCAAACTACTTGATTTCAAGTCGTCCTGTAGGCTCCTTATAACAGGAACTCCAGTTCAAAACAACCTAGGGGAACTCTCTGCCTTGATGGACTTTCTCAATCCAGGCGTCATCGAAATTGACGAGAATATGGACCTAAACTCAGAAGCTGCCAGTGCAAAGCTGGCTGACCTTACCCAAGCTATTCAACCCTATATGCTTCGTCGAACCAAATCCAAGGTCGAGAGTGAGCTTCCACCAAAGTCTGAGAAGATCATTCGCGTTGAGTTATCCGATGTCCAACTGGAACTGTATAAAAACATTCTGACCAAGAACTACGATGCTCTCAACCACGGCGGCAAGGGACCTAAACCGTCCCTACTCAACATCATGATGGAGTTGAAGAAAGCCAGTAATCATCCATTCATGTTCTGGGGCCCTGAAGAGCAAGCTGGAGGGAGCACACGGCGGGAAGACCAACTTAAGGCCCTTGTTACTAGTAGCGGGAAGATGATGGTTCTCGATCAGCTCCTGACTAAGTTAAAGAACGATGGCCATCGTGTGCTTATTTTCAGTCAGATGGTTCGAATGTTGAACATTTTGGCTAACTACATGGATGCTCGCGGTTTCAACTATCAGCGTCTGGATGGTACCATTGCCGCCGGCCCTCGTCGCCTCGCCATCGAACACTACAATGCCCCGGGCAGCACTGACTTTACCTTTTTACTCTCCACCCGTGCTGGTGGTCTTGGTATCAATCTGATGACAGCTGATACGGTTATATTATTCGATTCGGACTGGAACCCACAAGCTGATCTGCAGGCTATGGCTCGAGCTCACCGTATAGGGCAAACCAAGCCTGTCAGCGTATACCGTCTGGTCTCCAAGGATACCGTTGAAGAGGAGGTTTTGGAAAGAGCTAGAAACAAGCTGTTGCTGGAGTTCATAACTATCCAAAGAGGTGTTACTGACAATGAAGCCACTAGCCTCAAAAACAAGCTTGCTCAAGCTGGTCATCATGTTAATGAACCTACTTCCTTCGATGATATCTCGCGGATTCTCAAACAGCGTGGACAACGAATGTTCGAGCAATCTGATAACCAGAAGAAACTCGAAGAACTTGACATTGACGCTGTTCTTGCCAACGCTGAAGAACACAAGACTGTCGAAGAGGATGCTATTGAGGTTAGCGGAGGAATTGACTTTATCAATGAATGCCAATATGTTGATGTCAAGTTCGACGATCTTTCATGGGACGATATCATTCCAAAGGAATACCTAGAGAAGATCAAAGCTGAGGAGGAACTAGAAGCTCAAAGAAGGCCACCCCCGAAGGAAGAGCCTACTGAAAACACAAATTCTAATGCCATGATCAGCGATGAACGCGAGGAGCGGAAAGCCAAGAGGCGAGCTCGCCAACAAGTGAATTTGGATGTTGAAATCATGTCTGATGCCGAAGGCCCAGATCCCAGTGCACCTCTAAGTGAGAAGGAATACCGACATCTCATCCGTGCATACCTGAGATATGGTGATATGAAGGATCGCCAGGAAGAAATCATAAAAGAAGCACGCCTCGTGAACCGTGATCTTACCGTTGTGAAAGACGCACTCAATGAGGTCATTGAGAAGGCCACTGCCCTTGAACAGGAGGAAAACAACAGAATTCGTGCCCTTGAACGCGAGGGTAAGAGCTTTACTAAAAAGGAGCGCAAGGCAATCCTTTTCGATCACAAGGGTGTCAAACGCATCAATGCAGAAACTATCGTTAGTAGGCCTGGGGAAATGCGTCTTCTACGTGAGGCTACCTCCAGTTTACAGGACATAACGAGTTTCCGCATACCAGAAGCTACCAAAGGTGCTGATTACTCCTGCTCATGGGGTGCTCGAGAAGACGGAATGCTGTGTCTGGGCATTGCTCGCCACGGCTACGGAGCATGGACACAGATCCGCGATGATCCCGAGCTAGGCCTAAGCGACAAATTTTTCCTCGATGAGCACCGTGTCGACCGCAAGCAAGAGCGACTGAGCGGCAAGGGTGAAGGATCGAAATCTCCTGGGGCTGTACATCTGGTTCGGAGGGCGGATTACCTCATATCGGTTCTTAAGGCCAAAGCCAGCAATGGTTCTAATGCCGCGGCAAGGAAGGCTTTGGAAAATCACCACCGGAATAATAAGAAAGTCAATTCTCGGAATGCTCATCGAACCGTTTCTGCCTCTCCTGCTCCCTCTCTCCCACGAAAAGGTAGAGAAAGCGAAAAGTCGAGGCGCCGTATGCAAAACCGTGCCAGTCGGGATAGTGCGGATGGGTCTCACACTCCATTACGAGATCATCGAGATCGAGATCGGGAAAGAGACCGGGAAAGAGACCGGGAAAGAGACCGTGGGAAACCAGTCGATTCAGATAAAGCGCGCAGACATTCCAAGGAAGAAGCACATCGCCGTCGTAGTGATGATCGTACTCCAACGGGCGGTGACACTACTCTTCGGAGTATCTTCAAGCCCATCCGCGAGCATCTAAGACGAGTGTCACAGGTCACTAAGGAGAATATTCCAAGCAAGTCAAAGCGAGTTGCTGAACTTCGCCGATTACTGCAAGTGGTTGGAGACTTCATTCACGGTATTCTCGATGGTCAAGAAACTGCAGCTTCACTTGAAGAAAGATTATGGTTCGTTTTAATATGTTCCTATCACTTTCATAATTCTGTTATACTAACTTTTACGCAGGGATTACTGTGCTATTACTTACTGGCCGAACAAAGGAACACCAGGGAGCGCACTTCTCACTATGTACGAAAAGATAGCAAAGGATGGGGGACGCGTCGAAGCTTCAAATTAATTCCCCTGCCTTCTCTTACCGATCTTTCACCGAACATCTACCTGCCACCCAACCTACACAAAATATTGACCACATTGCTACCGGATATCACTTCATCATCTCACTACTATATTACATTTCCCGCTATATCTATGTTACTTTTTTCATTTCATTTATTCGCCTTTTATTTGGTTCTCTGGCTTGGAGCAGCCGGAGTTTGCTTGCATTTGTGAACGGCGTTTATTCCGTTTCTTCCTGGTGTGGTATAAGCTCCCTGGAAGAGATAGGGTTGATTCAATATAATCCCCCCCGGCTTCTCCTGCTTCGTCTTCCTCTATTTGCTTTTGCTCGTTCATTTATGTTATGTTCACCCATAGCCTTGCCTGGATTATATGTATTTCTAGATGAGCCACGTTTCCCGTTGCTTTTTACACCGTTTGTTTCTTGTCCTCAAAAGCCGTAATCGCCTTTTTTTCCTTTTCTTTTCTTTTTTTGTTCCTCTGGGGCTGGGGGTGTTTGATCTAAGGGAGCGTTGAGACTTATGAGCGATGAGGCCAGGAGGTATACATAGTCACCAGTAGAGTTTCTTTGACAAAGACACTCGAAAGAAATCAATACAAGCTAGTCTTTCCCTCACATTCATTCCGGTCTACTAGATGGCTTCTACGTAAGCTAGTATAGCGTTGCGTTGAAGTAAAATTTGTTCAAAGCATTATAGTCGTAGAGATAGTGAGCGCTCCGAATAAGCAAGGCAGTATTGATAGTGAATAGGTAGAAACAAGAGAGCAATAAAGGTATCATAACATAAAACGCCAACCAATCGTACGCTTCTTCTGTATCAATTATACTTGACCGTCATCAGTGTGAGACTTCATTTTAGATGTCTGGGCTTGTGGCCGTGTCTGCTCTCCAGGTTGTTCATCTCCGCCATCAGCTTCTTCCGTACCACCCTTATCTTGAGACGGTGGTTTTTTCGTCCGATCTGTAGTCACCTTTTGCGTACCACCATATCTAGGCGGGTCTTGCTCCTGGGTATGTGGGGTGCCGTAGACACGGATTTCACTATGAATAAGATCGTCTAGAATAAGCTCTTTTTCCTTCCAGGTCTTTTTCCTCATTGGCTTTATCAGTTCCCAATTTTTCTCCAGGGTCTTGGATTCCTGTTCTGCCCAATGGATCTGTCGGCGTAGCAGGCGGGCAAGCTGCTCTAGCGGCATTGCAAGTTCGTGTTCATCGAAACCGACTTCTGGGTCGAAAATTGGTATATCACCCTGATCCTTCGTTTTGCCTTGGTCGCCCTTTTGTTCTGATCCATCCAGCTTTTCGGCATTATCGTTTTCTTTTCTGGGTGCCAATTTTAGTTTAATTCGAGGAGGTTTGGAAATGCCAGGTGCTGTCGGATTGGCATGCTGCTTTGCCAGAGCATCGAGAGATTTCAGGGCATCGGTATCATGAACTGTCCTCATATGCTTCGATAGAGCATCCGAACGTGTAAAGCTTCGATCACACTCTAGTTGGCACCGTCATAATTAGCATGATAACAGATATGAGCTAGATGGCTTTGACGCGACTACGTACCTGGCAGTGCGCAATAGAATGGCTTTTCTTTGGTATGGCTTCTCATATGGGCCCGCAAGGCATATCCGCTTGCATGAGCCTGACCCTTCCGAGCACAGTCACCCCATTCACATAGGTACTTCTTTTGTCGTGATCCGATGTGCTCGTCATGTATATGCTTAACAAGCGCATCCATGTCTACAAAATCCTTTGCGCCACAGCCCTCCCAAAGACAGGCTGTAATGTGGTCTCTCCCAGCACCGCTGTAGTCCTCTTCGGGGCCAAGGATAGCCATTGCACCGGGGGAATTTGGTATGGCGCCAGAGCTATCTGACGATATAGAAGCGACAGGAGATGGCGGTGGTATGTCATCATTGACCGAGGATATCGGAGTATGGTGATCCCATGTAGATGCTCCCATCTTGCGGCGCTTCGATGGGTGTACCTGAGGAGGCGAGTTGGAACGGGAGCGCCCCTGGTCTTCGAACTTGACGTCTTCAGGGAATTCCTCTGACGCGAGGGATGAGAGAGGTGAAGCCGGCGATTCAGCCATCGTGAGAGCGGATAGTGAAAGACGGGGAATATTAGTTCTTGTATAGCATCAAACTACCGTCCAAAAGGAGGCCGCCAACTTGTTTTCTTCACTGTTCTTTGTCGATTCTTCAACTTGTTCATTCAGCTTTTTGACGGCGACGTCGAACTTTCCGAGTTTCGCGATATCGAGAGTAACTTTTAAGTTTTATCACGTGCTGAGATTAACTAATCAGCCGGTCAGCTTTTTTTTTTTTTTTTTTTTTTTTTTTTTTTTTTTTTTTTTCTCCTTCTCACTGGAAAGAAACCAACACGAGCAGCGTACGGATAAGTATATGATGAAGCTGTTTTCAATAAGACTGAAACGATATATATATGTATGTGAGTGTGTACTCTGCAGGTGAGTGTTTACTGGCTCTTCCCTTTGCTCCAATGATGAATAACAAGAGAGTTCTGCAATACCGACAATTTCCAGGGTAACACCTGTGGAATTGAATGTTGACATCTCACATACACTTGATCTGAGGCTTCCACATACGCAGCATTGTTTCTTCCATTTTGAATTTGAGAGCAGTATAAGCTAACTGTTTCTCAAGTCCAGTATAGGATGTTCTATGAGATATCATCTATAATGGCGTCAGGGTCACTCTTTGCGGTTTCCTCCCCTTGTCCCAGACAACCGTCCAATAGACAAAAACATCATCACTGTTCGATACACACGCGTATATACACCGGGATGCTGAGCTAGATAAGGATATAGCAGAGCTGCTACTACTGACACAGTCTCCATTCCACTTGGCTGTTTGCATGGCCGGGCCGAGCACCGTCTCAGTACCTTGACCTATAGCCACTTAATCACACTAACCATGCCATGGACCTTTAAATGAACGCAGATACTAGTCAATCGCCATACACACTAGACGGCAATGGGAGGGCCGACGAAGTACAGATAACAAGCCATCATCCTTATCGGCAAATGAAGGAACTGGCTGGCCTCCTTCTCGCCACTTAGCAACTCCAGCTTTAGCTAGTCTGATGCAAACTACCACAGCCTATAGAACATGTCTGCCTAATAGCAACAGCTCTCCTCTTGCCTTCATAGCCGCTGCCATCTCAATCAACATCCCTTGTTTTGCTGTTGAATATGTAGAATGTCCCCTGGTCGTGGGATTACATCACCTCCCGCATCTCTCCGATTCTCGCCCCGCCATAAACAAATAGCAAGCGGCTTTTTCTCCCTCTGTATAAATATCACCCCACCAAGCGCCCGCCCGCCCCTTGTTCTTCAATTCAACTTCAACAACGTCTTCCCCTCGACTAGTTTGCCATCGTTTACTTCTGAATTCCGTCAATTGTGTCAGGATGTCGCTCTCAAACAAGCTAGCCATCACCGATGTCGACCTCAAGGGCAAGAGGGCCTTGATCAGAGTATGGCCAACTACAGCACCCCGCCAAATACAGCCATTGAAGTATTACGGATATAAGAGCTAACTTGTGTCTTCTAGGTCGATTTCAATGTCCCCCTCGATTCCGATTTCAAGGTCACCAACCCCCAGAGAATCGTCGGAGCCCTTCCAACCATCAAGTATGCTGTTGAGAACGGTGCTAAAGCAGTGATCCTCATGTCCCACCTCGGACGACCAGATGGCAAACCCAACCCGAAGTTCAGCCTCAAGCCTGTCGTGCCAGAGCTTGAGAAGCTCCTCGGAAAGAATGTTACCTTCCTGCATGACTGTGTCGGCAAGGAGGTCGAAGAGGCCGTGGCTGGTGCCAGTAATGGCCAGGTGTTCCTCCTAGAGAACCTCCGTTTCCACGCCGAGGAGGAGGGAAGCTCTAAGGATGAGTCCGGCAAGAAGGTCAAGGCTGACCCAGGTGCCGTTGAGGCTTTCAGGAAGGGTCTCACTGCCTTGGGAGATGTCTACATCAGTACGTCAACTGCACATAAGCTATGTCCTGATTAAAAAAGACAACAGTCCATTCTAATCACTATTCAACTCTTAGACGACGCATTCGGCACTGCTCACAGAGCCCACAGCTCCATGGTTGGTGTTGATCTTCCACAGAAAGTCTCTGGATTCTTGGTCAAGAAGGAGCTGGACTACTTTGCAAAGGCCCTTGAGAACCCCCAGCGACCCTTCCTTGCCATCCTCGGAGGAGCCAAGGTCTCGGACAAGATCCAGTTGATCGACAACCTCCTCACTAAGGTCAACAGTCTCATTATCTGCGGCGGTATGGCCTTCACTTTCAAGAAGGTGCTCAACGACCTGAAGATCGGAAAGAGTTTGTTCGACGACGAAGGCAGCAAATTGGTTCAAGGTATCATGGACAAGGCCAAGGAAAAGAACGTCAAGGTCGTCCTGCCAGTTGATTATGTCACTGGTGACAATTTCTCCGCTGATGCCAAAGTTGGCTATGCTACCGACGCCGATGGCATCCCCGATGGCTGGATGGGTCTTGACTGCGGCAAGGAGAGTGTCAAGCTATTCCAGGAAGCCATTGCTGAGGCTAAGACCATCCTCTGGAATGGTCCACCAGGTGTCTTCGAGTTTGACGCCTTTGCTCAAGCCACCAAGGATACTCTCGCCTCTGCAATAGATGCTGCTCAGAAGGGAACCATCGTCATTATTGGAGGTGGTGACACCGCAACCGTTGCCGCCAAGTTCAAGGCCGAAGAGAAATTGAGCCACGTCTCGACCGGTGGTGGTGCCTCTCTTGAGCTTCTTGAGGGCAAGGATCTGCCCGGTGTCTCTGCACTTTCGAGCAAGTGACTCTCTTCCCACGTATGACACGAGTTTTTGCAACCCCCCAGCTTCCTTTCCCTGGTTCAGTTTGCCACCGGGTCATGTTGATATCACTGGAGATACTAATGTAACAAAAATTTCCTAAAGTAAATATATATAACCAAACGAAGAAAAGGCTGTTTAACATCATCCTTCAGTATGAACGTTGGCTCCGGTCGAAGACTGTATATCAGTAAGACTAACGATAATAGTAATATGGCTCGAAGCAGAAAGTGACCAAGATGCAGTAGTGTCAATCCACTTGATTGTCACTATAAAATTTTACTTACACCCCCCAAGTCCCTAAACTCCGCTAAAGAAAACCCCATGAGGCTGATGAGGAAACAAGTAAGAAAGCTGGTAGCAGCACAGATGAGAGTCCATTCTTTCACAACAGCCCAGTCACCGCTTGGCAGCTTCCACCTTTTTAATCTCCTCCCTGTAGAACCGGCCTGTCAGCATCCGTGCAAATGAAGCAGTATATATATCTAGTTTGCTGCAATCGAGAGGGAAGAGAGGGTATATCGGGACTCAACAGAGTACGCACGCTAGTTGTTTAGAGAAGTCCTCACTCGCATCATCGTCATCCCAGCTTTCTTCCCATAGATGGTCGTTGCCAGACCCTCCGCTCGGAGCTTCTGCCTCTTCTTGGGGCCAATCTATAATCGTAACAGCAACGTATAAGCAGACTGATCGTCAACACAAAAAGGAGCAGGCCCATGGCCACTCAAATAGCAGTAACACAAGCGCATACCTTCTACCGGGAAGTCTTCAAACTCGTCATCTTCTTCCAGAGGTGCAGAAAGGTTCTGGGCTTTTTCTGACTGTGCTGTCTCCGCCGACTGAGGTTTGGCAGCACCCTGGGAGGCGGGTTGACTCGACATGGTGGCTGTGTCTTGTAAAAGAAATTAGAGAGAGTTTATTACCGGCGGGCCAGCACGGTCACGGTGCAGAGGAAGATCAGGGAGCGGTACGAGAAAGCCTTTGGTCGATATCCGGCCTGTTGATGATTCTCGTTCTTTTGGCTTTTGCTGTTGATGCGACTTTGGGAGAGCTGTGGCTTATGTAAGCTCCACCAAAAGAGTCCAACCTTTTTCCAACTTCCGCTGCAGCTTCAAGGGACGGCGGCTTCTGATATTATATTGATAAGGCGATGTTGATATTATGGAGATGATGGAAAGATAGCTCGGTCTTGCATTTAGGATACACCGGTAGATTAGGCATCTTAGCTTACTGTCAGGCCATTCAATGCTATCGCCTGCACTGCACCATACTCGAGGCTGAAGGTGCCCTACCTTGCCTTAGCAGCTGTATCTACCTTATTCAAGGCTCCCGTTCTACTCTAAGATGCTGACTACTCCGTAGCTATCTTGACCCCTGAGGTGAGATGAGGCAAGCTAGCCAGAGCCTGTCATTATATTCAAGCGCTTGGCCGCAGAGACCGCCGAGACTTCGGGTGTTTAGTTGCGTCTCAGTCCAACTAAATACAGCCATCAAGGGGGAGCTATTTTCGGAATCTTCCTGGTCCAGATGACGAGTACGAAGATGCCCATAGTACAGAGTACCGCGAAGGATAGCATCATTTATGTTGACGTTGACGGTGACGGTGACGGTGACGGTGACGACGCTACCTGTCCTCGGTTGGAATACGTTGTGAGCCATGGGTCATGTAACTGATAGCAACCAAATGACGACAACATAGGATACTGCGGCCCGAACACAGGATCTCAGCAGCTTAAGCTGTCGAAACCAGTCTAGGAACAGGAACAGGCCAGCCTCCCGCATCTTCAACGCTTTATCTCGTTGCGCTTTAGTCGAAGTGAGACCTCACGTGGCATCTCAGGTCTGTGTGGCGGCGTCAGGAAGCAAAAGGGGAAGAAGCAAACATACAAGCCTTGGTAGCACGGCGGATCTCGTCGCTTGATTGATAGTTAGATCCAGGGCCCAACGCCAAAGAAAGAATAAAAGGAGGCTGTCCAGAGAAAACCCGGAGCAGCCGGTGTTAAAGGGGCTCCCTTGTCTGAATCCTTCCTGCGACTAGTTACGAAAGCTCCTCGGAATCAGCCTCAGCCCAGCGTCCGAACATAGGCCATAGGATGCAGCAACTGGACCGAGACGCAGCAGGCATAGCGGACACATTGGCCGGTCGAGTAGCAGCAAACGCCCATATTGAAGAAGGAATCCTTTGGCCGCCGTCTATTTACAACGCTACAAACACTATGTAACTCCTCGCGCCTCCGAGCCTTGGCGTGACCGAGACTCCGGCTTGGATCCCGTCATCATTCTCCGTTCTTTTTCGCTGGGGCGTCTTGTCTCTCGCCCATCCGGTTTGTGTTTCTTGTGTGTTTAGTTTTTTATATACGGCAGCCGTCTGCACCGCCGGCGAGGGAGACGAGAGAACGACAGGCAGACATCCGGCGGAGAGTGAGACAGAAGCGTCCCAAGGCTACAACTCGCATAATTTATGCCAGCCATCATCCATGGCCATGCTGCAGGGATAGGGGGTCCTTAAAAAATAAGTTCCGCTCCCGGGCTTCATCCTGCTAATACTATCCGGCTGTCTATCTGCCTGCTGTCATTCAATCTGCTTCACCAGAATAATATATAACACACCGGCCACTCACTCCATAAGCCGTCTGCCGTCCTATTGAATGCGTATAGCAAGTCACCTTGCTGGTGATGAATTAAAGTAGTGCCTGCTACTACCTTCAGCAGCCCTTCTTCTTCTGCTCTTGCTTGTTTCTTTCTCTATCTCTATCTATATACAAAATACCAAAAAGGGCGCTTAAAAGTGTTTTATTTTATTTTTTATTTTATTTTTTTTTTTGTCTTTTCTTTCCGTCTTAGCTTCTCGCACATAACCAAATCCTTATATGCCTCTCTATCTTCTTTGATACCAGCCTTACCTCACCCTTCTATCCTCATCCTCTGTTCTTCTTCCCTTTCTTGCTATTAAAGCTGCGTCTAGCTGGTGAAGATAGCCAATATGTTCCGTGTGGGATCATGGCTGTACTCCAAGGCAGCTCCAACAAACGCGTCTACTCAGTCTCTGGATGCTGTCACTGAGTCCCAAGACCGTACGTTACTTATACCTCTTCTACCATTAGAAAAACACCTGCTAATAGTTTATTCCCTTCTATAGTTGAACATGCATTAAAAGGTATTCTTCTATAGATATTTGATATCTATTTTTATAACTTTACTAACGGTTTTCCGAAGCTGCTGCCTATATTATGGATGATGATGTTGATTCAGCAGAGAGAGACCTTGATAAAGGCGATTCATCTTTTCACAAGGTAAACAGCAGCTGGATATCTGTTTCTATTCTCAATAACCAGCTAACAGTTTCCTTTGTATAGCTAGGAAAAGGCATTGTCACCTTTGTTAGAGCTACACTTGGCCTGGAGCAGGATATTATGCGGCAAGGTATGGCTCGTTTTAAAGAGCAATCTTTGCCTATGATACTGACTGACACTATGCTATAGCTGCTTCAAGGCTTATGGATGCTGAAACAAGTGCCTATAATGACCAGCATAAAGCTCAGCACAATGCAAATGCTGTCAATGCCTACCATTCTACTATATATGCTCCCGGGACCGAGTACTTGCTATGTCAATGTATGGCCCAGCTCATGGCCGCCCTGGTGGGAGTTCTCAGCGAGAGTTTTTCGGAGAGCATAAAGGCATTCTATAAGCTGAGAAAGGCTTATATTGCACTCGATAGTATTGCTCAGATGGAAGAAAAGTACCTGAAAGAAAACAACCTCAGCCTTGGAGTCGATTCACGCTTCGAGAGTGCCAATGGTAGCCCCGTTCCAGGGAGACCTGCAAGAACTGTAGACTCTTCGTCGCAAGGTACTGTTTGAACCTGAAATCTTGCTCATGGAGCACCTTCTGGACTAACATTACTAACATTACCAGCAGAACCAAAACCAGAAGCTAAGGCTCCCCTTCCAAGATCAATGTCAGCTACCTCCCTCGAGGAGGTTACAAATGAAAGTTTTCAGAGCTCACAGAGACGACTTTCTCGGCTTACTTTGGGAAGTGAAAGTGATGTTTCCAAAGTAGCCGAGGGGCCACAGGCCAAGCTTGACATGGACGGGGATGTCGATATCTTCTCCCATCCCGTAGACCATTTCATTCACTCGGGAACCAGTCTTTGCTTTGGTATGCTGCTTCTGTTCATCTCCATGGTACCTCCAGCTCTCAACAGGATCTTATATATTATTGGTTTCCGTGGTGACCGATCCCGAGGGCTACGGCTGCTCTGGCAAGCTAGCCAGTCTCATACATTGACGGGAGCTATTTCTGCCCTGACCTTATTAGCATTTTACAACAGTTTCGTGCGTGCAGCTGATATTTTGCCTGACCCCGTTGATGGAAATGTGGATGACATCGAGGGCTATCCAATGAGCCGACTTGAGAGTTTGCTCGCAGATATGAGGAGCCGTTTCCCTCACAGCCAGCTCTGGGTCCTTGAAGAGTCCAGAATGCGAGGAGCTAACAGGGAGGTAGAAGAGGCCCTGAGATTGATTCGTAATGGGAAGAAGAGCCCTCTGAAACAGGTCCAGGCTCTCCACGTTTTTGAGAGGAGTATAGATGCCATGCATCTACACCAGTACGAGCTATGTGCCGAGTCATTCATAGAGGTACAGTAATTCCCAAAGCTAGCCCAGGTAATACATCGGTACTAATTACTGTTCCCAGTGCTCCGAACTTAACTCTTGGTCCCGGGCATTGTATTTCTACATTGCCGGCGCCGCACATGTAGAACTTTACCGCAAATACCTTAAAGAGTCACCAGAGAAGGCAAAAGAGCATGGTAAAAAGGCCGAGGAACTCTTCCGAAAAGCGCCATCTCAGGCAGGAAAGAAAAAATTCCTGGCACGCCAACTTCCCTTCGATGTGTTTGTTACCCGCAAGGTTGCAAAATGGGACGCTCGCGCGAAGGAGCGGAACATTCCCTTCATCGATGCAGTCGGTGTATCACCAATCGAGGAGATGAATTTCTTCTGGAACGGGCACAGCCGCATGCCCGACGAACAGTTGGATGTCGCGCTCCAAAACTTAGCGTGGTCAGAGTCCAACGAAACATGGGCTTCTGAACCACTTGATGAACACTCCATATTAGCTCTCCTCAGGGCTTCCCTACTGCGAGCCCAACGGAAACATGAAGAGGCGAAGACTATCCTGAAATCTGAGATTCTATGCCACGACAGGGCGCTATTCAAGGGTTCGAATAAGGACGACTGGACCTGCCCATCAGCACATTACGAGATGGCTGCAAACATATGGATGGAACGCCATTGTTACCGACCTTTCGGCCGTGCCACCTCTATTCCAGCATCTGATAAGGATGATCAGCGCAAGGACGAGGCAACCCGTGCAGCCGAGGATGAACGACGGGTACAGGAATGTAAGGAGTGGCTTGAGAAGGTATACAGGTGGGAGACATATGAACTGGACGCTCGGATCGGACTGAAGGTCACCACTGCGCAGGAAACAATCACCAAATGGGAGGAGGCCCACACCAAATAACTAACTGGATTGCCTCGGACCATATTTATCAAATCCCATGTCACATATCTAATAACGTTCTCTGCAGCTAATACATCCCTTACCGGCTTCATCTTATCCATCTTTCTTGCACTATTTCGAGTGCAGTTGTTACTATTCACACCTTTCGTCTGGAACAGTAGCTGCTGGAGAATGCCGATGCCAGTCGCCACGGCTACTAAACTCCCGCAAGTGTTCTCCACCATAAGAACACCCCAGCCTCCAAGGTTATCAGATTTGTTCCGACGGCATCAAGTACTCCGTCAGTACGGAGTATACCATATCTATGTGTTTAGAGTTTCTAGATGGACATGGCTGGCAAGTATCTTTTATCTAATTAATTCCCCCCAGTAGCTTCAATCTATATCACCAAACTAAGTCTACGCTATATAGTTCACATGGCAGTATCGCCACTTTCTCTGCCAGTGCCGTTGCAGCAACCACCTTTCTGCGGAGCATGTGTGCTAGTGCATTCTCCCTTTTCGTGAGATCAATGCATGCGAAGCTGGAGATTCCATGGGCAATCAGTGTGTTAGGATTTATAAGTATTGTCCTCCTTCCCACCCCTTATCTCTTTTGCTTTCATGGGGCCCAAAAATTCGAGCAAAGGGTCAGTGGTCTCGTTCATCATTATAACCGAAAGAAGTTCCGTATATGCTGTGCCTTGACCCATGGAACAGGCAGGCCTTACATTGGGCAGGTTAGATTCTCTTTGCACATCGCCCCTGTTAGCAATGATAATACGTTGGCTAGACTTACAGACGTAGAGTGGTTCCTAGAAGCCATCTTTCTACCGATAAAAGGATATTTTGATCAATAATCTCGAATAATTGAATTGCTTGACTGTGGACGCTCAATAGCAAAGGAGTATTCTACTGAAACCAACATTCCTAAAACCAGACCATCCCACACTGATAAAATAAAGCCACTTATGAAACACCAGAACTATCATACACCAGCCATTTCCATATCCTCAACTGCCCCAAATTCCCAGTCTCCGCTTCGAATCCTGCTTACTCGGTCCAACTCGCTCTGATACTCCTTGCGAAGGTCTTCAAGCGTAATGACAATGCGTTTTGCACGGTTGATTTTCAGCTCAGACGATGACCGTGACAGGCTCGTATTGTGATTCTGAAGAGTAGGCGAATCAGATGAATTCATACTGCGACTATCGGCACTGTGTGAGAAGGGGTTCTTAATGGAGGAAGTAGAGGAGGTGAATGGATCGTCAATGCTGCTACTTGGTCGATGGAGAATTGAATTCATGCTATCGGGTCGATTTGCGTTTGGATCAAATTGTTCGACCACAATGTATGCTTCGTTCTTCTCCATACAGGCAAGTAGGTTGATTAGAGAGAGAAGCTCGTTTCGCAATTCTCTGCTCTCAATGTCGTCCTCGTTCAGATCATTGGAAGCGTCTTCGGCCGCAAAGAATTTCACCTTTGAGGCAGTTGGATGGTCCCTGAGGTCCCTGAGCCTGCTAACAGTTTGATATGAGATTTCTGCTGCCCCGCGGATGTCATTGCGGGCGATTCGGTAAGCCTTTAGGACACGATGATATTCTGGTGGGTTTTGGGCCCCCTGCCAACTGCTCAAGGGTACCGTTTGGCCGATAGAAGGTCCCAGGGGCGATTGTTTGCTCGCAAGGGATGCCAGAACATCATCAACATGGGAGCAGAGATGAGGTGTCAGGGAGAGAGGGAGGCGGAGAACCTTTTGTAGACCTGCTGTTCCCGGTCCATAAGCAGTTAGGATTGTAGTGGTAAGAGATGTTAGCGCAGATTTCTGTAATGCTAGATCTGTATATCTGGCGAGAGCTGAATAGGCATCATCAAATCGACATGTTTTCAAAGATGCATGGAATAATCGAGAAAGCAAGTCGCTTCGAAGATTCTTATGTTCAAGATCTGTCTCGTTTTTCTTTGGACTGGATCCAAGAGCCTGAAGCGCAAGGTTGGCGAAGTCGGCGACATGAATAAAGGCTCGAGAAAGCTCAAAAAGGTTAACAATGTGTTGGAAGTATCTCGGAAGCCCATTGTAGAAGTTATCTACGGAAACTATATCGAGAAGATTTGAGGACATCTCATGAAGATTGCCAACAGCTTTTCCGTAGGCTATATAATTATACTGGTCAATGAATGTGCACTAGGATCTCATATGGGAAATTGACTTACAAAGAAGGTAAGCAGCCTTTTGGAAGTAAATTGCTGCTGTGTCAAAATCGGACTTTGCTAGGTATAGCCGTCCCTTAACATAGGTTGCCCAGGCGGTACTTGGTTGGAAACGAAGGAAATCAGATGCAAGTTCGATGTTGTCGGAGGCGAGAAGATCACACTGGATAAACACCAAGATGTTAGAGAGAGACACTTCCCCTTGTCTTGTAACCCAGGATATGACGTCTTGAATTTGCTGCGTCATCGCGTACATCTGGGGTACACATGCAGCAGGCTGAGGCTTGATGTGGATTGCGAATAGATCTTCCAGAACGGTAGTGCAGTGGTTGAATTCACAGCTTTTTGAACCAAATCGAACAGATGTCGAATCAGATCTGTTCTTTTTCTGTCGGGGTCGTATATTTGTCCCTAACCATATCATCAATTCATACTCCTTTAGTAGGTCAATCAATGTGCTAAAAATCATTGGCCCGTCAAATTGAGTATTCTCCGCCTCTAGGTTCACTTCGGTCTCGACAAACACGGCAAAAAGTAATAAATCATGGATGATTTGTCTGCTTTGAACTAGGACCTCTCTGGCTCCGTGGGTTATTGCGTTGCGTCCAAATGCCGTAGACTGGAGTTCAGAATCCTTTCCTGGGAAACTCAGAGGCAGTGTATCAATGATGGAGAAAAATGTTTCATTCGTAAGACCTTTGTATCCAATGGTCTCCTCGATGCTTGCACAGCCAGCTTCAAACAATTCTTCAGTAATGAATTCTGCAAACCCACAGCTGGAATGGAAAGCTTCAACTCTCTCCGCTGCGGAAAGCGAAGGCTCGGCAAAGATTTCATTATCCAATGCCGTCCGGCATGACTCGCTAAGTGGAGCTGGGAAAAGTTTTCGGAATCTCATTGCGAGGTTAGCAAGACTTGCAGATTGGCCAGGGTTTTCTCCTAGTTCACGAGGTATATTTCTATGTGGCCAACAAGTTTCCAAAACGTCGATACCATTGCCTAGAGTTTCTCCATCGTTGTGCAACATAAGCTCGGTACCATCACACTCTCGAATAATAGCCGATCCGCCGCTGAATATTAGCCAGGGAAGGTCGTTATAGGCATCATAGGCGAGGCTTATCGCTTCTTGTGTTTTCTTGTAAATGTCTTCAACAATCTGCCAGAATTGCTGCCACTTCGCTTCCAGATCTCTGTAGTACTTTGAAAAGTCCATTTCCGTATCTGGGAGCTGCCGTAGGGTGACAGATTGGGTTATTGTTGTGCAGACATCCTGCTGTAGTGATGATGATGTGGAGTTACTGCTTAAGGAGCGAGTGTGCTTTAGTTTCATGGCATCCTGGTAGATTACCAAAGCAGTCCGGAGAATCTCAGGTGAGTATCTTCCAGGCGCAAAGAGGTACTCGATCCATCTCTCTTGGGTATCTGTCGTATCTGACCGTACCGAGCTTGGAGGCGTATTGTTTCCAGGGAATGTGAACGATGTCATTGTCCAATTGGTGTTCCACACCTTGGCCAGATCGACTAAATCAAAGTGAATGCTATAAAGTCGGTAAGAGTTATGGCTTTTCCAGAGGACCCAAAGTGCCATATTTCTGCCTTCGTCCATTGACTTGATTTGGAAGTCAACCACATTCCAGAATACGCTGCCAGACGGGTCTGGATCTGCAGGCTGAAGTTTTGAATCCGGGAAAAGGTCCTCGATCACCAATTGGCCTGTAATCCCACCCCCAACAGCCCAGAATTTAAACTGCCCATCATCCTGAGGCGAGTATGTTACAACATAGTACATACTGCCCTCTGACGCCCTTTCGGCTGTGAAGACCCGAATGAATGCGGACTCATCTGGGTTTAAGGCCATGGGCGAAGTATCCTGGGATTGGCTGGTCCGGTTCAACAAGTCCTTTGACCCAACGAGTTTTTGGCTCGCTAGGTTCCAGACCTTTAAGGTGTGGTTCAACCCAACCACGAAGACAAACGCCTGATCTGAGGTTGTTGCAATCGCATTGGGGGTGTTAGGGTCTAGGGATCTGCCATAATATTGAACTGCCTGGTCGCCACTCCACTTGACGAGGCCGCGTAAAGAAAAGCTCCAGCTCTTTTCATCAAAGGTAATAGGGAACCAGTGTGATCCTGAATAAAGTATACAATTAGTGATCCGTTGAGAAGAAAAAGAGGGGGAAGAATTGGACATCAGAGTGGAAGCATACCATCATCACCGACTTTCCTTGTCAGACGCAAAAGGGATCCGCTGTCAAGAGAAATAAACAGCTCATAAGGCGAGGCAGCGTACAACCGGTGTGGAAACGAGAACCCCAACGGCGCCGGACTGCACGTCTTACACCAATCATTTATGTTCTCGTCTATCAACTCTAGCTTCCGGAAGTATTCAGGTCTCATCGTGAACGTGTACAATTGCTTTGATCTCAGTAGAACAAAAACACTGAGTGATTCATGGCCCTCTACGTCAGCCAGAGCCACGCCATGCGGTACGATGGCATCCTCAAACTCAAGTCGAATAGCAACGTTCGATTCATGGTGGTCCTGTGAGCTCTTCGTCAAATCAACAGCTCTGAGTTCAAGACAGGTGCTGTCTTCAATGACCCGCCAGAAGAACGATCGAGGATAGGTTTTGCGCTTGCGGAAGTAGATAGAGCTCTGGGAGGCCAAGTATCTCTTTGCGAACGCGTCTTCGTCCCGTATGGCTGTGTCGCGGGCACTCGAGGAGGTCGTTGTTGAGATTTTGGCTCGTTGCTGAGCTCCATGCGATTTGATGGCGACCGTCACGGCGGGGTGCTGCGTGGTTGGGCCAATATCGACCTTGGTGCCCCTGTGAGTTACCAACATCTTCGTTATAGCGACAGGAAACAGATCTGTCCCATCTGCAGGAAGGCTAGGCGTAGGAAAGACGGTGCTGTGGCATTGCTTCTTGTTGGAGCTTGTTTCTCAAATGTCGATTTTATTATTTTTCAAAACTTGAAGATGGAGTTTAGCGCGTAAAATATTTTAGGTTGGCCAATACAAACTCTGTATCGACGCCGTATTTATCAAAAACACCAACAACAACACAGCAATGAAGGATGATGAACTGTATTAGAATCAATAATATTTACGCTCGTTAATCGTATTTTTATTCTATAAGGGCATAATATAGACGGAGGAATCGTAATCAGTATGCATGAAAAGAGAGACAATGAAAGTTCCCCAAACGCCGCAGCTAAATGAGTAGCAAAATCACGTCGAAATTGAGAGGACAGATCTAGATCATGATTCCTTCTCTAGATCTTTGGGACTAGGGTCGCCAATGCCATCTTCGTTAATGGCAAACAGACAGTCACTCTCTGGAAGACACGGACTGTCGTAGATCTTGCAAATTCGGGTCTCCCCTCTGCCTTTCTTCAAACTCAGTCGCGTGGTGCTCGCGTGGGCAATGATGTTACCGCCGATGGGCTTCTTGGGATCAGGATTGAACATTGCGCTTGGTCCACCGTCGACTTGTGCAACAACCTGGTTAGTAATTACGACAGCGACTCCGAATTCATCGGCAAGCCGTTGCAGGGTGCGCATGAATCGAGCCAGATGGTTCTGTCTTGACGATAGCTCTCCACGGCCACTGAAATCCGTCCGGTAGAGCGAGGTGGCAGAATCGACGATGAGAAGGGAGAACCTCGTCTCGCACATCATCTGGGATGCCTGGTTGAGCAATTGAAGCTGGTGGTCGGAGTTGTAGGCACGAGCGTAAGCAACGTTGTCTAGCACTTCTTCGCCAACGAGACCATACCGTTGTGCTACGGCTAGCAGACGCACGGGTCGAAACGTTCCTTCGGTATCGATATAGAGACACTTGCCCTCACCACCACCCATGTCGAAAGGTAGCTGACAAGTGACAGCTAGGGTATGGCATATTTGGCTTTTTCCTGTTCGGAATTCGCCAAAGAGTTCTGTAATGGATCCTGTCTCGATGCCGCCGGCAAGAAGGGTGTCAAGCTGCTTGGAGCCAGTAGTTATACATATCAAATCCGCTCGACGAGAGTGCATTTCGGTCGCAGTCGTGAACCCCATAGGCACAATTTTAGCCGCTATAAATCAGTATTAGTGGATCGTTCATATTACTAACGTTGAAGGAGAGGAGTATAACCTTCTGTCAGTATCTTTGTAGCCTTTTGCTCTGAAATTCCTTTGATCTGCTCCAACACCCGCTTCGGCCTAGGCAGGGTCAGCTGGTGCTGCAATGAAGACAGTCAAAGCGGGTAGCACGTTGACTGAGAAGAAAAGAGAGAGAAGGATATAAGGAAGAAATACGTATATGCCACTGCTTCGACGGTATGAAAACCTCCATCAGTAATCAGTTTGATATCTCGTGCGGTTAGGCCTCCAACGCCCTACATGGAACAAGACCCTGTTAGTACCGTCTGAGCGGAAGAGTAGAGGCTGCACAAGAACATCGATAACCAACCTCGAGGGCAGACAGAGGCGTAGGTGCTCCTGGTCCTGGCAGGCCGTTATCATCCAGCTCGGCCTGCGATGCCTCCTCTGTAGTCATCTTGGTGGGCTATGATTGCGCGCGTCTCGGTACACGTGTTGATCGACTCCAACAAGGATACGGAGTAGATTCCGTAGGACTGGACCGGGAAACAGCAATACAAAAGAATAGACTGGCAGGACAACGAGCCAACACTACACGCAATATCAAGGCCGAAATGTCGACGGCTCGATCGTGTTGATGATTTTGATGTTTTTCGATGTTGAAAAGTCAAGACGCGTGTTCACGTGATGTAAATAGCCAACCTAAATTAAAATGTCTTCCAATTCCTTTTAAAAGGCGGATTCTCGCTCTGTTTCTACAGAATTAACGACTTTGTATAACCAGATTAATTATTAAAGAGACGGCTGGTGGAGGGCAGCCGGTAGAGAAAAAGTAAAGGGGGAAGTCTTCCTGAGTAATATTGTAGGAGACTCATATGCAAGAAACACGCCAGAAGAATCAAATCTGTCGTTAGTTATCATCATCGAGGCCGTAAGATGAGAGCGGGCTCTGGCAGCATGCATAGCTGCATCGACACTGTCAAAGAGAGTCGATATCTCTTTAATTCATTTTCCGGACTCAGGCCGAGACAGGCTGTTGTCTCCATGGTCCTCCGAGCTGGCCGGTCTCCGCTACATGTGACCGTCGGTGGGTGTGTAGTGCCTGTAGATGATCTTCGTCTCCCACGGGGATATGGCTATTCGACTGGTTTCTTGAGTGATGTACGGCTCTGGGGACCGCTTGCAGACCTGTCTGCTCTGTGCCTTCGCCTTCTATCAAACCAAGATGAGTCAATATATCTCTTTCCCGCTCAAGGTGAAGATAGGGGTTTTGGTTGATACATACCAGCTCCGTTTGGAGGCGATGACAGACTCGATTCGTACGAGATTCTTGTGCTAGAAGAGTCTGAACTGGAATTCTTATCGAGCCCTCTGGCTACGGCAGCCTTCAGTCCGTTCGTCGTGAGCAATGACTCGTCCTGTCTGCGTCCCAGGGCCGAACCTCCTCCCCTAGGAGACGGGAGGGCGGCAGCTCCAAGGTCGATATTGGACGGGGTACCCGGCCTCGTTGTTTCAGGGGTCGCAGCTGGAATCGGACTCGGCAAGGGAGTGTTCGTCTTAGATACCCAGATACCTTCAATCTCGATTCCACTCTCCAGAGCACGAGATCCAAAGGGTATGAGGTTGAGATCCTTTGTTCCAATAGTCGCTTCTTCCTCCGCTTTCTTAAGTTTCTCTGCTGCTCCAATCTTTTTTATCCTCCAGCTGTTGTATATATGGACACATGTGCCGTACACGAGAACAAGCGCCTGATGTGAAGTGTTAGCAGGACCGGAGCCTGGACGGGGGAAGACAGGCCTATCGGCATCCAAAGCATACAATAAGACCTCCAAGCACCTGTGTCCGCATATTAGCACCTGAATATACATGATGGAGCTGGAAAACGATATCTGGATATACTCACAAAGCACATCTTCTGCCATAGCTCCCAGTCCACCCAGAATCCCATCTTGACTGATGAACGGCAGACGTAACAGCTGTCCGTCTTGTTTATTCAATCATGAAAGAGACGTATCTCTGGCTATCCAGCAGGAAATAAAGCTCCAGCAGGGAACAAAGCGACTTCAGGCCGGTCGTAGGGAACTTGAGTGTTGGCTTTTGCCCGCAAGCACTAAGAAGTGGATTTGGTGAATTGTAAGAAAAGGAGCAGCTGGTCGTCACTGCCTTTGCTTTTTGGTATAATAATTTTGTATGCAGCAACAAGGAGAAGAAGAAGAAGAAGAAGAAGATGATGATGATTCAAAGCTCGTCGGTATCTATGGGAGTAGATAGATACCCGGGTGTTGCTCTTTATTGCTTCTCCCGTCCAGTTAACTAGTTACCGCTGGTCTCCACGCAGATGTGGTGGAACAAGGGAGCCCGCAGGACGGGGGATATCGAGAACAGAAGAGACGAATAGGGATGATTACGGGCAAAGATTATACATACATATACATACATATATATAAACTATTTGAGGGAAAAATGAAGGTGAACAAGCAGGTAAATATATGTTCCCTGGACAGAGTCGCATCCGCCACTGTAGACGGCCCCGTTTCGTCACTGACTAAATGCAACAACGCAGGCCTAGAGCGCTTGAGTCGGGCGGCGAATGTGAGACATGGCCGGCATGGCATTGCTTTTAGGTGCATGCAAGGTGATAGAGGCTATTCGACGGACATGCTACGAGGGAGAGAGGAGACAAGTCCGTAGATCAGGGATCTCGAAGCGATCGATTCGACCCGAGGGCTGACACCTGGCATGAAGCTTTTATATCGCTGCAGCAGGCCACGCTGATACGCTTCTATAATTCCTCACCCCTCACACCTGCTACTTAGCTACTAACTACTCCCTTGCTGCAGGACGTCATGCAGAGGCAGAGATCTTGACCATGGGTCGATCGGAGGCTAGTTAAGCATGCGCTGGCGCCGGCTCGTTCGTATCTTTGCCTAGTGTAACTCTGCTTGGCTAACGAGTTCTGATAGCAGCGATTGTTGGCTGGCGATACAGACAGGCACGCATGCTCTGCTAATTCCTAGGCTCTGCTCCGTATGGCCTGATGCACATCCATCACTATTATTATTATTATTTAATCGAGGCTCGTTTCTAGGCTGTTTTGCGAGGGGGAAAGAAATATACATCCACACCGTCCGTTGCCTGTTTGACCCTGTTGGCCATGCCACCCTTCCGTAACCTGTTTCCTCGGCGGCCCCCAGCCGTCAATGTGGAAGAGGCGCCGGACGAGCCAGGCCAATTACTGTCTGCAGAGAAAAGTCCAGCAAGAAGTCCACGGCCGTCGCTGACCCTCGGGAGGACCAAAGTCGACGAGCCTCATGAATATAAAATGAGTGGTAAACGCTTCTGCCATCTGCGATCCTGATATCCGGACGATCCGGACGTAAGGAGCATCATCCATAAATCTGCCATATGGATCACATCCCCTCTATCCCTGATTTCTGATCCACGGGTGCCTAATAATAACTAGCGTGCTCTCTCAGACATGGCTGACAGGTGGTCTCTCTTGCAGTCGTGAATGACAACGGGGTCTATCTTCCGGTATGAGGCTGAATTGCATGCACATAACTCCCGTAATGCTGTATATCCCTTACTGATACGACTATACAGCCCTCGCCCACCGAGACGAAGAGCTACTGGCAGAGGCCATCGTCTCGAAAAGCCAGCCGGAACCTCGTTGATGAAAATGAGCCCTTCTCAATATCGCGGGAGTCGTTTGATTCCTATCGTCGTTCATTTGTAAGACTCGACTACCACCAACGAAGAGAGACACCGGTCCATCCATCGCAGTTCTCATGGCTAATCGCTGTACTCCATATAAAACCCCATCCAGGACATATCCGCTCGGTCTCCCGTGAGCCAGCATTCGGACATTGCTGCATCTCGCACCTCACTGGACTCCCGCCTGTCCCGGACCACCTGTCCCCGTTCATCAACAAACGGCAACTCCCTCGAACCCCCCATAGACAGCAATGGCGTGGACGACGTAGAAGATCCGTTCGAAGACGTCTCCCTAGCTGATGATTCCAAACCGAAGAAAAGAGGGCTGTTCTCTCGCTTTGGTGACTCGCCTGCGTCCCAGCAGACACCCGGAAAGCATAGCTTCCACTTCCCCGGTAGACGACGGGATCAAAGTGGGCAGGGCGCCGAGCTAGCAAGCATAGACCGGGCCAAATAGCTCACACTAACCAGAGCCCAGGGTCTTGTCTAGTATATATGCTGTTTTGCTATGTTTGACATTAATATTGTACTCCGTATGATTGGCATTGATGAATGAGCCCATAGTTGGGCCGCTGGGGCTACTTAGGGGTCACATTTCCTTCCGGCCTGCTGCCATCTGCCTTTCCCAGCTGCCGAGCTGCGTTCCCCCTTTGCTGCTCTCCAGGCGTTCTGGCTTCTTCCTCCCCTTTTGTTTGCTTCTTTCTTTTCTTCTTTTCTTCTTTCTTTCTTTCTTTCTTTACTGCATTTTTTTTTTTTTTTTTTGTTTTTGGGAAAGTCGCAAAGAGCCCGATGTACATATCACGTGAGCGTCTGCTTAGTCATCTATCAGGCTTATGCAAACAGTGCAAACATAAAAAACTTCCCCAAACTCAAAAATATAAAAAAAATAAAAAGTAGAAAAAAAAAAGTAAAAAAAAAAGATATTATTGAGATTCACTTGAAGGAGCTCATTTTTTTGGAGGTGGTTTCTGCGGCTGGAATATACACGATGGCGGGAGTAAAGCGCAGGACCGATGCTACGGAGGCCTCCCTCAGCAAAAGAACCAAGTCGAAGCCGTTGGCGAAGCCGGTCGAAGTGAAGGGCAAGTCCAAGTCAAAGGCCGCAAAGGTGGTGGAGGTGGACAGTGATGAGGATATGCTAGATGACGATGACGACGATCATGATGAAGAGGAGGAGGAGGATAACTACGAGGATGAAGATGAAGAGGATGAAGAAATGGAGGAGGAGGAATTGAGCAATGAGTCTGAGAAAGACGCCGCAAAGGGCAACGGCAATGCCAATGGCAATGCAGAAAACAGTACGAAGCCATCCGCCCCGGATTTCTACAGTCTACAGCAATTACAGATACTAATAACTGGCATGAACAGAAACAAGCACGTCTAGAGAGTCCCACGCAAAGCAAAAAGCGCTTGCACAAGAGCGCAAAGCCGCCCGGCCCAATGCCGATGCCATTGCGCGCACAAAGAAGATCTGGGAAAGACTACGGCGGAAGTCCCATGTGCCTCGCGAAGAGCGCAAGAAGCTGGTTGCCGAACTATACGGCATTATAACAGGCCGGGTAAAGGACTTTGTTTTCAAGCACGATTCAGTCCGGGTTATCCAGACCGCGCTCAAGTATGCGAACCTGGAGCAGCGGAAGAACATTGCCGTCGAGCTGAAGGGCGACTACCGGAGTTTGGCAGAGAGCAAGTACGCAAAGTTCTTGCTTGGAAAGTTGCTTGTACATGGGGATGCAGAAATCCGGGACTTGATCATACCAGAGTTCTTCGGCCATGTGAAGAGGCTTATCCGGCATCCAGAGGCGTCGTGGATCTTGGACGATATCTACCGAACCGTGGCCACACCGGTGCAGAAGCACAAGCTGCTTCGAGAATGGTATGGGATGGAGTTTACGCTTATGAAAGACGAGATTAGCGATGAGACGCCGTCGCTACCTGAAATCCTGGAGAAGAGTCCCGAGAAGCGTGCACCCATCCTGCAGCATCTCCATGGGATGATAAACCAGCTGATCCAAAAGAAGACCACGGGCTTCACCATGTTGCATGATGCAATGCTGCAGTACTTCCTCAGCACGAAGCCCGGCAGCGAGGAAGCAACCGAGTTCATCGAGCTGCTCAAAGGAGACGAAGAAGGGGACCTAGCAAAGAACCTGGCATTTACCAAGTCTGGTGCCAGGCTGATGTGTCTGGCGCTGGCGTACTCGAATGCCAAAGATCGAAAGTTGCTGCTGCGAATGTACCGTGATACAGTGAAGCTGATGTCTGGAGACGTCCACGGCCACACTGTGCTCTTGGTCGCGTACGAGGTTGTGGATGATACCAAGTTGACTCAGAAGCTGCTGCTTTCCGAACTGCTTACCCAGGACGACCTGGTACCGCGGGCCAACGATCAGCTGGCTCGCATTCCCATACTCTATTCGTTTGCCGGCAAGAAGAACGGGTGGCTGATTACCGATACAGACCGCCAGATCCTCGATGAAGTGCGTGAGATTCGATCGCAGACGTCCAAGAAGGATCCCGAGATCCGTCAACGAGAGCTCGTCAGCGCGGCCTCTCCGGCTCTGCTCGAATGCATTACCAACAACGCGGCTGCCCTGGCCGAGACCAGCTTTGGAGCCCGTTTCATCACCGAGGTCCTTTTCGACAGCACCGGTGACAAAACCGCTGCTCTCGAGGCTGTGGCGGGCCTGGCAGAGGCAGAGGGCGATGTCCTCAAGTCTCCCAACGCCGGCCGAATGCTCAAGGCCCTCGTCCAGGGAGGGCGGTTCAACAATGCTACCAAGAAGGTAGAACCCGTCCAGCCTCCGCTCAACTTTGCGTCCCTTCTCTACAAGCACATCAAGGACAACGTGCAGTCGTGGGCCACCGAGTGGAATCCCTTTGTCATTGTTGCCCTGCTGGAGTCCGAAGAGTTTGACAAGCGAGACGAGCTGGCAGCTACCTTGAAGAAGAGCAAGAAGCGGCTAACGGAGCTGGCCAGCAAGCCCAAGGGAGACGGAGAAGAGAAACGAGACCCTGCCAGCAGCGCTGCAAAGCTGCTCCTTGAGAAAGTCGCCTGAAATAGGTAGTGAACAAGCCAGCCGCTGCCATGCTGTGCTCCAATAATAATATATATGCCCCCTGCTCTGTCATACATACATACCCTTGGGGCAACAACTGATACAACCATCACCATCACCACCACCACCGCAGACCTCCCTTTTTCAAACCTCGCCGGCGCTACTCCCGTATATTCTCTCTCTTTCTCTCTCTCCCTTTCCATCCATCCCCTGCCCGCCCCAGGCTGACCCAGGGGCATCCATACATACGCTCGTGTGCGCCTCCACAAAAAGCAAAAAAGGGGCAAGGAAAAAGAAATAACACTGTAGAAATATTACGAAAAAATAATGGAGAAAGGAAATTAAAGCACACACAAACCGATCGAGAGAATCGCAGGGGGAAGGCCAAAAGCGCATCCCGTAGACGTCATCGCCCTTTGTTATTCTTCTCGTCTCTCTCGTCTCTCTCGTCCTTGGGGGGGAGGAGGAGGATGTTTGTCTGTATACACAACAGCAGCGTACGGAGTAGAGCAAGAGAGAGCCCAACGCCACCGCATGGAGAGCAGATATAGACAGTCAAACTAATAATAAATCGAATAGTCCACCAGGCCATGGAGCAAGCTAAGCCCTACCTCTCTGCCTCTGCTGCTGCTGCTGCCGCGATCTCCTCTGCGCTCTTTTCCCTGTCCTTAAGAACCAAGAGAACCGGATCTCCTGCCGCTGGTCCTTGCTATCCCGGCCGTCCCGTCCATTCACATCGTCGATATACGAGATCTCTCCTTTTTCTCCCTCTCCCGCTCTCTCTCTCTCTCTGTCGCTCTCTCTCGCTCTCTCTCGCGCCAGCTTTTCCTCGTCGTCTGTCTCTGTTTTCTTCCTCCTCAAAGTAAACCTGCTGTGGCGAACGAACGAGCTGCGGCCTCCCTGTCCTATATAGCAGCCAATCTATATCACCAACTCCCGGCCCCCTGGCTCGACGGAGAATACAACAGAAAAGCACCGCCAGCAAGTCGCTGCGTATTATACTATCACTCTACCGTCCATCGACCGCCGACCGCTCAGCTGGCTCCTTCTCGCCCTCTGCCGGCCGTCTAGCACTGTCTAGCTTCCGGTCCCCGGCTGTGCCTGGAGCGGCGCGCAGAAAAGCTACCAGAGCAGCGCTTTTTCGCCTCATCCGCTAGATATTTATTTATATATACATATATACACACACACGCATCCCGGAGACAGGCCCGTATAGATCTCGAGCAGCTCGCAGCAGCGCAGCGAAGCATGCGCCGTTGACGAGACGCAGCAAAGCCATGCCGAACACCGTCCTCTCTAGCATGGCTCCGGCTGCCCATAGTAGCGACAAGTTGTCCCTGAACCGATCAATGCTGGCTCCCTCGCCCACGCTGACGAACCCGGACATGATACTCCCTTACGGCGAAGAGCGCCAGTCCTCGACCCCGTCGCCGGCCCTCGAGGACCTGCAGCGGGCGGCGGAGCAGTCCAGGCTGCTCGCCAGCAGCTACTCGCTCATGCACCAGCGCAGCACCTCCGTCTCGACCACCACCTCCTACGACCGAAACTCCTCCGGGCCGGACGAGCCTATACAATCCTACGCAGCATACGGCACGGCAGAAGGGTCGCCGCAAGCAATGGCCGGCCCCGGTGCGAGTGCGAGTGCGAGTGCGAGTGCGACTGCTGGTACGAATGCGGGTGCTGGTGCTGTGAACGGGCCTATGCGATCATCCCAGATGTCGGATATAGATCACACGATACGGACCCATTCCAGACGGCAGAGCAGAGCCAGCAGCACCAACAGCCTCGACAGTCTTGTAGATCCCTCTGGTTCTGCTGGGCTCGGTGCAGGCAACGGCCTGTCCAAGCGGCATTCGAAACTCAGGGAGCTGCAGGATCTGCCGTCCGGGCTCTTTGAGCAGGATAAAGCGCATCCAGACGACGAAGCGGCGGGCGTGCTTGGAGGAGGCGCAGACGACCTGAGTGCTGTTGTCTTTGAGCCGGAGCACCGCATTCTCCCCATGGGCGCAATCGCAGAGGAAGATGAAGATGGCGAGGAGAAGACCGAGAGCTCTGACAGGAGTGACAGAGTCTACGATGAGCTCGACGAGCTGACCACTATGCTGGAGAATGCAAAGCTGAAGCTGACGGTACGTTTGATTTTATACCCATTGTTTCCTCCCCTTATATATATATACTAGTATTCTAATATTTGACATCTACTAGCATATGGAAGGCAACCTGAACCGCGCGAGGAGCTCGTTTCGCATGACGCCGTCGCCTTCGCCGTCTCTAAATCGGGCTTTTGGCAGCACCGGAAGCTCATACCATAAGCATCTCCAGAAGGGGGAGAGGCGCTCTCAGACATCTCTTGCAGGCGCATTGCTACGCCAAAGGGCCCATCAGGGGTATACCGGCAATGCATCTCATCTTCGTGGACAGAGCGATCTCTGCTCTCCATCACAATCGTCTTTCAACCGGCTATCAGGGGTCAACGGCCAATTTAGATCATTCAGTGCCCTGGGTTCAACCAGTGCTTCTGAGTATAGGACTGGATTCTATTCCCACGTAGAGGAAGAAGAACAAGACGATGACAAGGAGCCAACTACCGAAGCCAGCACATTGGTCCCTGAAGTTACCACCGACAGGTCCAGGTCACTGACTCCCTCTTCACAGTCGGCGCCCATACCCAATGGACAGTCAAGGACATCACCTCTTCCCAGTGGTGATGTCAAGAGCTCGCCTTCATCCTCAAAATCTCTCCCGTTGATCAACAAACCTGTTTCCCGCAGCCAGTCTTCAACTCCTCCATCTCCTGCAAGTGCGCATCTTCAAATGCGTGGTCTACAGGGCCAAGTAGACGGGCTAAGATCAAAGCTTTCCACGCTCAAAGAAAGGACTCGGGAGGAATCGATACGCAGACGTAGCCAGCAAAGCCTACGCACTCCAAGTCCGTTCACTGTAGCGGATGAGAATTACACCAATCCTCTCGAATACCAAAGACGGTCCTCGTATCCAGAAACTCTTGCTACTCCTAACTACAACAAGCCACAGTCTCCTCCCCCCGCGCTCCGTGAAGAGACGCATAATACCCCATGCACATCGTCTCCAACTCTGCCTAACGAGGAAAAGCAACAGGATAATTTGGAAGACAAGGAAGATGCTAATTCTATGACCGTACCCGGCCCCATACAAGGCACCGCTGAAAGTCCCATTGAAGGTCCTGTCGAAGAGCCTGTCGAGGGGCCAGTTGAAGAGCCAATCGAGGAACCCATCCAGGGCCCTGCTCCTCTATCCCCAGCTGGCAATGCTGCTAGGAAAACAGTTGAAGAAACAGATGAAAGCGAGTCCGAATACTTTGAATATTCGGATAACGAATCTGAACCTTCTGAAATTGACAGACAAGAACTTGAAGAGATACTACGAGAACCAATGGGCAGCCCAACCGAATCCGTATACCAGGACATCCTAGAAGAATTCCCTTCTGTCCCACCAGTCCAGGAGACAATCCGTCACGAGGACCGTATCGATGCCTTTGACTACGAGCATTTCATCCTTCACAGCGCGCTCGGAACGTATTCGGGACGAGTGAACCGCTCAGGCAGTATCTGCTCTTCTGGATCAACTGAAACCACACGCCCGGAAGGCTGTGAAACACCAAAGAATGGGTCGGGGTCGGGGTCGGCTCTTTCAAGGGTCACTAGCAGCGACTCGATTTCAACAGATGCCACCTTTGCTACCGCAACTGAGGGAGACTATGGATACCTTGACGCTCTGACTTCACCCAATGGCAATGGAACCTACTGGGGAAGAAACCGACCTTCAAGTATGTAACTTTTATTATCATTATTATAATTTCCACCAGCTTCCATACTAATATCTATATCACAGACAGGTTATCCCGTCAATTCACGGACGATTCATTGACCCTCCCCACCCAGCAATATTACGACAGTACATCAACCTTTTCCCGCACACAATCAGCCTCCTCAACGCCTCGTGCCTCTATATCATCAGTCACTGCCGCAAAGGATGAAAACGCCGCACTATTAGCCTCCATCACCGAACTCAAAAAGGCCGCGGCTACTCCCCAAACTCCAGGCCTCCTTGTTCGATCTATCCTCTCCTCCGCTGCCAATGAGAAGGCCAGCGACGCCTCTGCACTATATTCTCCCCAGACTGGCAGTCTATGCGATGCTGATTCCGAACTTGTAGAAGCAGTCATCCAAAGTCTTGGAAACGTGAGTCTTGAGCTCCTTCGAGCTTCAACGGCCGACCTTCAATCTCCCATCGATAACCGGATCGCCACCATTCTACGGCGCAGACTAGATGCTGCCCGGAGGATATTGGATGGTATTGCACCATTAGAAACCAACCCCTGAGTCCATTTATTTCTCACGCCATTTCTTTTCTGGATATCCCACTATTAGACATATAATTTTTTTCTTTTTTATTTTTCTTTTTTTTTTTTTATTCTTCGGCCTGGCTGAACGATTTTCATTTGTTATAATACCACAAAGATTTCATTACTGTGTTTATTTCTTTGATATATCTACTAGCTATTATATCCCCTGCTCTCTGGATTTCTGGGTTATTTTTATTTATTTTATTTTGTTTAGCTATTTTTCTGGAAGGAAATCTTATATAAAAGCTTTCCTTTGGTATAACTACCCTTTCTATGGTTGACCATTCCTTTTCCTCACTCCTTCCTCCCAGGATCTGGTTTAAAAAATATATTGTACACGAATGTTTAGAAACAAACCCCTGCATGGAAATATGAATACATCCGGCCTTGGGAAGCCAATTTTCCATGCAACTTGAGCCACCGAGCGTATCACGAAAAGGATTAGAATTAAAACAAGTAATAGTAGTATTAGCAGGAGAAGGGTAATCATTGTCTGTAACGGTCGTATCATGAGGCTTCAAGTATGTACCGAGAAGCTTGCATCATCAGTCGTAATGAGGAAGATCAGATAAAACATGAATCGACGTTACTCGTTCGAGAATTTGGCGGAGAGAACCACCATCGACGAGTACTTCAGATCCAGGGAGCGGGAATCATTGGCATCGAACTCGGCTGCTTGACGAGCATGCAAGTACTGGTCTAGAAATCCATTGTTGGTAAGTACTTTCCCTTACACGTCGTAAACTTGAGGGAATCATACAGTCGACCCCAATACTGTCAAACCAACGATAGACGTCCTTATCACTAATATCCCTGGCTCTGATGGCACCTGTAGGCGAGATAACAAAGGCGGGAGCCAACGACCTCATCTTCAGATGCTGGGAGACTACACCAGCGAATGTTTCGATCTGGGAGGCAAAGCATGAAGGCTGTCGTTCCAACGGCCACTGTTTCTTCATTAGCACACTAACATTAGCCGTGGTGCTGGATAAGCCTCACCCGTTGAATATAATGCTCGCATTCCCATGATCGAAATAGCCATTCCATCCTCTCAACACAGTTAAGCAGGATGATAGTGGCCAAGAATGTTCGGAAACTGCCAACCCGCTGCTTCTGAAGCAGCCGTTGCTCAAATTTGCTGAGCAAAACTCTGCACACTCTCGCTGCTCGTTTTTCGACGGCAGAGCGTAATTGCGTGCAAATCAGCGAATATGATTCTAACTGATTCATGCTGTGTATCGGGATCCGGGAGTCGTTTGTTGTAGAGGTCAGCGGCCTGTTTGCCAGCGGAGGCAGAGTAGGGTTCATATAGACCGTCCATTTAAGGAACGGGTCCACTAGTATTGCAGTGGCTACCCATAACTCCAACGCTGCATCTAGCATATCATCCTAGTCTCACAAGTTAATAACCACCACGAGATATATAAAAGGGGTAAGAGGCAGTGGGAGAAGAGCATACCTCGTGTTGTTTGGCGAGTTCTAATGCTTGGCGAAGGGTCTGTCTGATAAAATCGGATTGTTCACCCTCAATGAACAAACTGGAGGTCTTCTGGATATACACATCAAGCTTGCCGCTCAGCTCTTCGATCTCGCCATCTAAAATATGCACGTAGTGCGATGGTCCTTCTAATATAGAATCAGCAGAAGAGGAAGGAAGCTGATTATCAATTCCTTGACCGGCTTGCCGTTGACCAAATAGGGCGGAAAATGTAAGAAAGCTTAGCGAGTCTAGTTCGAAGTGCATGACCTCGATCCGACCGGCTGAAGGTTCAAACTGTATCTCACCCTTTATACTTTGGACATCATGATAGGCCATTGTTGAATGCAATCCTATTGCTCAGTTAGTATGAAGATATATCAAGCCTATACAGTGAGTCTACTTACCTATTGAATAGGACTCTAATTGGTTCATAAGGCGAGTTCTGATACAACACTCCATCCAAACGCGTGGATTCTGAAGATTCCGGCACTGGCCACAAGGTGTTCCAGCTGAGCACTGACATTGTGACACACGTTAATATAGCGTAGTTGCACGTTAGAGAGTTACGATTAAGGTACTCACTAACCGTTTTCTTCAACATCCGACATCGGAGACAGGCCCCCATCTTTCTCACTACCCTGACTTCCTTCCGCCTCTCTTCAGAGAAAGTCGACCGTTTTTTATTTGATTTCTTCGTGTCTACAACTTCACAAAAGAAGTCACTATTAGACTGCTGAACTTCGGGGTTCGTGGTAAGGGGTCGAAGGTATGTTCCGGGCCGTTCATTGGAAGCGGGAGGCATACTCAGTTCAGCAGGAATATGATTTTGAATCATCATTTCGTCCGCAGTTGGCAGTTCAATGGTAGGCGAAAGGCCGATGGTAGCCTGTGGGGGTGCGGTCTGCGGTGGAAGCTGCCACGCATCCGACTTTTGGTGGCATATGGCTGCCGATTCCAAAGAGCTAGAAGGGTCATCGGTCACCATCTCGTTTGCAGATGCAGCAATCAATGATAGCTGAGATGAGTGGTGGTCTGGGTGTGTGTCCACGGGGAGCAGGGAATGCACGGCAGGCATTGGAAGAGGCGACGTAGCATCCACAGAGGATGTTGAGAAAAAGGGAGCGGTTGGCGACGATGTGTGAATAAACTGAGCGTGTAATTCAGCTTCTAAAATAGATGTGTTAGCACATGAGTCTAAACTCATAGTATAAGTAGCGGTTATCATACCAAGACTGAACTTAGACGAGTTCTCGAGAGCAGGATCGACCACCATGTCGCGCTCAGCAGCACTGAGTTCCAGTATCCGATCCTGTATGTGTCCTTCGTTCGAGGCACCAACTCTCCTTGACGCCTCGGCAAGCACATTCAGGCCATTTAGACTGGGACCATTCTGGAAGTTTGCAGCGCGTTTCCCACGAGCTTGATCGCCCACTGCCGCAGTATTCGAGCTAGGAGCAGGCTGGCTATTGCGCACAGCACCTTTATCTCGATATCGGTTCGCGGCAGCGCCAGACAGGTAGGCCACCCGATCTCTGTCCGCGGTGGAGATTGCCGGACATATCTTCGTGATGTGGTTGATTAGAGTATCCGGACGGCCTTTGAGGAACTTCTCCCCGCAGAGCTTACACGTATGCTCATATCTGTTGCTAGAGTCTGGCAGCTTCTCACCACGGTGGAAGAACTCGGTGATAAGCGTGTTTGGCTTGCGGCCCATGGTGGCAGAGAAACGAGCCAGTCATTAAAAGGTCAAATCAAGTCTCGGTGCGAGCTTGTCGTATCATCATTTAGGAAAGGAGAGAAACCCAGGCGCGTCTTTGGGAGGAACCCATAGTCTCTCTCTGGGGAGATATCAATATACAGAAGAGCTACTACCGGGGTACGAAGTAGCTCGCAGGATAGAGCATGGGATAACTTTGACGAGAAAATTAAAAGATGAAGCGACAATTCTCTTGCATGGCAAACACCCGGCCCAGGTCAGCGGCTCCTGCTAGAGCGCGGTGTGCTCTCTCGCCTGCTGCTCTGCTTCCGGTCGCCTTAATCGCTGCGCTGCGCCGTGTTGTTCTTCGTCTTCAGCTTTTTGATATCTTTGAAATGGCAAAATCAAGCTCCCTGGAGGCGGTGTGTTTTCTGACACTCTCCGCCGCCTTTTCTAACCCCTTTAGGAACGGGGAAACATTTATCCGCGGATGCATCTCAACGTCAGATTTCAACATCTATGCAAATACAACAAAATACATACATCGGAGACGAAGCTGAATCAGACAAGAACTCAGCAAACTCGGTGCTCTGGTGGCCTCCAGGGCACTGCAAGGAGCTCGAATATTCGCTTCTCGTCCCGGCTTTCCAGGAGATGGCCGGCATTCAGCTTTACCCTGCCTGGACCCCGCATAATATCTGCGAAAAGACCTCTCTGGTTTAAACACATACCCTTCTTGCTTGCCAGCAACCGTAAGCTCCGGTTGAATATATCATTGCCCGTGAAGTAAATCAGTGCAGCGCCGAGTTCGTCTCCGGGTACAAATAGCAGGTCTATACGGCGCCAGACAGGGTTCCCAGGAAGTGCTGAAGCACCATGCCATTTTGACCCGTCTGCTCGTGAGGACACGGCAAGTCCCGTCTTTAGGAATCCGCGTTCAAATAGCTGGGGAACGACAATGGTCATAATCTGGTCATGTATCTCCTGCAGACTGGCTCCTTCCTTGGTGATAATGAGATCGATGTCTCCGCTATCAGCAGCCCCGCGTCTGTAGGAGCCACCAATAATGACGGTATAGGAACTATCCATGGCTACAACAGCCTCCCGCACAATAGCGCCATGTGCCTTGACTTCTTCTCGAGGTATCCGTTTCTGAAAGTCATCATACCGTTCAATCCCAATCTTTTGGTTAGTAGTTAGATTAGCTCGGTTCTTCAAATCGTCCAAGGATTTATACCCCTGTGCGACCCATTTGGAAGCTTGTTGGTATCCAACACCGTATATGTTAAGAAATTGGGAGAGCAGAGCATCACTTGGTTCCATGTTCGCTTGCTCTAACCGCCGGAGCCGATTAGTCCATACAATTTCTTCGATTTTGGCCGCCAGGCGTTCACCTATTCCTTTTATCTCCAAGGCCTGGCTTTTTGAAACTACTTTATTACGTTCCCTACGTAGAGCAGCGATTGCACGCCGATATGCAAGACACCGCCATTGGTCGGCGGTTCGTTCATAGTAGCTAAGCATTTGCTGCAAGACCTCGATTGTGCGAGAGTTGGGATTGTCCGCACGGTCTTTTCCATCCATTTTGTTCATGCAGGTGAATGACTTCTGCCACGCAGGACAGTCTGTTGTGAGATCAGCTTGAAATTCTCCAGGGACAATTCCATCATCTTCCTCATCAGAGGAATCCAGAGGCTGATTATATGTTAGTTGATCAACTGGGCTATTTTAGCGGACACGTTGACTCACGAGAGCAGCTATATTTTTCACATGTCTGATTGCTATATCTAGGTGATCTGGCTCAGATGCTTCCATACCATCCTGGTCAGCCGTATCTTTGGCCGGAAAATCGGGAAGATGCCCTGGAGGTACTGGAACCGCTTCTTCAGTGGACTTGTCGCCAACCTTTTTGGAGTCGGTACCTCGACTGGAATTTGTAGGAATGCAATCATGTCGTTCACCGCTAGGTATTCCATGTGGCTGAGGCAGCAACTTCCGTTTAATTTGGAAGCGAGGGCTAGAAGCATCCAATATTCTCCGGTTCACGATACATTCTGATGGATAGTTCTCATTTACCAGGATAATATTGGCCTAGACAAAAGCGTCAGGTATCCAAGGATTGCCATGGTTCCACCCGGGAGGCTTACTGGAACAGAGGACACTTGAAGGTACTCAACCACGTCCTCGTAATTAAGCCACCTTTCAGCAACTATATGTGTGACGGAGGTATCGAACTTTGCCGCGCGGGTTGCTCCAAATTTAAGGACCCTTGAAATGCGAATTCGTCTAGCCTGTGATATATCATCATTAGGTATAAAATCTGCGAGCTGATTAGCGTTCTCTTCTAGCTTATATTCCCGTGGAAATTCTCCTGGTGACTTACAAAGTACAAGGCCGTCGAGAACAGAAGGATGGTCGTTCACAGTATTGGAGGATTCCTTGATCTTCTTTCGCCTGCCATCCCTAGCCAACTTCGGCTTCTTATTAGGCTTTATTGAATGATCAAGGCCTGGTACCCCCACTGTCTCTCTTTCAGAAGCTTCCCGTGGTAATGCTTTCTCTGAGATCGCATTCGGGTCCTCGGTACGGTTCTTAACTTCTCTTTGACGGCTGTTTCGTAACGTAGATAGAACACAATCATCATCCTGATCCTCCTTATTTGAAGCGTAAAGCTCTCCACAGAAAATTTCCTTGTCCATGGGTATAGATATATAAGAGTGTCATTATGCCCTACCAAATGAAATGACTACCGTGGCTTTAAATATATATATCTTCTCTCTCGCTAGGCCCCCTTGCCCCAACCGTGAACCGTGGTTCCAGGCAGCAAGATCGACTCTGCTGGCCAACCACGTGATGGCTCTGAGCAACTCGCGGCCGTTGAGCTTCAAGATTTGCTACAGAGCGCATACATAACCAGCAGCGCAAACAAACGAGCAAGAAAGCAGCTGTCGGTGTAGTGAGGAGAGAGTTTTTTATTTGATTCTTGCTCAGACGGTCATTGTGAGCCCCAAAACTCTGCTACCACGCAGAATTCACTCTAACTAAAAGCATCTAGATCTTCTCGCTTCTATCGAAATGGGCCGACACCAGGCAGTATCCTCGCTATTTGAGATTGGCTTGCTTCGCCGGGGCTGCTATAGCACCAAGAGTCTCTCATCATACCGTCGATTCAGCTCGTCAAACCAATGGCGGCAACAGCAGACACAACCGCAACGACCACCGCAATCCCGACAATTGAATATTCCACCAGCAATTGAACAGAACCCTGTGGCCTTAAACAAGCACGAGGTTAAACAATTCACACCAAAGCCGTTAAAACGACCGCTAGGGTTACAGTATGCTCCCGAAGAAGGCCAGAATACCGGTGTTGACACTAGAACATTGCGACAGCGCGGAGGAGACCTTGTGGACAAGGAGAAATACCAACAACGGCAGTCAGAACTGTAAGGGAGGGACCATTTTCAAATATATATTCCAGGAGCCTATACGCTGACCAAACACAGGATAAAAGAATATAGCAAGCCGTACTACCGGGAATGGCACCGAATGAACTACCACAGCGGAAAGGTATTCATCTGCAACCCCCGATTATTTAAAGAGGATTTTTCTCTATATTTTCCCAACCTGTTTGGCCGAACTCTTCTACGATCCAACCCAATGCAGCATACGACGCCTGTTCTGCGCGGCAAGATATCCCTTGTTCGAGTGTTTGCTAGCCTATGGGCGGAGAGCCAAACCGTTACATTCGTTGGTGAAAAGGAAAACCCAGAACTACAGAAAATAATCGCCGATGCGGGCCCCTTAGTCCAGAAGGTCGATATCAACAATGAAGATAACTGGCTCAAGGCACTCCTTGTGCGGTTATTCATGGGCAGTATGCGACGAAAGATGCCAAGTGAGCAACATGGGCGGTACTTTTTGGTCAGGAAGGGGTTTACGAACTACCTGAAAGATCAAATAGGAATGCTTAATGGGAAAGTTGGTTACGTTTATCTTTTGGATGAGAATTGTAAGATCAGATGGGCTGGAAGTAGTATTGCCGGGCCCGAGGAGTTAGAATCCTTGAACAGGGGCTTGCAAAAGCTGGTAAGTGACAAGCGTGCAAGCCAGGAAATGCCGAGGATCATCTCAGCAACAGAGATACAAAAAGCCGCTCAGACGGCTTAAAGCGAGTGTTTCATTTTAAGATATTGTACGATATTGTATATAGACATTAGTCACCGTGTATAGCAGCAGCGGAAACTTGAGGCATCAAAAATAAGAGACAAAAACGCAAAAAAAGCATATCATATCATACCAAATCTCAACGCCTGCTAAACTCATGACCTGGAAACGCCGCACGCCGCATCAAATTATACACAGGCCGAGGTATGGCGATCAATCACCTGAAGAAAAACACCATTAAACAACAGATTCCGATAAAGGTGCCTAAGATGATCCCGTCCCGTCTTCTCTTGGCACTGATCTTGTTGATTAGATTATTGACACCGGGTATCTGGCTGGCCGCACCAACAATGCGACGATTGATGCTGGCTAAAGTTTCTCGCTGAAACCCGAAGCTCTCATTGACGGCGTAAGCTTGGCTCAGGACACTGTCCATCATGTTGTGACTGTTGTCGAGCCGCCCTCTCTCCTCAAGCATGTAGTCAGCCTCTGCTCCAGCAGGGTTAGATGCCCGGTACGCATCTATGTCTGATCGAACATTCGAAAGTAGGTTCACACGGTCTCGAGTATCTGATATAGTCGCCTTTAGACGCTTGAGTTCTTGGCGGTGTTCAAGGAGGACTTCCCGGTGGCGGGAGAGGTTGTTCTGTTTCAATGCAGAGGCAGTCAAGGCGGACTCGGAGTCAAGCAAACGGGAGAGTTGTGATATAAGGGTTTCTCGCTAGAACGGTGCACATATAATTAGTCCACGGTGAATCAGAAGAGCGAGCGCGGGATATCTGTTACGTACCCTGCTCAGAATATCCTGTATCTGGGCTTCTAGCCTATTCTCATCCTCCGATGGTTTTGACGGGAGCTGGCTCATGGAAGCATACTGGGCGTACGAATGGAACAGAGACTCTGTCTAAAGCATATAGCATTAGCAAACTTCCAATATCCCAGCGCCAACGCATCTATGATGCTGCCTATGATATAACTAACATACCTGAGTCTCAAGAGACCGGGCCTGTTGCCGGAGCTGTGCCCACCCCGTCCCAGTCGAGGTTGTCATGGTGTCTCTCAGACAATATTGTATATCAAGTTAGACCAGCTATCACCCAACAATCACATATCATATACCGTCACCTGCACACTGTGTTGTCTTGTCGTTGCTAGCTTGTCGTATCTCCTTCTTCGCCGTCTTCATCTCCATCTTCGATCGCCAAGATGACATAATCATGACTTGGCAATAAATACACGTGATTGATTACATAAGTCCGCTTAGAGAATCGCGAAAAGGGAAAAAAGCCCTAAAGTCCCACAAGTTCGACATTTCACGAGGAGAAACTTCGACATTCAGCTTCTTCAAGGTCGGCATCAATATCGACAACATCTCAACCAGTCACCATGGTACGTTCGAACACGGCGAAAAGAAGGGTATCCTATTGCGATTTGAAGCACCATTGCTGACCTCTGTTTTTTCCGTTTAGTCCGCCAAAGTCAAGACCGGCCAGCTCTGGAACAAGAGCAAAGACGACCTCACGAAGCAGCTCGATGAGTTGAAGACTGAGTTGGGCCAGCTCCGTGTCCAGAAGATCGCTGGAGGTTCCTCTTCGAAACTCACCAGAATGTATGATTCTACGTCCAGTCCTTGCAGATAATTTTTGCTTTTGAGGAGAAATTTCGAGTCCGGAAACGAAAAGAGCGGGAAAGAAAGCAACACACCGGAAGAAGATTTCTGGAAGAACATGGGATTGCGATTCAGATTCTAGGACGACAGGCTGACATGGACCGGTTTTGAATTGAATAGTCACGATCTCCGCAAGTCCATTGCAAAGGTCCTCACAGTCATCAACGCCAACCAGCGCTCACAACTCCGCCTCTTCTACAAGAACAAGAAATACCTCCCACTTGACCTCAGAGCAAAGAAGACCCGCGCCATCCGACGACGACTCACCGCACACCAGGCCAGCCTCAAGACTGAGAAGCAGAAGAAGAAGGAGATGCACTTCCCTCAGAGGAAATATGCCGTCAAGGTATAACCCCTCCGCAAACGACACTCGTTGACAATAAGTGAACGGAGAGCAATGGAGATACTAACATCACTTCGTACTCAGGCATAAATGTTTCCTTATTTTCCTCTGGTTCAAAGTTTCAAAAAGCGGCGCATTTTCCTCTCCGGTTGAGCTTGCTGCGTCTTTATGAATAGCTGTGGATGTATCAATAGAAGATGCAATGACGCGGCAATTTTATGAAAAATGGAAAAATAATTCATTGAAATTCAGCTCTTCCAATGATTCCCTCCCTTCGACGTACTGCTCGATTTTAATATTGCTGAGAAGGTGCACGCTTTTCTTACGTGAGCGAACTGGCTGCTCGAACGTGGTTCATATTAGGTGCCAATGGGCTTTGATAGAATCATCTACTATTCAGGAAATCGCAAAAAGAAATGCTCATATCGAGCCCCAAACCGTTTATTAAGCTAGTATTGACCAAGGAACTAAGTAACCGCACCAATGATACCTTTAAACGATACCCGTAAGGGATAATAGATGTCAAAAAAAAATGTCGTGCTAGATCGTACATGATTATCCTGGCTGTCTCCATCCCGGCAAAGTAGTAGAGCCTCTTAGGTTGCTAGCATTGCTCATAGACCACATTCCACCACAAGTACAGGCTCGGAGAACAGCAGTTCTCATCAGCATCTTCACGGCTGCCATAGACTTCGGTGGAATTTCCTCTGATATCGCACAGCATCGAACACACCTTCGGCTTGGCCGTACAGCACCCCTAGATTCATCTAGAGGTATTAACACTTTTCGAAGAATATCGATCTCGTACTTGTGTCTGAATAGGTCTGCTCTCTTGTCATCGCCAACACCCAGCCAGCTGTAGTCTTGTAGAAACAAATACATGGGGTTAGCTTCATTCCGTATCATGGGAACCGTCTTAGTAAGGATTGCAGTCACTGCAGGCTGTAAAACCGGTGGTATACTGCCATTGATAAGTAGGTCTCGTTCAGGGGCTGCGCGGTCTGCGTTGTTGAAACCCGCGTTTTGATAGGCGTGTTTAACGTCAGATTCAACAGTTGCAAGAAGTTTCTCATATACATCCACTTTCAGAGCAGATTCTGTGATCAACGTCACTATCTGAGAATAGATTTGGTAGGATTCATTGCTCAGATTCATTGCATTCCTGAATCCAGTAGTGAGGCCACGGAGACCGCGGCATATATATCTGAGGAATGAGCGCGGGATGCTTGAGATAATGAGAATTGTCGAGAGTGATTCACATAATTTTCCTTGGAGCGAGGTCTACGTCAGAGTGTTGTATAACATGAATTGGCAGCAATTTCCTTACCTGATGATGATCCTGAGTCTTGGCTGCTAGACTGGTTGTTTAGATTATCAGAAATCTCGAATAGGTCGTCAACAATGTATTTAGCCAGGTCGAGAGCCCATTTCACATTTCCCAATGTTATTCGTAGTGTTTCTATTCTTTAATTAGTACATACGTCTGTAATCATGGAACTTGTCATGAAACATGAAACATACCAGGATCATAACACTCGACATCAGTACCAGCTTTATTGAAATGTAGTATATATGTGAGTAGGATGGATATTTGTCGAAGCTGTAGAGTCAGCCACGGAACAGCAGCTGCAAGGTTACGGCGCTCAAGTCGGTTCTTAAACCCAAGTGCAGCCTGCATACTGAAGCATTTCAGGATGTATGGGTTATTCATGAGCTTGTCTTGCTCGACAGTAACGTTCATCGACAGAGCTCGATATACTTCATCTATGAATTTCTTGTGAGAATCTATAGCTCTTAAAGTTAGCAATGTGTTCTAGAAGGTGAGTAGATATGCAGGATTTACCTTGGTTGAGCTGTTGAATAACAATCATTAGTATATCATCATTATTACTGTCGCTGCTGCAAGCTCTGCAATAAGCCATGGTGAGAGCAGCAAGTGCACTCATGAATTTTCCTTCAACCTCATTAGCTTCTTCGTAAATATTTTGGAGATAAATATATGCAGCACACACCATCATTAAACAAACCATCTTGCTCATGACCAAAAGAATGCTCCATCACACGCATCTGGACATGCGATTTCTCATCAAGAGATGCTGCAATGCAGCCACTTGGTGAAAATGAAATATGAACGCCTTGCATTGATGTTAGCAATTCTATCCAAAACATAAACCAACTAAGGGCAGCTATATCATACTCGGAGAAATTGCGGCTGGAAAGGTAAAGCCGGATTGTGGAAGGCTTGTAACAGTTTCGATATCCTCAACGCCAGATAAAGGAGTAAAGCCCTTTGCATCATAAAATGCTATATTGCCATCATCGGTGGTAATAGCAAAGATATTCCCCGTCTCCATGTAGTCAATGGAAACTATATGTCTGTCAAAATATGTATCCGCCTGTCTATTCAACTCGGTACTTGGCTGAAAGGGAATATAATTGTCAGCTGGATCAATAGGCAACAGTAATACGCGCATAGGCCTACCAGGAGTGGATTTCGAGGCTGTTTCGATACTATGCTATCGAAACTCTTGTGAAGATTTTGGTTGACCGAACGAAGCTCCCATCTAGCAATGACACTGGGATGTTGTAGGTGAGACCGCCCATGGATACTGTGTAATGGACAGGAAAATACGGCTAGTATCATTGGTGCGGTTTGCCCACCAGGAGCATCCACCGGACAGGCCACTACTTGCAGGTGCGTAAGTGCAAATAGCCCATTTGCATTGTTGGTGATGTTGTCTTCGTTCCCTACGACATATGTTGAGGGTGATGGTACAACGGTTGGAATTTCAACCTCGATGTGAGCCAACTGCACACTGGGCACCGCAATGGAATTGTTTGGTCGTTGGGTATTGGAATCAACTGGTGTGCCTTCCCATTTGAGCATGGCACGGTAGAGCCGTAGTTCATTTCTCGCCGAGTATGTGACGACCATTATTCCTCCACCTTGAAAACACGTTAGATGGAAAATCCATAAGACGGTGCGTAGTGACTACCGAGCATATATAACTTACCATCTACCGGGGTCATGGATGCATGCGTTAGAGCATCGTCAGTATAACCTGTGTTTTGTAGCTCGATCACCATATCCCCCCATTTAGATTCCTGGTTTTGATAGAGCAATTTCAACTTGCCAGATCTCGTAACGACAAACAAAGCCAGCTTATGCAGAGGGTGAAATGGCCCCATTGGCCTGCGCGGGTATCTAACATAGGCCCATCGACCATTTGCTCTGCCAGCGTGGCTAAATGTATGCACCTTCAGAAGTAGTTAGGTCAGAAAAAAATATCAAAAAAAGTCACCCATGAAAAGACCAGTTATGGCACAGCGGGATACGCACCGAGCGGTTCAAGGCAAGCCACATCAGTCCGACAGGCTGATTGCCATCGTCATCGGGGTCCAAGGCTGGCGGACGCGACTGGATCAGGACATTGAGGCCAATCGACATTCCAACGATCGATATTCGACCGCAGGAGTCGACAACCGCCAGGTCGGTCCCAGGCTCATTCCAGGCAAGATGAACCAGGGTATGACCAGTCTGTGCTTCAGCAATGGGGTGATCATGGTCTCCATCACTCAGGCTCCATTTGCCGTCCTCGGGACTGCAGTTGAGATTCCGCAGAAATGCCTTTGACCCGTCTGGGGCGATGTAGGCGATTGCGCCAGTCCTGGACCAGGCGATTTTTCTTTTGAACCCAGTCAGCGAGGAATCGTTGGCAGGCATAATAGCAAGTAGCAGCAGAGTGAATTCAGGGCCTAAGAGTGCAATCTATACATACTGGCAGCATCCTAGGATCCGAAGCTCATCAATGCGAGCAGGGAGTGCCTTCGGTGGCACAGGCGCCGACAGGCTCAGGTCCAGGCCACCCGAGTCGCCGAAGAGGTCGTCCAACGTCTCTTCCATTTTTTTATCAGAGCCTCTTGCGGACAGTAAATCATCAGCTTGATGCGGTTTATGGTATAATCATTGTGTTTCCGGCTGTTGTTGTCTGTAGGCCTGCTGCTGGTTGTCTCGCCTGCAAATCTCAGGCCGACTTGACGTTTTGTTTGTGGTTTTGTTCGATGTTCGCGCCAGAAGAAAAAACTGCGAAAAAATAACACAGCCAAACCACCAGCACAACGCCGGCGACGATGAATCGTTTGATGAATTAATTAACAACTACAGGAGACTACAGATTCACTACTGGATATATCCATACGGGCGACAGTCTTGCACGGTTTTTATAGGAATATTAATAGTTAATGGATTGCTTCCAATTCAAAACGAACGATGAATGATCTGTATAACAGCTCTCTTCGGCTCTATTACAATCATGTCTGCCACAACGCCAACTCCATGAGGTCTCATAAATATGAATAGATGGGTAAGAGATAAGGCCTAGTCCCAGCAAGAGGAAACTGAGTAGCCTGGGAGGCGAAGAAGAAAGGAAAAGAAGGGTACAAAAAAAATGAAGAAGAAGCACGCCAAATGGTAGTAGTACACACCCGTCCGCCAGCAACATATCACAGGGTATCTCGTATTGCTGCAGGACTCGCTCAGAAAAGGTGGGTACCGAAGAGATGAAGCCGTTAATTAGAGAACTTGTTCATCCATGTGGACGACGGGGTTGAGATTGGGAGAGAAGTGGCCGTTTATGGGATGCCAGATTAAGTACCAGTAAGTAGAACGAGAGAGTCATATACACGGCTCAGGTGTGAACAACATTACTCTCTTTTTTCGTCTCTAGTTCCACGGGCGCTGGGCCGTTGCTTCGAGCAGATTCAGGAGCAATTGGGTTTAGGACATCTTCGATCTTGCAACGGGGGGTGACCTCTTTTACCACCTTAGATTCTTTGGGAGCGGTAGGCTTCCTGCTGGGGAACGCCTTGTTGATTGGAATAGTCTTAGTAGAAGCATCTGCAGGCTTTGTCTTCTTCGCCCTGGGTTTGCGCGGCTGGTTGGACTTTTTGATAATCTTGGTGTTGGCGCCCCTTGGCTTGGGAGGAGCACTGGGCGTGGGACTCTGTGACCGTTTGCCGGGGTTGACGGAGTCCTCAGAGCTGGAAGATGGCGTAGGCATGCCGTTTGTAAAGTCGGCGAACTTGACGGGTTTCTGAGGCGTGATGACAACGGATATTTCGGTATTCCCTGACTTGGCGCGGTCAAACTCTTCTTCGGTGCACTCGTTGAAGGAGCGGTCATCGTCGTCCCATCTCTTGAGGCCGGCATGGAGCGCAACCTTGTCACAGTCACCCTTGATGGCCAGATCCCAGCAATCTTCAAACTCCTTGCCAGAAGGGAGCGGGTCGTGGTTGATCCAAACGGTGGTCCCGTTTCTCCTGCCTCTCACGACACGGCACATTTCCTTGACAATGCGTCGTACGCCGGGGATCTTGAGACTGGTACCGACCACGACAAGCGCATCGGGCCTGGCGCGTAGATCAGCACTAACCACGGAACCTATGGCTTCCTCGTCTGGGTTGTACTCGTTATATAGCACCATACGAGGCCGCAATTTGCCGATACCACGGCTCCTCTGGCCAACAACAGTTCTGATTTTCTCGTTCTTCTCACATTCTGCACAGAGAGGAGGGTCGGGCCCCTTGAACAGATCTGCTTCGAAGCTGGAAGCCTTGCTACATTTCTGGCAGACCATGGTGTGCAGGCCGCCGTGGAGCTGGATGGTGGTTGGCCAAGGGCCCTTTACCTCGAGTGGTACTTTGGTCTGCAGCGGCGGCAGGGAGGCCTCGATCCCGTCGACGTTTTGGGTATACAAGCGTAGAAGCCGTCCTTCGTGTGCCAGACGAGCAAGTAGATGGTGAAATGCAGTAGGCTTTGCAGATGCGGAAAGCTTCGAGAGCGTCCGCACCATATCATGGAACGACGAGATCATGGATTCGTCCTGATAGACAACCGATGCATCAAACAGCTGCTTTCCCGACGCCTTCAGCTTGTGGTCCTTTTTCAGCGTGCTAAACAGGCCATGAGATGACCGAAAATCGGGAACTGCAAGTGTTTAACCCTCCGTCAGTCCCCAGCTTTGGACAAGGGGGAGGGAGTCTACAAGGAAAACTTACTTCCAGCAGAGACTGAGATGCCAGCGCCCGCCACCACCACGATCTTGCGGTGCTCACGCAGCGTCCGCAGCAGCAACTTCAGCTGCTCTTCCTGGCCCGGGCAGACTTGCTTGTCCGGGTACGTGAGGTCGAGATGTCTGGTGATTCTGGGCTTCGGCTCGATCTTCCGCCTCTTGCGTACCGGCGCAGATTCCACCGTCCCGGCGGCCTTCGACGCGGCAGCGGGCTGGGCCGGGCAGGTCTGGGACTCCGGCGGAGAGGGATAGAGGCTGTCTTCCGCCGGAGGAGTCGACGGCAGCGAGCTGAGCTCTGACGAGGTGTCGGAGAGCTCAAAGTCCATCGTGGGCGCGAAGACGCGAGCGCTCTGCAGGGTCGGAGGCGAGGCGAAGCTGCGGTGCGGAGGAGGCAGAGGAGGCGCCAAAGCCGTGTCTAACGCGTGCCAGCTGGTCGTCTTATAGCGGAACCATCGCCATTGGGGGAGACGCGGCCGGCAGAGAGTCGTTTGGGGGGTTGCGGTCGCCCGGTGATGGTGCTGGCGGTGGTTGTGGCTGTTTTTTTTTGTGTTGTTGTGTGAAGACGCAGCAGCAAGAAGAAAAAAGTCGATGACGGAGTTTCGATGGCGAACGCAGCGGATTTTCCTTTCTAGCGCAGAAACGCAACCAAAACAAACAACAAACCGGGCTTGACTGGGGGCGCCCAGGGACAGGCAGGGGGAGGAGGGCCGGGGGGCCCGCGGGAAGGGAGGACGGCGGCGGGAGGCTACGCTCGACGGCTACGGGGGATGCTTGATGCTTGTATTTGAACAGAGAACTAGCTGCGTAGATGCTGCGGATGGAGGCGTAGCTGGTCTATCTAGTTATCTTGATTGATGATTATGATTGATCTTCCCTCGCTCAGTCGCTGTCGCTGTCGCCAGAGTCCCCTGCGGCGGCTGCCCGTCGCTGCGCCGAGTCGCTGTCCTCTATCCGGTCCATCGTGTCTTCGTCCTGCTCGCCCTGGGACTCTGTCTCGTCCTCGGCCAGCTCGTCCTCCTCCTCGTCCTCCTCGTTGCTGAGGTTGGTGTCGTCCATCGGCTCCGTGTCATCGTCGTCATCCAGCGCCTCCCCTGGGTTCCGGCTACCGGTTTCCCGTGCTGTTGCACCGGCCGTGGACGACGTGCCAGCGCCTGGTGCCGCTGTCTTCTTGTCGTCGCCGTCTCGCTTGAGGCGCTTGCTTCCCGGCTGGTCATCGTCCTGTCCGCCGCCGCCATCCTTGCCTGGCTTTCCTTTCTTCTTTGACTCGCGTTTATTGTTCATGAGAGCCGTGTAGGCCTTGAGCTGTTGCTCTAGATGTGGCCGGAAGTCACCGAGCTCGACCTCTGTTAATGCCGCAAGCACATCCTGTGGTGTCAACGTCTTCTTGTCCGTCATGTCATTTGCACTGTACACACAAATGCCCATTAGCTATTTATTGATATATAGAGAGAGAGCGAGAGACCACGGGCGTCTGACCGACTTACTGTGAAGATATGTACGAGACAAATACTGTTGCAGCTTTTAGTATGGCCGTGACTGCGTCACGCTGGACTCCAGTACCGGGTGGCAGCATGTCCTTTGCCAGCCGCATTATAACGCTTCGAGGGAGTAGAATATCCTAAACAAGATAGACACGCAGTTGTGTCTCTCCTTGTCAGCCCAATGGTCATTCAGAGTCGTTGTAGGCAGCGCTGCTGGCAGTTTGGACACTGGTAGGTCAGCTCTACAGAAGTGCTACCCCCCTCAAGAGCACCGTCTAGAGGCAGGTGAAATGCCAAAAACCACATGTAAAGGAAGCAGGCATAGCTCACATCAACGCCCAGTCCCGTCTCTGTGCCTTCAGAGCCTGGCGCATTATCACCGACATCTGTCTCGCCCTGGGTATTTATTGGATCTCTGCCGTTTGGTTCTCCCGCCTCGTTTGTAGACATTGTGAAAAAAAAAAAGAAAAGAAAAGAAAAAGGGCAGCACAGCAGCTATCACTGTATTCAATCGAATAGGCTAAGCAGCCAGCAAGGCCGATCGATCTCTCTCCCCGTCGTTGGCGTTGCTGGTGGAGGGAGGGTGTTTTCCCGGGGCGTGGGCAAGGTCGAGCAGACGAAGCTGGAACCGAGTTAGCTACAGCTCGCCACGGAGATACACAGGACCAAAGAAGACAAAAAAATACCTTGAATCCAAGCAGTATCCCTGTGTTAGCCGTAAGATAGGCTGGTTGTCTTTAATGCGATTGCTGGATGACGACTGGTTATGGCGGGATGCCACTTGCGAGCAAAAAGTCCCAAGGCTGGGGATGATTTTTTTTGGCTCTGCCAACGCTTGGAGAAGCTCGCCTTGCTGGAGCTGCAGCGTCTATCAAACGTCTATTATTCATGCGTATACAAGGGAGAGAGATAATACTAGATATGTACGTATTAAGAGGAGACATTGACTGCTTGAGAAAATGCCCACGGCAGTTCTTTTGTACGCCGCGAAGGGGAATTATCATTTCTGCGTAAGCTACACCAGGTGGAAACAACTGTTAAAAGACCATATTGCGCCGTGTATAAAAGACCCATGAACAACAACAAGAAGAAAAGGAAACACGTCTACTCTTTCATCTGCTCATCATTATCCTCTGGGACGGCATCGTCTCCCCATAGGCCCTCGAGCTTGAACTCCTTCGCCCACTCGGTCACTATCTGCTTTGTATCAGCCGCCGGCCCGCTCGCTTCCCCTGCAGCATCGTCTTCTACGGCGGTAGAGACGGGCAAGGCAGGTGCCTCAAGCCAGCCCTGGATGCGCCCGTCTCTCCAGTCAGTGATGACCGTCATAGCTGCGCTGTTGATATTGGGCGTGCCTCCTCTGCCGAGTCTGCCTCTCCTGCGGGCAACTTGGATCAGAAAGTCGGTCGTCTTGTCCCCGTTTGTTGGGAACAACGGAGGGATGCCGTAGAAGTCAAGCATCTTTGAAAGCAGGCCTTCAGACGCAGAGAGCCTCTTGAGCAGGAGTGTCACAGCTGGCACAGGGTCGGAAATCTGCTTGGGGGGTATAGCATTGAGAAGGATGAGGCGAGCTTGCTCCTTTATTTTTCGCGACTCAGATGACTTGGGCTTTTCGGCGTTGGGGAAGACAATTCCAGGCGAGTCGATGACCTTCAGCTTGCTGTCCAGTTTGACTTCACGAAGGCTTGTGGTAACTCCAGCCTCCGCGCCAACAGGGCATACGTTAGCATTGCCTCTGGTGACACGGCTGGTCAGGGAGTTGATCACCGACGACTTGCCCACGTTAGGATACCCAATCACGCCAACTGATACGGCCCGTTTTAACTGCTTGTCATGTGCGTATGCCTTCAGAGCCTTGAAGAGCGTCTCTGAGGTCCCCTTGACCGTCAACTGTTTGTGGTCAAAAGTGTGCGCGTTGGGAGCTCCAGAGGACGCTCGGAGGGGGAGCGTAGGGAAATAGCGCCGTAAGTATACCAGCCATCCTTTCAACACTGGCGGAGGAACAAGATCGATCTTGTTTAGAATGAGAATAAGACGTTTCGATCCGTGGTCTGCCGCCATGATCTCGCGCTCCACCTCCTTTGACCGAGTTCCCTCAGGGTCTCGAGCATCAAGAACATAAAGTATCACATCCGCTCTGTCAATAACTTCCTTGAAGGCTTTATCGAATGCTCGACGTGAGCTTTCTTTTGTCGTGGGTATCACCGTGTCTTCAAACGTCACCCCACCGTCTTCCTCGTCATCCACCATGTCCTCGTCTCCGTGCTGATCCTCATACTCAGCTGCGCGAGCCCTTGCAGAGGCTAAAAGTGCAGCCATAGGGTTGGACTCCTCTCCTTCAACCTCCATATCATCGTCGTCACTCTCTATCAGTTCGTCATCCTCATCGTCGATAAGATCGGCATTTTCCGTTATATCAACATCTCCAGCTTCCTCTGCGTTTTGTGCCTGGCGTCGTAGCTTCGCCTCCTCGCGCAGTTTCTGTGCTTCTTCAGCCTTTAACCTCCTCTTCTCTTCGATCTCCTGTAGGAGTCTATCTTTATATGGGAATAAGTTCGGGATGCCAGGATCCTTCTTGAGTTTTGAGCGCCATTGAGGATTCTAATCGACATCCACCAAGTTAGTACCATATCCCCAAAGCTCGGCTGTAACGGCCAAAGAATTATTCGATGAGAACCGCGAACCTTTTTGGCGAGCTTTCGGTCTTTTCTCTGCTTTGCGGCACTGGCTTTTTCGATCTTATGCCGTAGCCGAACTGGCGTCCGCTTTGACGACTTCCCTAAACGCACAATGAGAAATCGGAGCGTAAATTGTAGTTGTCACAAGGGTGTATACTCACCTAGCTTTACCATCCTGTCTATATCTCCCTACAGGGCTTGCTCGGGTTCTTCTTCTTCTTCTTCTTCCTCTTCCTCTTCTTTTCACCGCAGAAAAAAGATAAAAAATAAAAAAATATTTTAATGTGGGTCAAAGCTTGCCAAGATTTTGCTGATTAGGAAGTCTTGGCGATGTCGATAAGATAAGATCATGACTAAGCAGTCGTTATCTCGCTGAGTCATCATACTGACCAATCAGAGGAGAGAGTCATGCAGGGTGGGATTTTTATATATAAAAGTCTTCCCCGATGGCGGGGAGAAAGAGACAACAAACTGGCAAAGTCGAAACAGAAAAGACGGAGGATTGCAAGAAAAATATCCAGGCTCATCTTGTTTAGACTGCAATTTCGTTACATTTACCGTTTTGAGAAGCTTAATTAAACAAGAACACTTACCTCCAAATCATCAGAGTCGGGATGGGCTCAACGGGGTCGTTCAGCGGACCTCGCATATCACTTACCTTCGATGGATTGCTCTTCGACTTCGATGGAACAATTGTCGATTCTACTGCCGGTGAGCCGCCTTTGCATCATGCAGTCCTTCCCCTCACGTCAAATGTACATTTTCCCCCCAAGCTAACCATGCGGTTCTAGCGGTTGTGAAACATTGGCATATGTGAGTCTAGCGCTGCCACATCCCGCACTTCATGAGGGATAAACGCACGCCTTATCATTACCCCCAACATGCATACGGAGTAGGCATTGTTCTATTTGATCGTTCCCTTATCTAAGACTATGGTCTGGAAGAATAGGAGAAGAGATCGGAGTTGACCCGAAAGTGATCTTGCAAACCTCCCACGGCAGAAGAAGCATTGACATGCTTAAGATTCTTGCTCCTGAAAAGGCAACTTGGGAATGTGAGTCTTCATACCAGCACATATCCGCAGTCTTCCCCCCCCCCATTGGATACCCCGTGGGGGAGCGGAAAAGAGGGAGGGGAAGAGAAGAAGAAAATCGGTAGAACACGGAAAGTCAGTATCTGACTATGGCGTAATTCACAGACGTTAGCATGATTGAAGGGCGAATCCCAAAAGACCTTGGAAACGATGCCACTGAGATACCCGGCGCTCGACGGATCCTCACCTCGTTAGAAGAGGCCGGAGCGCCGTGGGCGGTCGTGACGTCTGGCAGCAATGCGTTGATTACCGGCTGGCTCGGCGTCCTGCAGCTAGCACACCCAAAGTACCTCGTTGTTGCAGAGGATGTGCAGGTTGGCAAACCAGATCCTTCCTGTTACCTGCTAGGTCGTTCTCGGCTTGGCTTGGAACATAGTGATTCGATGCTCGTGATTGAAGATGCTCCATCCGGTGTCCGCGCTGGAAAGGCCGCTGGGTTTAAGGTTCTCGCGCTCGCCACAACACATGTGGTCGAAGAGCTGAAGGAGGCTGGGGCGGATTGGATCATCAAAGATCTTGACAGTGCCTCACTCAAGAAGTTCGCCGATGGCAAGGTTGAGATAGAAGTCTGGGATACACTTCAATAGCGCTTAGCCGCTTCGACAGGGGTCCTAGAGATAGGGTTATGATCGATGACCAGGTACCGACGACTGACATAACTTCCTTCCCACCCTCTAGCTTGGCTGATACGAACATCTGTCTTGCGTTGGCTCTCCCATTGTTTGTTGCTTGTTAGTGAGATCAACACTTTGTTTTTTGTTCACGCCGTTTTGATAGACTAGTTTGCTTGCACCAAGGCTATGCGGTTCTTGGGCAAGGTGTCATGCACGCCCGAATTCGAACTAAGAGACTAGGATAGAATAGACTGCCTAAATCCTGTGGCCCAGTGTACAAGCCTATACCAGATACGTCACGCCTTCAGGTCTCGACCTCATCTTCCCCTACTGCGCTGTATCTGCACAAATTTTTGTCTTTTTAAGGCTTGGGGTAAGTCGCCTGTGATGCGGAGCCAGTCTGTATCGTGCTAGAAACAAAAAAGCAAAAGACAGTTGAGCATCGTGCTAGCTGCGTCCGTTCCCTCGTCACGCAAAACCGATGTGATGGAATTCCGCGTACGCGTTAATGGCTGTGGCAAAGGGTACAACAGAGCTGAGACGTCCGACCTTTTGCCCTGTGTCTCATATATCTGCAGGTCATCTATATTGCACCCACATACGGATACATATATAAGTACGTACGTATGGAGTACTCCGTACTCTCTGTATGATAGACAGGGAGTGAGCAGGGAGAGAGAGGGAAAGGTAGCTCCATCTAATCCTGCATCTGCATTACGGAAACATCGTCGTGTGACTCTAAAGCCAGCCACCACTTTTCTCGCATGCATACCGATGGGAAATGTGTGCTATGATCCCTTCTTCGTCTCTTCATCTCTTCGACTGCGGAAATGCTCCACACACACACACACACACACAAGTTGTTAGTGCTCTGTATGGAGTATACGGAGTAGTTATACGTTTCTCCAGTATAGATGGCAAAAAGAAGAGATCGACAGCCACAGGACCGACAAAGTGACACCTGCATGAGACTTCCCAAGGGGCAGGAACTGGCGAAGTCCATTTCGTCACATCCCATCGATGTGGTTTTCTAGTGTCTTCCCGATCTATTCCCCCAGCGGAGCATAAATGAATAGTATGCAAACTAGGTTTTGTGCCGTGAAGCTGATCACTCACATGGCTTGGCGTATAAGTGTGGGAAAGAGTGGGAGTGTGGGAGTGTGGGAGGCAGTTTGGTTCTGGTGCGTTGATCGGATCATCACCGGAGAATTTCTAGTTGCTAAAGAAGGCCTAGTTGCTGTTGCTGTGTGCATTCTGTGTCGTCCATCCAGAGAAAGGGAGTAATCCATGGCTCTTGACGTTCCCAGGATTCACATATGGCGGTACCTGCCATGTATATAATATCATGATATACCTTATTTCGGTGATCTAGCACGCCTCAATGGCCCTTCAGTTGCGAAAGAGGCTTGAAAAAAAAGCCCCCCATTCGCTACCCTTCGGCTTTCTCTCGCCTTCTCTGATCATCGTCCTGCGCTGAATATCATCCATCAAGGTGCATGGCAAGAGATAGATGGTATGTATATACATGATACGGATGCGTGGTATCTTTTTTGTATGTAGGTGCAGGCTCTTCTGCAGACATGGAGATCGGCAGCTTGCGCATATTCACCTCCATGTTTTCCGCTCCCACGGAGAGAAGAAGGAAGTGGTGCGTAAGAAAAGAGAACAAGCCCCTGAGCATCTCTCTCTGAATGCAGGATCACAGAGAAGGCATCATTTCTTTTTTCACCCTCATCCCTATCAGTTTCTTTTTTATGTAGTCTGCATATGCCGGGAGATAGACTGCTGTTGAGTTCGCCATATTGTGTCGTTGCGCAGAGTGTAACTTTGGGGCAAAAGTCGGGACACCCACTCGAGAGGCACGAAATCAAGACATTCTCTCGCCTAGGATGCAGCTCCCACCATCAGCGAGTCCTCTTCTCTCGCGTTGCTGGGTGCGCAAAATGCGAGATATCATCTTCCGCTGTTGTCTGAGAATCCCGAAGTCCGAAATAACTTCTGATGTGTCCCAAAGGAACGAAATAGAATTATTACCCGGTAAAAAGAGTTTGGTATTTGGGCATAAAATACGAGGCATGTACCTGATATTTCAATACGGCTTATGTAATTGATTAGTCAGTAATCACATGATGCACCCCTTTGGGAAAAGCAAAAACATTCGACGAAAGAAGCAAAAACGACGACGAGGAAAACAAAACACCAGCAGCAGCAGACATCAGCAGCAAGATGCGCAGGGCGAATAAGCAAAAGATGGCCAGGACGGGTGCACCACCACTCGTCCGATATCCAACCGGCAGCGGGTACATAGCGTACACGGCACAGTGCCCAGCACAACAGGCAACAAGACTTTTGAAATCCCAAGTTCATGGGTACCAACCCTGCCAACGATCGTCCCACAAGCGCAAATCTCCTTGTCCAATAACGCACGGGAGTAATCCGCCCCTGGCTTGGAGATGGAGTCTACGGGTCGAAAGGGGCCTCCCGTAGCCCAATTGGCAGGGAACTGGCCCATCAGGATTGCTTGCCCCAGACAAGAAGAGACAGCTCAAAAGCAAGGGAGCTGCACCAAATAAGATTGGACTCGATGGGGACCGAGGGAAAAAAAAAAAAGGAAGAAGAAGAAGAAGAAGAAGAAGCCGTGAAAGAGAGAATAACAGAGAAAGTGGCCAGGCCTCCAGGCCTGTTCCAAGCGTCCCCTCCCTCAAGGCAGGCGAGTGGGTTTAGATCAGTCACCTTTTTTTCTTCTTCTCTCTCGTCTTTGGTTTTTGCGGAGTCACCAGGGCAGAGAACGAGAGTGGGAGAGCAAAGGTCAACTGGACCCGTTGTGAGACTCTGTAAAGAGAACAGCCGGCCAGATCCAGGTTCAGGGAGGTTACGGGGCACTGGTATACGCAGACAGGAGACGCTCCCAAGTGGATGGCGTACGAGCTTACTTTGAATGCAGGAACAGCCCGGAATTCGAAGTGTGACCGGGTCTGCAGCTTGGTGTTCTTTCAGAAATGCCCTGCACACTTTCTGTGCTTCAACTCGACAGAGTGATTTCCACCAAGAGAAACAGCGGAATCCTCCGTATCTTCTCTCTTGTATCTGCACAATACAATGCACGATGCTATCTCGATCACTTTTTGTCTTGGAAGGAAATCTGCGCTCTGGCATCGCCCTTTCAACTGGGTTCCAACTTTGTTTTTTTCTTTTTCCTTCCCTTTTTCGTTTTCTTTTTCCTTTTCTCTTTCTTTCCTTTTTCCCTCCCTCTCTCTTTTTGTTCCTTTTTTCTCTGCTTCCTCCCTCTCAATCCCTTTTTACCTCGCATTTCTCGTCACCCTTGGCGATCGGTTCCCCCCGATATTAGCGTGGAGAGATGAAGCAATCCATGACCTAAGAGGGCTGCGTATCACACGAAAGGGTTACTCGTTGCCTGTTGCCAATGATGTTTTACTCTGTACAGGAACCTCGGCCATCGTTCCCGTCCCTTCGCACCCATGGCCAAAGGTATTTGTCACAGCTCCATAGCATACGAAGCACTACCGTCATCGTCAGCAGGGTTTGCTCTGACTCTCTTTTTTAACGCTCAACACCGTTAGTCTGCATCTTAGTCGCAAAAAGAGGGTAACCTAAAAAGATGGCCAACAGGGATATCTGCTTGCCACTTTAGGCTGGCTCGTTTACCTTTTCGCCTAACCATCCGTTGGAGCCTTTTACCTTGCTGTACCTGCGGTATCAACGGAGTCCCTTGGACCTGCCCTTGGAGGTTTATCTGGGGTTGTGTCAACAGATCCCTGGCCCTAAAGATGCTTGGCACAACAGGCTTGCTCTGATGCTGCAGAAGCCCCAGCGCAGAACTGTGATGAAGTGGATCTTCCCAGCGGGGTGCGGACTGGTGGATTGGTGGGCTCCCTGTGGTTGCTCAGCCATACGACGGAAAAAGGGGCACCCTTCTTAGCCGTACCTGATGTTACACGTCCGCCCAGGCACCGTTATTACAATACACCAGACCTTGGTACGCGGCTTGTGTGATGGAGCCGCCCCTGCTGTCCGCTGAACGCCCCCTTGCGCCGACGGCGAGGTCTGGCTTACTTCTTCTCTCCTCGTCGCCCCATCTCTCGTCAACCTGTTGTTCTTCGACCGCCAGCCGTCTGCGTGGGAGCCCGTCGTTCATTATCCGACCTTTCTTTTAGTATTAAGATCACCGTCAGTCCTTTTTTATTTTTTATTTTTGTTTTTGTCTCTATCTCTGATTCTATCTCGTCGTTCCTTAAAAACTCCTCCTTATTTACTACTGGTATTCACTGTTTGAACACACCACCACCATCACCAACACCCTTGCAGGATCTAGCTACAGAACAGCTACCTATTACTCTCATTCAACAGCATCAAACTCATCACGTCGACAGCACTCGACTTTTCAATCTCTTTCTTCCTCTCATACTTTTCTTTCTTAGTATCTTGTCTTTGTTTTCGTTTTAACTGGAGGGACACTTGCCCTTCCAACACAACGTTCTACTCCCTACCGACTACCGATACCGGAACCGGCAACCATGAACTACCTCCAGACCCCGTTCCAATACGCGATGCCGATGGATCAGCCTATGGGTTATGGCATGCCCGTCTCACATCATCCCTATGAGCAGCCAATGGATCAATGCTACATTCCTTACCACCAGAATGATATTCATGGATTCTACACAACTGGTGCCATCGAGGAATATGAGGAATATGTGGAGAATCTGTCACGGCCCCGTTTGACGAAGGAGCAGGTTGAGATCTTAGAGTCACAGTTCCAAGCTCATCCAAAGCCCAACAGCAATACGAAACGGCAATTGGCCCTGCAGACCAGCTTAACCTTACCTAGAGTTGCGGTATGATATAGCCTCACCCGATATATGAATATATACCATTCAAAGCTATGTACTTACTTGGATATAGAACTGGTTCCAAAACCGAAGAGCAAAGGCCAAGCAGCAGAAACGACAAGAAGAATTCGAGAAGATGCAAGCTAAAGAGAAAGCCATGGCAGCCGAGGAATCTGAGAGCAAACAATCCTCAGAGAGCTCTGATGAACAACAAAAATCAGAGCAAGACCAAAAGAGCTCGATGTCCACTCCCACAGACACTCGTGGAGCCTCTTCAAGTTGTAGTGAGCAAGAAGACCATGGGCTGCAAACTCCTGCAGATGAGAAACCAGAGCCTAAGTTTGAGATTGTTGGACACCGTACCGAAGCGCAAGTGGAAATCCCCAGCTCAGAGCCAGCCAAAAGGATCCCTAGCCCCCCTCTAAAGGACAGCCAGGAGATGTCTAGCACTATGACTACTGTGCACAATAACACTGCTCAGCCATCCTTTTCCCAGCCCGAAACCAACAGTCATTTCCAGCAGTGGGCTTCAACTGGCGTTCCTCAGATTGGAGTTAATGTTGGCTCTGCGGATGCACATACAGTTTCAACTGCAACTCCCGTCATGGAGATCGACTCCAGTGGTTACTGGTCCCCGGATTCTAGCGGCCTTGTTAGCCAGCCGTTCACTGAACTCCTGTGTAACAACAGCTCACCAGAAGATCTCTCTTGCCAAGTTCAGCCAACTACTACAGCATTCACACAATCTTTCATTCCATCAGAGCTCCCACTCTACTCTTCGCAGAACATTGTCAACCAGCGACAGGTTTCCCTGCCGATGGAGCAGGGTGATATCTATCCTAGCAGCGGCCCCAACTCGGACCCTGAATCAACTCATTCTGAAGGACGCCAACTACCTCGACTTCACATCTCAACGTCCGATAATGCAATTGGTCTTGCCGCGCGAAGAAAGCGCCCACGTCCAGCTGCCATTGGAACCTCAGGCTTCGGGCGTACTGTCGGCGGACCTGTATCAGGATCACCAACCCGAAGGGTGTCCAGCGCTGCCTGGAGTGGTGTGCGAAAGTCGTCGCAACTTGCCGAGCTAAGCCCTAGATTCGGCGGTATGAGGAAGATCTCTGGTTCCCCCAGGTCGCCTTTCCCATATTCATTGGAAGGGAGGGCACATGCTCTATCCAACACAGACTTGGCTGTGCCTCCATCAACTACATCTTCTATACCCCCAGCCACTCCCATGACACCCGATGAGATGCAGTATCTCCTCCCGCCAACACCGATTGATAATCAGTACTGCCTCTCCCCACAGGAGGAGATGGGATACTCCCATTCCTTTCCAACCTCCCAGTCAATGACCTTTGATGAAAGTCAAGAGTCAAAGAGACAGCCACCGCCATTTGTAATGGTTGGAATGCCCCATCCTCAGTCATACCAGCAATTCACGGAGCCTATGTCGGCGCCTCCTAACTTCACTACGTTCAACGAACTTATCCCAGGCTGTGGGCAGCAGCAACAACAACACCCACTAAGCTCATCTGAGACTGAGACATCTCTCAATGTCATTCATATGCCTCGACCAACACACATTTCGCCCATTGCATACGACGATCAGGTACAGGGTGAACACGTAGAGGAGTCCGCCCCCACTGAGGAATGGCAAGGTCAAGGTCAACAGTCATCCACACAATCCACAACTGGCCCAAACTCGCCTGTCTCAGAGTCTAGCCAAGCCTATAACTCTGCTGGCAAGCCAAACACAGAGTTCTATATCCAAGAGTTTCCTCAACAGGACGAAGCCATGAAGGTGGCTGCACAGCAACTACCACCGCAACGAGCACGGACATACACCTTCACCAACCAAACCCCAAATGACTTTTACCGCACTGCCATTTTCCCACCTGTATAACATTGGTGTTTATGTGTTCTCCTTTTCTCTTGCGCAATTGATACCATACAACGGAGATTTCGCTACCTGGCGCATTTCTCGCGGCCATCATGCTTCTTCCTTTTCTCTTTTCTCTTCAACTCGTCAATGATATATGTGGGCTGGGCAGGGATGGACTTTTGGATTTTGTTAAAAACGTTTTTACTACATATTTCTATCCAAGGCGCTCAACTGGGCTATTTTTATCAAGGCTCTCCTTTTTGTTTCTTGCAGTTTTTGCTCTCTTTGGCTATTTTCTATTCCTTGCATTTCTCTCAATTTTTTTTACTTCCATTCCTTGGTACTCCAAACACCGTGATACCTTTTCTATTATGATTATCGCATTCTGCATAATTACCTAAACTAACTTAATTTCTAATATTAATTAAAACCCCCATTCCCATGGCTTCCCCTATTTGGACAATTGTTGGCCTTTGGAAGTTGGTTGAATTTTCTCTTCACTTTCCACATACAGGTTATGGAGATGTATTACATCATTTGGTTCTCTTCCCCTTGCAACCTTTCTCTCGCTTTTGTTTACCGAGATACCAAAGTTAACTGCGCTCGGATGGCCAGTTGGCTCCCTTTAGGAAAAGAAAGAAAAGAAAAGAAAAAAAAAAGCAAAGGAAATAAATTGAAGTTATTCAGACCTTTTTACGTTGTTACTTTAATCTCTCCCTGGAGTTAATCGCCTGATCCTTCACTTGAGGATTTAGTATCAAAGCAGGCTGAGGGTTCACGTTAATCGGTACGTGTTAGTCACCATATAATTCTCCAGTTAATCTAGCTAGCTCTAGTTTTATAGGAGCCACAAAACTCTTAATTAAGAAATGGTGCAAGCTGGACCAGACAGCTGATGTAGGACGGGGGGTCAAAAAGAGCTTTTGACTAGTTCTTTACATTCAAGGGCTTGTGCTCTCTGAAGCGAAGGCACCTAGGCTGCCTCATTAGGTGAAGACGTTCGGAGGTAGCTAATTAATTACCTGGGATTCAATGCGTCTCAGGCTCCCGACAGAAAAAGGTATTGGGCTCGCCCGATTGTATTGGCTCTTTTGGCCTTGCCGCCAGCCCCGGGGTTGAAACAAAGTAAACCCAAGAAGCCAGGACATCCATTGGGGGATCTAGCAACGAACATCACCTGTGACTTACCATCCCCCTGACCATGGCCTAACTAAATACTCTAATGCATATACACGGCACAGGATGGCTTGTTATTTAGCCAGTCGGAAGCCCACCATAGCATAACCCCCCCCCCTCCCCTTCCACAATACCACAAGTTCATGCGTGCCCGATATTTATATCAGCGGAGATACAAGTTCCCCGGCGGTTCCGGCTCCAATAGGCGTCTTGTCACCTGCATTGTTTGCCCCGACAGGAAACTAGCCTGAGACACCGGGAAGGCTAGGCAGAGCATGAAGTTAAGCGCCCGGAGTTGAATATCCGCTTATGTATATTTGTTCATGCAAACACAGGATCGATTGTATCAGCTTCCATCATACGCGCCCGCCCCCAACACCAGCATGGAGGGAGAAAAGGGTATATATATAGCTAAAGATGCTCTCACCATTCTCTGTTTCCTTGCACAGAACACAGTCAACTTCATCAAGACATCCAATTCTCCAAGAACTTCCACAATCAACATCAAGCTCAAGAGTTACCTCCAGGTCACCATGCCCAAAACCCTTACGTTGGTCTGCTACAAGCAGTCCCGCTTCTTCCCTGAGAATACTGCGCACTGGGGGCTGTAAGTTTGAACCTTACTACATACCTTAGCGACGGCACAGGCACACAAGTTCAATGGTTCTAACCTTAGTAGTCTTCTTCAGGAGCAGGGCGCGAAAAGCGGCCGGCTTTTCCATGTTACCAAGGAATCGTACAGAACCGGAATGACCGTGTGTACCCACTATTGCTCCTATCAATTGTTCCAGTTGTTTGTTTTTGAATGCCATCTTTTCTAATCAGATACCACGGTATTGTGAGCCTTAGGGCTACCGCCAAGATATGAATATTGTACCGACTTTTTCTGCTTCCCTTCGAGCCTCGGTTGAGGTGGCCTCCGGCCTCGACCTTGATGTCGACACCCTCGACCGTCTATGCATTGAAGTCGCAAGAGGCCGCCGTTTCGATTTCGTCGTCAACAACTGCCAGAGGTTTTGCGCTCAAGTTCTACAGCGCCTTGTTCAAAATGGAACAATCACTCAGGCCCAATTTGATGCACTCGCCACGAAAGGATTTCGCCCCTTAGTCTAAAAACGGGTCAGAGTCAAGGGCATGGTTGGGAGGCTTTAGTTAACTAGTGGAGAAGACCAAGTAGTTACCAGAACACGTTAGAGTAACTGGCACAACGAAGTAACTATATGTACATTAGTTATACTGGAGACGCCCTTTGAAAATCCATTGCCCAAATGTCACCGTTCTCACCTGCGTATATTAGAGTACCACCGTATCCTCCTAGCTATGATACTACTCTGTTAACTTTCAAGTTAGCCCGAGGCTTAGTCGTGTCAAACCTCTCTCTTTTACTCTCCCTTCTTGCCATTTCTCACTTGTCTTCTGAAGACAGATAGATATAGAATAAGGGGGTAGCAAATTGAGTTTCAAGCACGGAGAAAGCCTTACTTGGCTAGAGATATATATACACAGAGCATGGTAGCGTTACTCCATACAGTTAGGAAGGTGGAATGGAAACAGTGGCATTTCGGCAAGTCGGCGTTTTCATAATGTGGCATCCGAGAAATTGGGCGGTCGACAAGTCTATCCAAGGCTGGTTGGCTCAAGGCTCACCACCTTCCCTGGCTTTGGGCGTGTGATGTAGATGAGATAGACTGAGTGAGTCTTCGTTTCCTTCGCAGCAACACCTCCTTCCTTCCGTTCTCGAATCACCTCGAGGGTAGCGGGTTTAAGAACTTCTTGAACCAACTGGGCCACTGACTCAACGCTTGAAGGGTTCGAAACCATGGAGTTATCCCATCGCTTGCGGATCTGTGCCGTAACGTCTTCAAGGAAGCTGCCAGTAACAGTGCAGCCTCCGGCGGGGAGTGTAACTGTCCCGATCTGCTCACGGGTCGTCTCTCTAGAGCCGTCGCACCGAAATGTGGGAGAGTGGGAACTTATGCCAAAGCGTTCGACGTCTCCAGTCTCAGGATGAAGATGGAGAACATCGATGGTGCCGTGGTCTTCGCCGACAGCGAGGATCACGGAAGGATTTCTCGGTTTGGTAAATGCATCTATGAAACGGGCAAACATGTTGGCTGTTCGTGTGAGGAGTAAAGTTGATAGCAGCGAAAGAGTGATGAAATGTCGGTCCTTTGGCTTCTAAAGAGGCAGAGGAAAAAGATTGTGTGGGAGATAACCATTTGATAAATAGGTCGAGTGGTCCAGATGCCAGGAGTTGATGATAATATATAACTAAAGTATTATTATTAGTTAGCAGCGTCGACGTCTCCACACCGGCGCTTAGAACTCACTGAGCCAACCTTAACTAGTTAATGGCTAGGGGATCATCACGTGGGAGTGAGTGGCTTTGGTTGGTTGGGTTGTAACCTGTTCAGAGTCTCCTGCTACATCCGCCTATATCTATCCCCCATACGGAAACCGAGTGTTCTGTAAACAGTGACATCGATTGGATCATGACTCGGTTTGACGAGGAGAGGATGCAGAGACAGGAACAGGAGCAGGAAAAGATCCGTCAAGAGACATGGCCTACTCTGGAGGGTATCCTGCAATTAACGGGACCAACTATACCATCAGCCGGACGCCAATTCTTCTCTCCTTCTCCTTCCACTATCCTCAAGGTCGGTGCCGATGAAGGTGAAGACACCATGACCGTGCTAGGTCGCTCTATCGTAGGCCCTTCTGTCCCGCGCGTCGACTGCATTGTCACCATTCCCGCCCTGGAGTCACACTTAGAGCCGCAACAAGGCATCCTCATGTCTCGCCAGCCAGGCACACCGCTTGTTGAGATCTGGCCAACACTCTCCCCTTCGCAGCGCAAGTCCATCAAGGAGGAGCTTTCCCGGATGCTTGTGCGTATGCGGACGCCCAAGTTCACCTATTATGGACGTCCTGGGCGCCATCCATACACTCTCCTTGGTGTATACAACAAAGAGATGCATACCTTCTGTGCTTCCCGCACAGAGTGGGACGAGTCACGGATCCAGGCATTGCGGGTATCTGAAGCAGACGCAGAACGTATAGCTGCCCTTGAGAAAGTGCAGCGTGATACCACTGGCACCCCAGGCTGGGATCGGCCTGTTCTCACGCATGGAGATGTATCTGACCGGAACATCCTTATAGACCCTGACACACTCGCGGTGACGGGATTTATAGACTGGGAGATAGCTAATATTATGCCAGCGTACTTTGAGTACGCATGTGCACGCCTGTCTGAAGGCCACGATCCCGAGTGGAGAGTCGAGCTGTTGGATGTGATGAGGTCCGTTTTGCGCCGCGAGTGTGAGGCTATCAGTACCGACAAGGGAGAGCAGTTGTATCAGGAGACATTATTGGCTTGGGATGCAATGGTTGATGTTGAGAGATTTGCGCAGCATTATAACGATGACTGCTGTTGGACTTTTGAGACCGGTCTGCCTGTTTCATAGAAGACCGAATCCGCCATGTAGTTCGTAGAGGCATAATGAACAAATATCAAAAGAGTTGAGAAGAATTCAAAAATTCATTGGACTATATCAAGTATTAGACGAGAGAAGAGGCTGAAATGTACCGCATCAACCGTAAGCAAAAAACCTTTGGTCAAAAACACAGACAGACTCAACCATCTCAAAAACGGAGAGAACGGGAAGCGGGCAAGAAACGAGGCGAAGAAACAGGAAGCCAGCAGACCAGAACCCATAAAACACAAAGCGAGCGGGATGGACATGAATATCGAATTGATTCCAAAGCAACTAAATATTGTACTCTGCAGACTCCGTGTACTAACGTATCAGGATAGGGAGGCGGCAGCAATAAGCATGAACAGGGAAAAGAAGTCGAAAGTATATGAATGAATGTGTGCGGCATATCAGAGAAAGCGGAGAAGAAGGGTAGAGTGGGGGAAGGGGTATCTTAATATGCAGGCATGAACAATAAACGAACGAATTAAGGCAACAAGGAAGCGGAACTCGGGTCGGTTTGGGTTGCGGGAAGTAAGACAACTTAGGAGGCAAACCATGGATAAGATAATAGAATAAAAAGGGAGAAGAAGCCGGGGAATTTGGAAGAGAGAATAAAAAGGAATAATACAAGTATGTATGAAGGGTAAAGAGAGAGATGAGACAGAAAAAAAAAGACGAAAAACGAATAGCCAAAGTAGAGTGTCAAGACATGTAGATATAAAAGACAACCAAAACCAATTTACCGAATTGCACCTTAACGGATACCCCCGATCCCATTGCAGCTCCTTGCCTTTTCTAGTAAGTCCCGGGCCATGAACCGTGTGCTCCCTGCGGGCCTGCCTGGCCTTGTCCTTGTGGTCCTGTTGGTGACCAAGGTAGACTAGCGCCAGTGCCTGCGGATACAGCTGGCATCATGCCTGCACCACCGGCACTGACACCTCCAACGCCCATCCCGAAAGGTTGTTGTATCATGCCTGGGGAAGTGTACATTCTTGCCCCAGCGGCCGCACCTGGTCCCGCCATGGAATACGCGGCATTGACAACACCCGGATAGGCCATAGAATTCATTCCTGGCTGCTGTGGATGGGGTTGCGGTTGCGGCTGCAGTTGTGGAGAGGCAAGCTGCCGTTGGCCTGGCGATTGTGAGGGGTGATGTGGGTGGTGTTGGTTATGCAGAGGAGATGCATACTGTGGATGCTGCATTCCGAGCGATTGATGGTGTTGAGGTTGATGTTGTGTGTGAGACGGTGATTGTTGAGACGGATGGTGCTGCTGCTGCTGCTGATGTGGGAGTGGTTGCTGCGGCGGTGCTCCCCAGAACTGCTGCTGCGGGTATGTATATAACGACGACTGAGATGAGACTGGGAGAGAGACGGGAGTGGAGGAGAGGGGAAGCGACATGGGATTGTTTGGAGAGCGGTGATGTCCTTGCTGCTGCTGCATGGTGCGAAGAGGAGGTGACATGGACGGTTGCTGGTGCTGGGGTTGCTGGTGGTGCTGGGGCTGCTGCTGCTGATGGTGAAGAGCAGGTGAGTATGATGTATGAGGTGTCATGACGGTCTGTGGCTGTTGCAGCATTGGTTGTGGCTGTAGGGACGACATCATGCCGGAGGAGCTGAGTTGGGGGGATTGCAAATTCGTGTTGCTAAGTTGGCTGCCAGCAGTGGATGACGGAAGAGGTTGGACATTCGCATCTGATATTGGGATCTCGCGCGGTCTATTCCAGTGGTCTTCCAAGCCCTTCGCGCGGAAACTGCGCTGCTGGTTAAGTATCTTGCTAAACTCTGCCGTATGCGACGCCTGGTTAACAATATCGGCGGCAGCACTAGGGACGGAGCGGTCCTGGTAGGGTTGACCACCTAGGTCTTGCCTAGGGCGTGGAAGACTGCTGTATTCGCGAAGACGCGGATCGTCGGACGGGGCGGGGTTGATCATAGGGAGGGGAGCAAGTGAAGCGGGATGGGATAGCGTCGATGGCAGGCCGTGTGCATCGGTCGAGGTGTTGGTGTAGATAACATCGTTATGACCCAAAGAGGGTATGGCATTCATCGAAGCGGCAGCTTCGGCGGCGGCAGCTTCGCGTGCCTTTCCTGCTCCAGGACGTTTCTCGCCAGCCATGTCTTCTTCTGTAAATCCTTGTTTGATAGCCTTGCTTTCCCAGTAATCATCGCGCACGCGTCGGCCGTTAACTATGACTCTACTGCCGAACTGGCGGAACATGGAACGAGCGGTAACTATGGCAATCTGGCGCGAGCGGTACGAGTACGGCAGGATGTCCTGCGCGATCAAATCGTCCTTTTCAGCCTGGTTGGCGATAATTTTGAATAGGGATCTATTCTTGTTGAAGAGGAGGTAAGAATCGCGGTAGCCTAGCACGCGCGCACACTCCGTAGCCAGCATGAAGAGCTTGTTGCCGCGATTTGCGAGGCGAAAGGTGCGACACTTGTAGGTGCGGGTATCCTGCAGATAACCTAGCCCGTCGACTTTCTTCTCGCCGTTGGCATCGAACTCCTTGGGGATATACTCATCGCCATCTTCCCCTAGCTGGTCGGTCGTGTGGTCTCTGACTGTGGGCAGGGCTTTGAGAACGGACTTTGTCGGCGTAGCCTTGGGCGGAGACGACTGAAGGGCGATATCTGGGGCTATCCTGGGCGTCTGTAGGGGAGACTGCGAGGACGCCATGGCCGCTGCAGTTGTCGTTATCGTCGTAGCAACAATGGGCGTGTTGTTGCTGATACTGGTGTTGTTGCTGCTGATGTTGGCGTTTGTGCTGATGTTGTTATGGCTGGCGGTAATGGTGGTGGAGGTGCTCGGCGGGCGGGTGGCTTTTGGGGGTCGCCCTCTTTTGCGCCTACTGTCTGCGATAGATTGTCAGTAGGGCTGTATGCTAGAATTTTTTTTCCTTTTCCCTCTTCCGCCCTTCTCTTCCTTTTCGCTTCTCGCTCTGGCACGCTTTCTGTTCTGCTCTTCTCTGCTGAAGTGGAGTTGCTACGCTAAGGTTTGGGTAGGCGACAAGGCGATTTCAAAGAAAATGAGGAAAAGTCGGACTTCAGCGAAGTCTTTCATCCGCCCAAAGATTAAAAACTCACCATCTTCGACATCTGGGTCGGCGAGCTGTTCGCCATACTGGTCTTCTGAACGGCTGCGCTTGATGCCGCGGGAGCCAGTCGCGTCCGCGGTGAGATCTGTAGCAAGCACAGTAGATGGAAGGGAGACTGCTGGGTCAGTATATTATTATCATGGCCATCGTAGCCGCCGTCGCCAACATCCGTCTGAACGGACAGCAAACACAGAGAGATTAAGGACGGGCAAGAGGATAAAACAACGTACTAGGAGAGTTGAGATCCGCGGGGTTGATAGTCCCGGAGTCGACGCGGTTGTTGCCCATGCCGCTGCCGCCGTTAACCTGGGCGGGCGCGGAGGTTGTATACATCTCGAGGGGGAACTGTGTGTTCACGATGGGCGGAGGGGGAGGAGGAAGAAAAGGGTGGGGAGGACGAGGGCGAATGGGATGATGGAGGAGATGATGGAAGGATAGAATGTATGAGAGAGGATGACGAGCGGATGGATAGTAGTGGTGGAGGGCGCGTTTCTTTTTTTCTTTTTTGCTTCTTCCCTTCGACCCTTCTCTCGCTGTTGATGTCTTGTCTTTCCTATCTGTGTCCTCTCTCAAGGGGCGCCACAGTGATATCACAGCGAGGATGTACTAGACATGTCTGGGCGTAGACGTTGGGATAACTCGCGAAAGATGCCGGCTCGGAGATGCTAGCCCAGCAGCGCGGAAGGGGGGATGGGGACAGGACAGTGGCGCAGTGTATATTCGGTCAGGGAAACGTCTGTTAGTTGAAGAAGTTGCAGAAGGAAGAACAGGCGATGCAGGCAGCCGACGCTAGAGCAGGGATGGAGGAGGATGAGAGGTAGAGACGAGAGTCGACAAGACGAGGATCTTCCACCTGGGGAGCAAAGTATAGAGAGGAGCAAGGAAAAAGCAACGAGCACTGGGCTCGCTCATGATCGTGTAGGTGACTCTGCAGAAAGCGAAGGGAGCTGATGATGATGGTAGCTGCACAATAATAGTAGTAATAGACTTCTCCAGGGATGGCGCTGCTTCATCATAGGGTGGCCGTGGGTTGCTCCAGGACGTTTGTTGATAGGCTTTCGGAGGCTGGTCCGTATAAAAAGTAATGTATATATATTCGTTATTTAGACATCTCTTGCTTGTCTGAACTGGTTTTTGGCGAAGAAGAAAAAGGCTACAGGCTGGGGCCTCTTGTTACTTTTAGCATGCGGCTCTGCTTAGCCACCAGCGTCGTCAGCGACTACTCCGGACAGGGAATTCCGTCTCTGATGATATGTAGAGGTGAGGACAGCACAGATGGTCGGTCAGAAAGAGTCAAAGCATCGTATCCATGGCGGAGATCCCATAGGAAGAGAGGAGCTTTTTCTGAGAAGGACCCCCAAGTTGCAAGGATACGCCGGATAATAATAACCACCCACGCCGGTCATGGGATGCTCCTCAACTAGGGATCTGTACAAGGAAGAGGGAGTCGTCGAGATGTATCCTCTTGGGCGATCGCGGGATCTGATCCGAGTCAGCTGAGATGCAAGACATGCATAAAACCTCAGAGATATGGCTTTCCGCTCTGTGCTTTCTCCTCCCTCTTATACTCCTGCTTGTTGGACCTTCTTTGGCTTGATAACTACTTAGTTATGCTGGACGCTGTCTCAGTGTGAATCAAACACTCTGCCCATCTGCCGGAAGACGGGATTATCAGTTCGCTGCATAGAATAAGGCTACAATGGCCAAGGTCTCATCTCTATGAGATTCTATACTCTGGACGGAGTACTCGAGCTGCGACTTTTGTCATACTTGCTTTTTGTGTCCGCCTGATGGTGAAAGAAAAAAAAAAAAAAAAAACAAACAACATCCGAACTGCGGTGGACATCGACGGCATTGCGTCGAGATGTGATGTTACCGTGCCATAGAGCTGAAGAGAAGCCAGAGGGACAAACGCCATCTTCAAGTTGCAGCTATTAGACACATCACATCCGATGTGACCAGTGCTGAGCCGTCTTCGCTGATTGCCAGGGCTCTCGAGTCGGGGAATTTTTCCCTCTCGGAGCATTTCTTGAAGCCTTGTCCTATCTTGTCTTAATTTATTGTAGTTATCTTGCAACAGAAGAGCCGTTCCCTAAGCACGAAAGAGATAGACATGAGTACGGTTATCAAGCCACAGGTTCCAGAAAACTCACGAGTTCGTTTACTTAACTGGTTCGTTAGTTACGATGGTCTGCTCATCAGGTTTGGCTGTACCACCTCTGCCATTCCTGTGCTGCTTCCAACCCCATCCGCTATATTATTAATGTTTGCTCCTGCGCCTCGCTCTGCTTCAGATGTCGACAAGACGCGTTCTGCTCTTCCTTGCTGGTCGTACATCCATCTCAGCCTCCCTGCTGCTGCTCCGTTGATCCGGACTAAGCAGCCAGCAGGTTGAACAGGCCAACGCACTTCGTTTAGCGACCGTTCTTCTCTCTTCCGCCAGCCAGCCAGGCCAGGGATATGCCCTGCACGGCCATGATACACCCCATGAGACAAGCTGAAGAAGAAGCCAAAAAGAAGTTGAAGTTGAAGCTGAAGTTGAAGTCGCGACGTTGAGATAGGTATAGATCTGGTCACGTGAAATTCCCTTTTTGGGCATTTGTTTACACTTTGATATATAAAAGGGAGCAGAGCTACGGACTACAATATACGAACAAAATGGCGTCCTCTGAGATGAAATGGAAGAACTTGGGTGGAATGAAAAGGACAACTGTCAGTAGGTAGATCAAGAAGGAGCCTTGTCGCTGCTGGGCCCTGGCTCGACGTTGCGGGTCGGACGAGGACGGACATGTCGGCGGCTGAAGCTATAGTAGTCCACATTGCGGTCAGATTCATACGCATCTTCCTGGCCAAACGCCGCCCTGCGAAGAGCCCTACGCTCTAGTGTACAGGTCTCTCTCAGCATCTCTCACTTAACAATCGCCGCCTCTACGGCACGCTGGCACCGTTCGGGGTAGTCTTTGTATTTGGCACATATGTGGATAGTCTGGCCTCCCGGGGTCGAGAGTATATGAGCAGCCGCGAGAACTCGCCGCATTTGATCGTGCGTGTTCCATATTTCTCCGCAAAGTCGTACCCTTTCTTACGTGCAAGCGTGAAGAGTTTCTCGTTGATAGATACCGGTGGTATGGTGAGCTTTGGGTTCTCCCTTTTACCAGCAACTCCAGGAAGAGCATGGCGGGAGATATCGGTGCTGCCTTTGTTCCCACCTTTGCCTACTCGACGATGAGTCTTAGGAAGAGGGAGGACCTCGGCAATAGTGTCGGAATTGATATCGCTGTTGGACTAGGTTGACTCGCCTTCGTTAATGTTGAGCTCGGACTTGATCATCTCTTCCAGTATCACGGGGCATGCCGAGGGTGACATCTTGGTTATATGGCAGGTATCAAATTTGATATGGAGCTCCAACGGCCATGTAAAATATGAGTTTGGCTGGCAAAAAGATATGCTGAGGAAAAAGATGCACAGGTTCTCAAGCCGCTTCCCTGCTTTTTTTATAGCTTTTAGTCGGCTCAATCACCTTCACGAACGTGGCAGGTAGGTCGAGTATTCTTGTTCCCAGAATCTTGGGCATATTCTATTCACCACCTTTCAGGTGGTGGAATACAACCCAAGTAATAATATATATCAACATTTCAATAATAAATTATCGGAAGGAGAGTGCACATCAAGATTGCGACTCTTCACTCATCATTTAACAGCAACAAGGTATAAAACAGAGGTATGTTCAGAAAAACGCTAATTCATCGTCATCGTCATCATCATTTTCCATCCCAATCGTTCATATATCGACTTTTCAGGGGTTTCGTTAATCGTTCTGTTCGCGTCATCACCTGCCCGCTGGCGCAGGGGTGTCGAGACAGGGATGTTATGCTGCACACTACCTTTAGCGGGAGTACTTGGCTGCATAAAGTCAACTCGTCTAGGCACCGTCGATTCGCTAACAAACATCATCTGCTTCGGTCTAGGGGGAGTTTCACCCACTTCAGCCGATGTAGAATGTGCGGAGGTGTCAAGGCCAAATTTTATAGAGCTAGATTTGTAAGAGCAAGGTTTCGATGTGCGGGCCAAAATAGGACTCAGCTCTGCCTCTATGCCGCTCTCCATGGGGTTAGAGGTGGCACTTGGTTTCAACCCGTTTGAAGAGGGTTTGGACGGTGTTTCGTGAACGAGGTCTTCTGTTCTTGAGAAGTTCAGAATAGGCTGGCTCTTAGGTAACATGCCTGAGTTTGAAGGGCGGGTACTTGACGATGGCACTACCTGAGTATCAGGATCAGGTATCGGGCTTGCCATGACGGTTGGCCTTGACTGTTTCCATGCCTTGGGCAAGGACGGCAAGTCGGCAAATCCGCAGTCTTTGTTGCGCGGCCCCTTCGGCGTCGCCATAACCTGTACTCCTTGAGCAAAAGGATTTCGGGTGGGATTCTTTTGCTTCCTAGGATGGGAGGCTGCCGATGACGCTGATCTCTTCTCCGCAGACTCGACGAAATCCCTCACCGCAAGCTCTCTGTTGGGTTTTCTGAGGGCATTGATAGCTGCATCCAACTCACGTTTCTGGTCCACTAAAAGATTCATCCTCTTCAACTTCGACTCGTGCTGTTTGGCCACGGCCTCAAGATCCACCTCCCGGTTATTGGCTCGTTTCGGTTTCTGAATGTCACCCCTCCCGCCTATAGAGGTGGAAAACGACAACCGGTCATTACTCTCACGTTTCACCTCTGCAGTAGCAGGAGCAGTGTTATTCCGCGCCAGGCTGGGGACTTTTGCCCTAGCAGGTATCTTCTCGTCAGTTCTGACGCGCTGTAGAGTCCTCTTCGACGGTTGTCCCTTGGCGGATTTTGATAATGGATTTGTCGAATGTTTCTGGTTGGAACGATTAGGCCTAGCAGGTGATGAGATGGCGGGGCCTCCTAGTTTGCGATTTATGACCTGACATTTCTCAGGGAGGCGGGCAGAATAGAAAGGGATAATGACCTCAGTGCAGAAATCACGGAGCTTATCATTATTTGGTTTCCCGGGTCCAGTGGCCACCTTGGCTGAATTGACGGCAATCGCGAAGTCATGGGAGCTCACTGTATGCCAAATGCACAATCTGTCCAGAAGTAATTCCAATGCCGTAGCCATATCGTGTGCCTTTTTGATGGCCTTTTTAGGCTTTTCCATATTTTCGTCATCAAGTTCGGCCGGGCTGCCAACACTTCCTTCTAGAAGCATTATCTCTAGGATCAAGAGGATTTGCAACTGGGTCTCTCTCATACGTATGTCTTCGATCAGCCTCTTCCTTTGGGTTTCCAACGCGGACTTCTCTACCAACGAGTTGGTTTCATAGACAGATTTCCACCACTTGGAAATGAACTCCTCTTCGCCTGCATATAAACCGTCCTTGCCAATAGTTTTCTTCTTGCTCTTACGCTTCTTTGCAGGTGCAATCTTATCACCATCAGACTGGGATTGGGTGATATCTGCTACTATTCTTGGCAAGGAATCCCTGTACTTCGCATCCATTTTTTTCATAGGGATAATACAAGAACGATAGTAGTGATACAATACCGTTGGCCTCATAGATGATGCATCATCTGGATTCTGGAAAGCGGCTCGAGCACGCGTGAGAGGACCCTTTGCAAAGTAGGCCACGGATGTCTAATATGGTTTAGAATATACACTCAAAACCAAAAATGAGGGTCTTACCTTTGATATATATAAAGCTTCAAGGTATTGCATCTTGAGTGTAGAAAGCATATCTTCGGCATTGTTAACAGTGTTGGTTTGCGGAAGAATTTGGCTGTCAGCGAAATATTCGGCAGACAGACTGATGCCAAGCTCAATTTTGTCTCCCTCTTTTGGAGATACTTCTGTTGCAACTGCTGGTGATGTCCCGGTTCTGTCGAACTGGCTCGACACGGGGTCTTCATGCGGGGAGTCTCCAAAAGCGAAGGAGACAGCTTGAGCAGGTATTTCTTGGAACAAATCAATATCAGGAATGGTAGCAAATTCCAGGCTGTCCGTGAATGGGTCGGAAGGCGACTGAACAGGTCCAAACTCTTCCTGAACTCCGCTGGATTTGGATGCAACTGCCAAATCCCCTTCCTGAACTACGCCCCTTAGAGGACATATAGCATATACGTATCGCTTCACCCTTTCAACCACGTAGTACTCTTTCAGTACTTCGCCGTAATGGCGTTCCACCGTATCTGAAATTGCCGCGGCCAACACAGATGAGGCATTCTCGCCGGAAAGACTCTGCTCAAGAGCGGGTATATTTGCCGTGAATAGGCTTCCTGGTCGTATGCGTCGTGGAGATGACAGGCACGTATCCAGCCATGATAGCGGAATTCGAGAGCGCGGTATTAAGGCTATAGGGTAGAGGCTATGTGGTTTATCTGACAAGGAGGTACCGCAAGGCTAAGAGTTACTGACATCAGCTGTTTGTTTTTTTGAAGGTAAGATAGGCTTAATGAGCAACGCACATTTATGGTAAATTTAGCCAGTGCAGATTTACCAACAGCACCATCACTGTCATTATCTAACTTTAATCTTTTCGAAGGGGGAAAGGAATCATGGCTATCGTCCAACGAGCCCCTAGATGGCACCTTCGAAGTCGTTAGGAGGGGGAGACACGTAGCCATCCAGCCATAACTCTAACAATTTCAACGCAATGAAAAGAAAATAGTATGGAAGAGACGCAGGGAATGCAGTGACGCAAATAAGCTAACAGCTCAAAATTAAACAGTGGAAAAAAACGTATAAACCTCACACTTTCAAGCTCATAGACATGGTCGCTATCTCGATTGTTTCTATCAATTTAAAGCAAGAAGACGACGCGAAGTCACTCGCACGTGATGTTAAACCTTCTTTAAGGTTCTTCGAGCGCGTCGGGTTTAGAAGCTTGTTAGTAAGCAACCTTCTCGCGCTTTACATAATCTTAACGCCGGAAAGTCCCGGTGTGACCGGTTGCCTGGGGTCTTTATACTTGAGACCTGGTATTTTAGCACGATGACAGGACGACAGGGAGTCTACTGAGATACATCACCAAGGGTGAACTTAAGCCGGAAGTGTGATACTATTTAGATGGAAGAGTATATTGGCTGACATTGCATAAAAGCTAAGAAGCCGAATTGATAGTTTGATTGGTTCTATCTACCAGGCCACCGAATGGCTGGTTCAACTTTTTCACCGAAAACGCCCTCCGCCTGATATAATGTTAAATGTAGTATGTGTAAAAGCGTAACAAGGAAATTGGTATCATGTTGAATTATTCCGGAGATGCTGCAACAAAACCAGTTTGTAAATGCAATAAAGAAAAGTCGTGTAGATCCCGTAAAACAGACGAAAGGGTCGTAAGTCTATTTTGTATATGCTTTGAGTTGTTGAAAACAAAGCAAACGATCATCACTATGATGAACTTGTTTTGTTACAACCGGAGGAGGAAGAGGAGGTGATTAATTGGATAGGAGGAGCGGAAGTAGAAGAGGGCGGAAGAGTAGAGGGGTAAGGGTAAGATGTTTAGAAGTTGAGGGTCTTTGGCTTCTCCCAGGAGAAGCTCTGGTCGGTGAAGTGACCGTTCTTGGCGGTTTGGAAGTAGATGGGCTTGGCGAGGTCGAGGTCCTTGACGATGACACCAGGACGGAGGTCAAAGTTCTTTCGGATGATGTCGACGAGCTCGTCGGAGGTCTTGCTAGAGGTGCCGTAGGTCTCGACAAAGATGGAGAGAGGTTCGGCAACACCGATGGCGTAGGAAAGCTGGACGAGGGCACGGCGGGCGAGCTTAGAGTGGACGATGGACTTGGCGATCCATCGGGCGACGTAGGCAGCAGAGCGGTCGACCTTGGAGTAGTCCTTTCCGGAGAAAGCACCGCCACCGTGAGCACCCCAACCACCGTAGGTGTCGACGATGATCTTACGGCCAGTGAGACCGGCGTCACCCTGGGGACCACCGATGATGAAGAGGCCGGATGGCTGGATGTGGTAGATGGTGCGGTCGTCGAGAAGGTTGGCAGGGATGACCTTCTTGATGATCTTCTCGAGGATCTCCTTTCGGAGGACCTCGGTAGTGATTTCCTCACTGTGCTGAGCACTGACGACGACAGTGTCGACGCGGACGGGCTTGACGGCACCGTTGTCATGAGCATACTCAATGGTGACCTGGGTCTTGGTGTCAGGGCGGAGCCATGGGAGGGAGCCGTCCTTGCGGGCATCCTTCATGGCACGGTTGAGCTTGTGGGCAAGCTGGATGGTCAATGGGAAGAGTTCAGGGGTCTCGTCGGTGGCATATCCGAACATGATACCCTGGTCACCAGCACCCAACTTCTCCAGGGCCTCATCGTAGTGAAGACCCTGGGCAATGTCGGGGGACTGCTGCTCGATGGCAACAAGGACGTTGCAGGTCTTGTAGTCAAAGCCCTTGGCAGAGTCATCGTATCCGATGTCCTTGATGGCATCACGGATGATCTTCTGGTAGTCAAGACGAGCCTTGGTGGTGATCTCACCGAAGACCATGATCATACCTATTGCGACGGTCAGCAGCCGGGAACACACAAATCAAAGCCAAGCGCAATGCGAGACAAGCATATACTACTACTTACCGGTCTTGGTGGCAGTCTCGCAAGCGACCTATGGTTTTCGTGGATGGTTAGTAACCGCAGAGACTTCCGACAACAGGGATCTGGAGGGGTGATGGCCACCTTGGAGAGGGGATCCTCAGCGAGACAGGCATCGAGAACGGCATCAGAAACCTGATCACTGCGCTCAATTGTTAGCAGGCCAGCCGGAGCAGACTCCTGGAGACACGACAGCCATTGCAACTTACGCGATCTTGTCTGGGTGACCCTCGCCGACGGACTCGGAGGTGAAGAGGAAGTTGCCCTGAGTGGCACCGTTTGCTAAGCTGCCCATTGTGACGGTCTGGATATCTGTCTGTCTAGCGAAGAGGAGCAAAGAAACACAGGTAGAACGAGCAACAAAGACAAGACGATATCGCTGTCCGGGAGGAGGCGTTGCAGAGTGCTGTTGGGGGTGGAGGGGGAGCCGGAAAAGAGACCTGAGTTGGAGGTTTGGTTTTGGGAAAAGGGGGCCAGGACGAGGCGGGAGCAAAAAGGCGGATGGGCTTAAGTAGTTTATGTAAGTCGGCGGGCGGTCTGGCGGGGCAGAAAAAAAAAGAGCGCCCCGGAAGGAAAAAAACGAGGCTGCCGAAAGGGGAAGGCGGTGAGGGGCGGCAGAACAAGAAAAAAAAAAAAAAAGGCTCCGAGGGGCAGGTTTTGGCAGAAAGCCCAAAGGGGAAAGGCGGTGACCTTGCTAGTAGTAAACTGCGCTCGTCTTCAAAGAAAGGTACTTTTGTAAGTATATAAAGCTAGAGCAACTAGAGCAGCTGCGGACGCAGAGAGCCGGTGATAACTAGCGGGTATACAAGCATGACACGGATGGACTGAGGGCTGACCGAGTGCTGTTGGGCTTGTGAAGGCACAGCTGAAAAGGCGACAGGATAACTACACCGAAAGGCTGACGGATCCCCGAAGCCCGTTGCCTCGATCCCAGCCGCGAGGCGGGCGCCGCAGAACCACACACGAGTTGAGAGGAACGAAGAGGAAAGGAAACTAGCCGAACAATCCTAGCAAATAATATAAGCAATACGCGGGACCAGCATGTCGAAGTTCGGGGTCCTGGTCATGGGCCCGGCCGGCGCGGGCAAGACGACCTTCTGTACGTCGCTCATCCAGCACCTCCAGAACACTCGGCGCAGCTGTTTTTATGTCAACCTCGACCCGGCCGCCGAGAGCTTCTCCTACGAGCCCGACCTGGACATCCGCGAGCTGATCACCCTCGAAGATGTGATGGAGGAGATGGGCCTGGGCCCCAATGGCGGCCTGATGTACTGTTTTGAGTTCCTGCTGCAGAATCTGGACTTTCTCAACGACGCCCTCGACCCGCTGAGCGAAGAGTACCTGATCATCTTCGATATGCCGGGCCAGATAGAACTCTATACTCATGTCCCGCTCCTGCCGTCGCTCGTCCAATATCTGTCCCGGTCTGGAGCCCTTAACATATCTCTCTGCGCCGCCTACCTGCTGGAAAGTTCCTTCGTCGTCGACCGGCCCAAGTTCTTTGCCGGCACGCTGAGTGCCATGTCCGCCATGATCATGTTAGAGATACCACACGTGAACATCCTCAGTAAGATGGACCAGATAAAGGGTGTCATTGGCAAAAAGGAGCTCAAGCAGTTCACTTCGGTGGATGTCAATTTGATTGAGCCTGGCAACGAGGAGGAGTCAACTGGTCGAGACCCGTCTTCCACCACCGAGGTCCTGACCGGTAGCTCATTCAACCGTTTGAATAAGGCTGTTGCCCAACTAATTGATGATTTTAGCATGGTCTCGTTCCTCAAGCTTGATGCGCAGGACGAGGATAGCATCTCTGCCGTTCTAAGCTATATTGACGACGCGATACAGTACCATGAAGCGCAAGAGCCAAGAGAGCCCGCTGCTGACCCCGAAGCCGAAGCGGACATGGAATGATCCGCTTATTTCCAGTTTATTGATACCATCATCATCTTCGAGCCGGGTGGATGGTGTATTACAACGCGGCAAAAAGGAAAGAAAGAAAGAAAGAAGCTTAGCGCCGCGCTAGGCGGAGATGGTGCAATAATGGCCTGCGATGATGGTACAAGCGACCGTCAACAACAATGCAAGACCAAATAACCGCATGGTTAGCCATGGATATCCGCAGCTTTGAAAGGAAACGGATATCCACTCGGTTGCCATGGAACCGGTTTGGGTACCCATCCCCAATGTGTCATGAACATTAAAAGTGTTTAAAAGAACTACTAGTTAATACAAAAAAATACCAAGAATAATAATATGAAAAGGAAGTATGCTGCCCCAAGTTCAACCAAGACGTGCCAGCATGGATCGTAATTTTCACCTCCATGGCCTGCCTTGCGAACTCCTCCATTGATCCTGCGATCGCCACCCGCCCGTTGTCCGAGAACTCCTACCAGAAGGCGGCTCGTTTGCTATCAGCTGCCGGATGAACCCTTCCAGCAACCCAAGCACCCACGCAGCGTCATACCATACTTGCTCCCACCCGACGTTATACGCATACCATGCAACTCCTGCGATCGCGCCCCAAAACACCAACCGGAACACCAACATGACCCAAAACATTATGACCCTCCGTGCATAGTCCAGGATTTTAAGCGATATGATGAAGATAAGAAGCAGCGCGAGTATCGAGTAGAGGTCTGGAGGCGAGTTGAGCAGAGTATTTATCGGCCTGATGAGGTATGGCTCAATGTATGTGAGTTGGGTTGAATGCCAGTGATCCCGGGCTAGTTGTATGTATGTGAAGATGTTCTGTAGTATTGGAGGAGGGATGAGGCGCGATAGTTGGTTGAGCGCTGGGAGAATATAGTCTAAGTATGCCTGTCAGCTCTTCGTTGCCGGGTTATTATGTAGCGCTACGCATTGTTTTGGTAGCCATGACGCCAATCTTACCTCTCAGAGGCGAGTCTCCTTCAAAAGCAGCCATGATCAAGTAGAAGTCGAACAGCCTGGTTCTTGTTTTATGTCCTCTCTTGGGCGATATAGGAAAAAATATTCCGTGGTATGATTCTCCAACTGCGTGATTCCAGTCAAGCTCCGTTGTACTTTGCTTTCCTTTGCTTCTCCAGCGTTGAACTTCAATTATTTACTTTGCTGGCCAGATCTAGTGTCAGGTGACTTTAAAGCGAATTGCTTAGTAACTAAGTGCGCATAATTTACTTCTAGACGTTCAATATAATAAGTAATAAATTGCAAGAAAGGTAATGTTAATACAGAATTGAATAGTAAGAGACAACAAAGGGAAAAAAAGCCAAGAGAGGGAAAGATTAGAAAGGTGAAATGGGAAAAGGGAAAAGGTCAAGATAGTCAGACAAATGTGAAGGGAAGCCGCTCCGGATAGCAGGACAGGCGATCAACGTCTAAAATGCCAGAGAGATCGCGTGAATGATTTTCGCTGAGCGAGAAAGGCCTCAGAGGCTTTAATGCCTACCTTCGGCTTCCTTTTCCTCATCTTCGGTAAGCCCAGGCCATTCATTGATCACCTCCAAGTCCACAAAGAGCGTCCCAATCTCTTCCTTTCCGTCAAAGATTTTCAGGTTGCCATTCTTAGCAACAGTAGTAGGGAACTCGCCACCACCTTCGTGCACGCTCTTTCTGTATTCCAGCTCCTGCGTGCATCCTTTGCCTTTAGTTCCAAATTGCATGAAGGCCGGTCTGCACAGCTCGTCATAAGCACCGTCGTCCTTGATCAGGTCCCTGCCACGGTCTGTCAAAGTCAGCCTGGTCCTGAGACCAAGCGCATCCTTGACATCATGTTTCAGAAGGGGTCTAGCGAAACCGCTATCACCGTATTTGAATGTTGTATCGCCCAGTACCTCGTAGGCTTCACCTTCGCCTTTGTCGATCACAGCCGCTCTCATCTTGTCACAGAAAGGGTCGGTTTTTGCGCGGAATGGTCCTGCCTCCTGAAAGACGCTAGGGATGTGCTTGGCATCCTTGTAATTGGTACAAGAAGCCTCGTGGCCATAAGATTTGCCGCGGGCTGCCAAGTTTTTGCCATTTGGCTGGGTGAGGTAGATGCAGTCCTTGATCACCTGAGTCTCGACGGCATCGACATCAGGGAAGGAAGGGTAGCTCTTCTTCATACACTCGGCGTATTTAGGTCCTCCATTTTCGGCCATGATTCTGTTCAAATCGGGAACGCCAAGAGGGGATCCATTAGAATTGTCATGTCGTTTGGTATGGACAGCATCAGCAATGCAAGAGGCAGTGGCTTCCGCAATAGCCCCCGTTATTTTGCCAAAAAAGCCCCTTCTAGCCAGACAGGAAAGGACACGCTCTGGACCATCCTTGATTTGAATTGGTGAGGCGTAGACCGATGGGGCGAGGAAAGAAACAAGAAAGGCGGCAGTGGCAGGAGCCATGATAGCAGAGGTAAATTGAACCATCTTGTCAGTTGGGATATTTAAAAATGTTTGGTTTTGGGGGCTTGTAGGGAGCGGAGGAGCGATTGAGCTGGTTTGTCTGGAAAAGGATCTGTGTGTTTGAGTGTTTGGATAGAAGGAAGAACTCCATGGTGGTTCTGCGGTTTATATAGACAAACTTCTCGGTCCTTTTGCTGCTAGATACATAGTGATTCAAGGCATATCACTGTTCAGGCACAACTGTCTGTTGTGTAATGCATTGCATTGCGTGAATTGGTCATGAACCTGCTCATAAGCGCAGACTCAAATCTTGAGTAAGCCATTGGCATAATAGTGTGTAAGCTCAGACAAAGAGTAAGGACTACTATACTGCTATGCTAAAATGGCAATGTACTCAGGGTATCATCAGGACTGCATGTATCCCATGGGGCGCAGTGATGAGAAGCTGGGCCTAAATTTGAGGATATCGACATCTTGGGTGTTGTTGATGAAGTAACGCGCTTGCAGTCTTCGCGGCTGCGCTAGCGACAAAATCGATTAGTAAATTTTATTATGTAATTGCAAAGTTACGTGTTATTGGCCAGTATATCTCGCACTGGTCAACGCCAAGACCAATCAAGCGACCTGCGCTAAAAATAGCAAGAACCCGAGTCTCCAGAGTACGTCCCACATTGCCATCTGTCTATACTTATATGCAGGGGGCCATGGTTACAGGTTAACTGCATGTGAATAACACTCCGGCCAGCTCTCCACTCTATCTGGCGCACAATACGGAGTATGCTTAGAGCAAATGCATTTTGAGGCAGCTTCATGTTGGTGTCCATGCAGTATCATTATGAGTGAAACCCACCACTTCTGAGCTATCAACTAGTTTTAACATGACTCCTCACTGAGCATGACGCGGTAACTAGCCCGGGGAAACTGTAAAGAGCTTTCTCTCCTTTGTATTCCTGGTATGAGTCAATTGTAGGCTGCTTGCTGGCCATGAGCAGAAAAGCGTAAAGCGAAGTTTGATATCCTCTGCAGCTAACTCTGTCATATCGACCCTGTAGCATGAAAAGCTGCAAGCTGAATTATCCCGTAGGTCCAGTTATGCGCCATGACTATAACTGAAACTCGGGTTTCAAAAATGCTGGTGCGAAGTTCGTTAATTTCGATTATCAGCGTATTCAGAACTCGCTCTGACGGCGCAAGCACTCTTCCTCGTTTCAGAGTGGCAAATGAAGAGTTCCTTCATACATCAAGAGCTTGTCAGAGACCCAGGTAATGCTATTATTTGTCCCAATAGTGATCTGGTACTCTGTTAGTGGAAAGAAGCAGCCTATCAGACAAGCAATGGAAAGAGCAAGAATTCAGCATAGCGTAGCATCGCATTGATTGTTGAAGGGCAGCAAGAAGAAAAACATAAGTAACAAGGAAGCTAGAATACAAGATTCGAAACGGTGGGTTGAATGCAAGATGTCCACCTCCGTTGTCGAGGAAAGCAGGAAAGAAGATCCGTAGTCTGGTACCATCGCACTTCCCAACCTGGAGTGACTATTAATTCCTCCATGGGGAAAAAAAAAGAATAAAGTAGAACAGTAAAACAAAGGGGCCCTGGCTGACCTCAAGGTATGTATAAAACTCGCAGAGAGTCGAAATATGACAAAGGTAGTATGGGAAAGAGAAGTAAATAGAGAAATAAACTCCAAAAAATTGAAGAAGACCAAAGGGAATCAACCATGTCAAGCCAAGCCAAGCCGACGTGAAAATGCGCCTGTTCAATGCTGGGATATGGAAAAAGAAAAGAAATTTAGGGTAAAGATAGGTGAATAAAATATTAGGAGTAATTGAGACTCGTGCAATCCCTTGCACGGTCTATATATTAAGCCTCTAACAGAATGAGATGGTAGGATTGGTTTGTTTATTCGACATCTATCGTTTCGTAGTTGACTTCATGGCTCGTTTATGGGCGGTGGTGATGGTTGTTGTATTATGGCGGAAGGCGGTAGTATGTTTTGCGTATTTATTAAGTATTATTAGCATTGCTGTATCTGAGCTTGTAGCCTTCTTGTCTGGCGAAGTGCTTCATCCCTGTAGATTGCAATTGTTAGACTGCACAGTCAACTATTTTGCATTAGAGTGATCAAAGGACATACCTGTCTGACTGCAGTTCGGCAACCTGCATCTGTGCCGTATTCATCCGACTGACGACCTCTCCCATCTCAGCATCTGCATCTCTCAAAGCTTGCTCCAAGGCTCTAACTTTGCTTTCGAGGTTCTCAATTTGGGCCACCTGGTTCAAGCCTTGGGCCTCACCACTGGTCGTCTTGGTGAGACGAGGTGACCTGGACGTTGGGAAGGGTGAGTTTGGCAAGACGGGGGAAAGCATCATTGGACTTCGGACACCGTCCTTGGCTCTGAGAAGGAGGGCATTGTGATTTTCCATGAGAGCGGAAACCTCCTGCTCATGCTTTCCAACTTCTTCTTCCGAGCGTTGCTGTGCGAGCATGAGCATCTCCTCCAATGACTTGAGTCTCGATTGCATCTCGTTTATCTTGGTAGCCGAAAGCTTCTGTTCACGTTCACCCTGGCTGATGGCGTCGGCAAGTCGGGCTCGCAAGGAAGCATTTGAGGCGACTTGTTTCTTGATCTCATTCTCGAGATCTTCATTTGGTATCGGTGAGCCTGGCTCAGCATTCTCCCTTTCAATTTTGAGCTGTGCATACATTTCTTCCAAGGAACTGGCGGTGGTGTGGAAATCAGTCATACCATTTGCATCGGTTCCGTCCATATGAGGAACAGGGATATCGTAGTCCTGCAGCAGAGCGCGGAGAGAGCTTGTTTCTTGTTCGGCACGATCAAGGTCCATCTTTAGCCCGGCAAGCCCCTTCTCACACTGCCATTTTTGATCAAGGGCGTCATCCGCCCGACGACGTAGAAGATTTATTTCCTCACGCAGGTTTTTAACATCACGTTCATAACTCCTCTTTCGGGGAGAGTTAGCCTGTCGAGCCCGGTATAGCTCGAGTTCCATTAGCCTGAGGCGTTTCTCATGTTGTCGAGCTTGGTAAGACTGGCGCTCGAGTAAGCTCTTAACCGTTTGATGAAGGGCGTCACGTTGAGTCTCAACATCCTTCATCTGATTTACTAACGACTCGTGGAATTCGGGCCCCTTCACTATCATCGAGGTTGGACGAGAGAGCGAACCGGATCGAGCAACACCATTTCGAACCGGGGGCATTCTGGCCAGGGAGTTGGATCTAGATAGTCCGCCAGATGCCCGATTATTGCTTAGCCCGATACCAATCCCGATAGCTTCTTCGGCGATCGAGTCGATACGAGGTGATTGGGGCATTTCGGGAGGTGCCTTCCGAGACTGCGAGAGAAGGCTGTTTTCGTTGCGGAGGTTTTGCATATCTTGCTGCATTTGGGCCTGGAGCTGATCTCGCTCTAGTTTCTGTTGCTCGAGTTCCACCCTCATACCAGTGAGAAGGTCTTCCATATTATCCTTCAGCTGTCGTTCCTCCGTGAGCCGTCGACGGGTATCTTCCAATGCAGCCTCAAGTTCTTTCGATTTCCCAGCCGCATTTGACGCCTCGACCTTTTCTCGCCGAAACTACAAGATGACAATTAGCTGAGAGATTCTAATGCAAATCGAGAAAAAAGGGGGGGTTTAACATACCTGACTAATTTGAGACTCGAGAAGCTGAACATGCGATTCTGCAACCTGTCTTCGCGAACGCTCTTCCTGCCATTTCTGCGAGAGATCAATCTTCAATTGCGCACGTTCCTGCTCATAGTTCCTCTTCAGCTTCTCGATGTCCTCGGTCTTGGTACTACCGTTAATACTTAGATCCTTGACGGAGGAACCCTGGCCAGAATCTGAAAAATAATATTCACTGCCTCTTCTATCGCTTTCGCTGCTCTCTAGTTGCATTCTCTCGACGATATCCTCGAGTTCCATCTCTCGACGGATGGAGCCAGCCAGCTCCGAGCTGATCTCACGTAGTTCGTGTTCCATGTCGGCTAGCCGTGAAGTCACGCTGGCGTCCATGGGCATGGTCTGGGATCTGCCGGCCATTTTAGGCACAGAAGAGAAGGAGTCCTGTGGACGATGGGTGTTTGTAAATACGGTAGATGCAGCGGTGGAAGGATTCACAGACGTCATAGGAGAAGGCATAGGAGAGAGAGCAGAATCCGAGATCTCAGTGGCACAGGACTCGTTACCTGGAGAGGCAGAACCAGCGTTAGTCTTCCAGCCGAAGAAGGACGTGATCTTGCTCCCTGGAGTCTTTGGTGTCGGTCTGTAGTCGACGGAGCCGTTAGACATTGACCGAACACTAGAAGAATCGACGCGCAGAGGCGGAGGCTTTGCAGATGGTGCGTGCTGGGGAGGGTGTAAGGCCATGGTGAAAGACCGTTTGTGATCTTTGAGGCTCTGAATTACCGCATTCAGACTGCGTCCAGAGAGTAGCGGTTCGCTTGTAAGACGGGCGCGCGTAGGCTGCCGGAACTGCTGCGTCTCAAGTACAGAAGCGGTAGAGTGGTTCACTCGATGGTGATGCTGAGTATATCCTGGGAATTGTGGCTTTGGAGAATGCCCATGTGGAAATCTACACACGTACACTGTTAGCAAGATTCTGTACATCTGGGAGTGGAAAGGGTGACAGCCGAGTACGAACCTGTCGAGGTCTCTCACAGAGAAATTGATCGACGTAGCGGATTGGGGAAGCGAATCATGGCCCGAGGAGGACGCAGACGGCCTCCTGGACTGTGTTGGCTCAGCCGTCAAGTGCAAAGGAGCGACGTTGGGCGGTAGCGGCTTTCTGCGAATTGGCGGCGGCACCGGCGGCGGCGAAGGGGTAGATGCGTAGTTGGAGTCGTTTTGGTAGCAGTTGTAGGGAGAAGAGAAACTCGAAGTCGAGGAAGTGCGCGTACTGTCCCAGTAGCAGCTCTGAGGAGAGACAGGAGTGGCGCCTGGTGGCGCCGTAGTGGTCCCCTCCGATAGAAAAGCCGCCATATTGGCCAGGCTTGACGTCTCCGTCTCTCTGTCTCTCCCTTTTCGCTCTTTCTGGCGTCTCCTGCTCGTTGGCGGTTCCTCCTTTTACCGGGTGGACGAGGGGTGGAGTTGGTTCAGGGGCTTCTGCAACCAGGGCAAGGGCCCTGGTTGGCTGCAGGGCGGCGTTAACTCTTGCCTAGGCGCTCCCTTAGCCCTTTGACTCTGGCCCATAGGACCCCTAGCACCTTGCACTGAACCCCCCTAAAAGCAAGCCCCAGGGCTTGTCTTCGCCCACACACCCCAGCTCTCCCTCAGACTCGTCCAACAACCCCCTGATTTGGAGAGCCTGAAGAACTTCGGCGCTAAGGCAGAATCACGTGGACGGCAGGCACTCAGGCCTCTCTTAGGTCGTTCTTCTCGTCGTCTTCCGTCCGTCTGTCTGTCTTCCTTCGTCCCTTCGCACGAAATTCGGTCCTCACTCCCAAGTTATCTTCGTCGTTGGTGGTTGATTTTATGCCACATGCGCCAGGACACGGGATGGGATGCTCGTCTTTGTTAATGGCCTGTCAGTCGCGCTTTGTTCCTGCATAAAGCGCCATGCGTCGACTGCAGCCAACAGTTAGCAACCCAGGTACGGCTGGGGCAGAAAGTGGAAGGTCAAATGTGATCGACTGGTATATGGAGAACACCTGGGTGTATATTCCGTATGTGCCGGATGGGAGTAAGTGTAAGGATAAGAGCAGTGTACGTATGTTGTGTCAAGGACTTCACGGGAGGAGGGAAGAGTGCATATTTAAATATTTTTTATACGGGGAACCGGCGGCCATGAGCTGCGGTGTTCCCTCATCCCAGGCGAAGGCGACAGACCGAAGTGGACGTCTCTTTGCTTCTTCGGTGCAGGCCGTTTCTCGATCGATGAGATGGCTTTCTTGTTCGACAGGGAACATACCGAATACCGGCCTTAATACTCCCTGTCCAATGGCTGGCGTCCTGGCCCTGCTTCTGCCAATACGCGCTGCAGCGTTAGGCTAACCTTGATGATTCGCAACATGGTGACTGGCCAATGGGATGTCGTTTGAGGCTTCTGATCTTGGTGGCAAACAGGATCTCTGTTCCGTACTTCTGGGGTTGGTTTCTGTTGTGCAGTTCTGAAGATCTAATGCAGCCGACAGGTGGGTGTTATGGTCGATGCAGGCAGGCTCTAGAAGGATTTGGAGTACAAAAAGAAAGAGACACAAAAAGAAAGAGAAAGGCCAAAAAGAGAGACCAAAAGAGATCAAAAAATAGGCAAATATATAGACAGATCCCGAGAATACAAGACACCCTTCAGCCCTCAAACGTATATCTCAGCCACTCTCCCACAGCTCGGAGACTCTCCCATCTCACGGACTCTTCCCGGTCAGTCATCAAGGCCATCACTCGCGCCTTCAGGCCTAGTTTGTCCAGCTGGTGTCGTCGCTCGGGCACTTCCCTCACCAGACACCCAACGTCGTTACACGCAATAGCCAAAACCTGCTTGTCTGTCTCCCAGTCCTTCGACAGGATCTCGACCAGCTTCTTGGGTAGGCTTCCTCCATCCTCATCCAGGATTCGGCGTGCATTCTCACGCCAGAAAGTTGGGTTGCGGTGCGGGGGTGACCAGCGAAGGTGGCCAGCTTGTACTTCTGCGGCGTACTCGTCGAACGTGGTCTGCTTCTTCGTATATTCATCCAACATCTCTGTCAGGGCAGAAAGGTCCTCAAGCAAGTCAGGGTCACTTAGATGGCGGCTGTTCAGGTTACCCAGCATGGCTGGCAGACGCACCACCACCGCATTTGGGAGAAGATTCGCTTTGCTGCTGGATAGTAGGTTACGAAGCGTTGAGAGCAGCAGACGAGTAGTCTTCTCCTTAGGTGAAAGCCTTAGCAAGTTGGTGTACAGTGCGATTATTTCATGTTCCCTAGGATATCACGTTAGTTGATGCATAGTCAAACGCTATTTTTTGTTTATCATGGGTTTCTCACGATTCAAGCTGGGCACCAATCAAGTCTCCCTCAAAGCTCAACTGCCACAACACAAGAAGCACATGGTACAAGAGCTGGATTCCAACTCCGCCGCTAATACCGGTTTCCCCAGCTCGACTTCCACCCAGAGAGGACCCGTTATCCTTGGTTGGACCAGCCGCGGCGCGCAGAATCCCGATCAGTGGTTCGACGGTGTCATTCCTCTCCTTCCAGAAGATTTCTCTTGATCTCTTTGTCCGCAGCAAAGCGGAGTATCCTTGCACTCCTATATCCTGTAGCCCGGTATCCGCACTCTTTGTCAAAGTAGACAGGTAAGCATAGAGCTTTGGCAGGGCAACCTCGTCCTTTGGAGATGTCTTGGGAGTAGCTCTGAGCGAGGCCGAGACAAGGTTGGCCAGCAGGGACGAAGTGAGCAGGGGAATTGGATCCTCCGAGTTTGTCGAGTTGGTAAGGAGAGGGAGGAAGTGTCGATAGCTCTCGCTGCTCTCCACCAGAGCTGATGTCAGAGCCGGTACATCTAGACACGCCTAGTTAGAGGTTGACTACCAAGTTATCGGTTCGGTCATACATACCACTAATTAGATCTCCGGCGAGGACGAGAATGTACTGTATTATATCTGTCCGTCTAGTAGCAGACTCCAAGATGCTCTTCTCCGACCCATTACCGGCCAGCAGCGAAGTGTATGCCGCCACATCCTTCTCAATCGTCTTTTGTCTCGAGTCCTTCCGCACCTTATCAACAGCCTTGACCCGTTTCAGCTGCTCTTCCGTAATGTTTCCTGCTCGCACTGCGCCCTCCCATGGTATCGGTCGAGCCCTGATGTTGTTCTGCAGCGAGGTGAGGTAGGTTGGTGGCTCGAGGGACATGGCTGGAGCTGCCAAATGATGACCGGGACTGTTGTGTCTGTGTGTATATCTGGGAATCTCTGTGAGTAGCCGGTCTGCTTCAACAGCAGCTTGGAGCTCCGGTCAGTGTCCGCTGCTATCGCTTCTGCTGATGTTGTCGTTGATGCTGAAGCTGATGTTGAAGTCGTTGTTGACGTTGTCGTCGATGACCGTCGTGAACTTGGGAGCTCCACGCCAAGCCTGTTGCCTCTAACTACTTAACTCCTAATTCGAAGATCGAAACATCCTTGGATACTCAACTATCAACCTCCCCAAGGAACAGTCTAGGCAGCATTAAAAGCTATGATGGTTGCTACGAGACAGAAAAGAGAGAGACCGGACATGCCTCTCGTCCTTATCCTCTTTATATCCTATACTAGAGTCATCGAAATTTATTAGACGACCTCGCTGAGACATCCCTCTGGTACTGGACACAAACCCCAGAAGTAACCAGGCAGATATAGATTTCAACTTTAGGGACGATCATCACATTGAATGAGAGGGGATAAATATGTGGAATCGTGAAGATTGGTCCTCCATTTTTTGGGGAGAGGGAGGCACCAAATGAACTACCTAGGCATTCCAGGGTCAGAGCACCCCTCCCCTGTAGTGACTGTAAATAATTGATAATATGTAGCTAGGCAGCAACGGGAAAACGGCGACCCCGCAAACAAGTCCTCCCTGCTCTCGCATTTCGTTTTGATGAGAGAGAGACTGTCAACTATACCTCCTTCCAACACTACTCTACAGCCAAACCGAGACTCCGTTTCCAACCATGTGCAGGTATTCTATCATACCTATCATTCCCTCTCGATGCACCGCTGTTCCAAAGCATGTAGTCAAGAAACGAACATATATTCTCTGTGATACCCCGCAAAACCAAGGGACCTACCGGCACTGCGAAGACGAGCATGCAACAGAGACCGGAAAATTTGGATCATCACGAAAGGATGCAAATTGTATAACCTGTCTGAATCCAGCGCGAAATATTATCTATGTATATCCTCTATTAGATAGGCCCGAAAGATCGATAATGTTAGAAGCTGACAGGTTATTTACTTTGAAATACATCAACCCCTAGCACCACCAGAAAGACTCGAGAACATTGCGGCAGAACCGACCTGTGAAGGGGAAGTCGACTCTACCACGCACCGTTGATAAGAGGACTGGCGTTTACTATGCCAAGGGATTAATAGTGGTGGCTCGGAACATGGCTTGGGCACCGAAGACAGCAGCGGCAATGAACAACTGCATGCGGATATATACTATGATTTGTTAGTCATTAAGTGAGGCATTGTGCCACCCAAGACATTTTCTTATTACCTACCTCGAGTATGTTCACTCCGTTTTCTTTCCATCAGGCCGTTGATGGATAGACTCAGGTCATTCCCATGTTTCATCCGTCGCTGAATGTCTCTGATCTCTGCTGCTACCTCCCCTGCATTGGAATAACAACCACGCCAGCACTTGAGAATCACGCCGCCGAGAAGAAGCCGGCTTGTGTCAGGGTATTCACCCCTCGCATACCGAGCTTGTAATTCATGTTCCTCCAGTCCCTCATATGCTTTGAATGTAGTAGAGATTTCGTATATCGCAGATCCGAGGGAAAACAGTTCCGTCTGTACAGTAGGAGACCCTATCACGGCCGTGGGATGCTGGGCCGTCGGGCTGACAACGACGGTCGGCCTGCTCCCGTCTATCGAGCTTCCAGAGAAATCGCAGTACTTGACATTATCGTCCCAGTCGACCAGCAAGTTGTGAAGACCGACATCAACCTGAAAGACACCCTTTGCATGGAAATACTGCATTCCTTCAGCCGCTTGAGCAGACCATTTCAAGACGTCATCGAGGCTAGCTGTCCGGCCATCTTCCCTGAGCTCCCATGTTCGGAATCGTAGAGGGTATCTCAGTCGCTCAAGGACAATAAGATCCTTATAAGTGTATAACAGTTTCACTATCCGCGGATGGTCCCCAAGTCGCTCGAGAATCTCCCTTTCCACTCGAAGCTCTTCAGCATTCTCCTCTCCCCCAGTTGGCGTCTTAATCACCGATAGCTCGTCAACCGCAAAAACAATGCCTGAAACTCCTCTATTGACAAACGGCAGATCCCAAAGACACTTAGGGAAGTTTGCTTTGGCCTGATTGGGTTGGCCTGACATGATATTGAGCCAAGTACGCCTGAGAAACTGAGGTCAAACTGGACTTTATTAAGTAAGCAATAAACACAGCTTCGGCTCTAATCAAGATTGTGGCCAGGCAAATCCACCTATCCAAGGGATGGATCCATGGATGACTAAAAGTCACATGATTGATCAGTGGACGGAGTTACGTAATTAGTTAACCTACTTGGACCGGGCAGGTAGGGAGAGCGTTGCTTGGAAGTGGAATGAGAACGTAGCCAGTACATGGGAACGAATTCTAGTTGGCTTACATTTAGCCTATCCTAGGCGCATTAACTACATAACTTGTTGTTTTCACCTCCCAGCTTCCAGAGTCTATAGAGATGAACCTGGTTGAATCATTGGACATAGGGGAGCAAATAGTTTGCTATCCTAGTTAACTAGTTATCTCCTCAGGTCATTATAACAGGGCCAGTAAGTTTGTCGCAGTAACTTTCCAACGCCCTGGCCATAAAACACGTTTGGCTCCTCAGGCTTTACATTTCCCAGTAAAGCAAAATCCGCAGTCTTCCCGTCCCAGGCCTCTTGAAACATCCAATCCACCAGAACCATCTTTGTTTTTGGCACAGCATTTTCCGTCTCGGTTTTTACTACAGGGAGATATTGGTTAGTATACAGACTTAAATAGAGTTATGACCAAGAAATCAAAGGCAACAGGATCATATGCCTCGTCAACCCACGGGGGTTCCCCTTACCAATTCTCAAAGCTGTTCTGCGGACCTAGCCTCTTGCCAGTGCAGCGGTCACTAGCCTGACGCACTCCGCTGCATCCTTTCAAGGCCCCCATGACGCCGGCGGTATCGCGTCTGGATACACCGGCGTTCGTGTTGGCCAACGGATTAGCCAAAGCAAAGGATGCGAGACATGCAAAAGCCGCAGAGTAGAGCAGAGTCGACTTCATGGTGAATGATTCTTGTGGTCGTAATGTTTTCTGGAAAGTGAGTTGGATGCGTGGAATGTGTCTCTGGGGAGGGGTCAATAATGGGGTATTTATACCCATGCCCCTTTGGTATCTCGTTTTTCAGTCAAATTAACTCGACCGCTTATTTGTGATAGTGACCTGAGCTGGCTTGATATCGATGGACCTGACTGGTGTAAAAAGGAATGCATTGCGAGCGGGCCACAAAATAGCTTCCTTAGCCACTGTTGGGGAGCCATCATATTTGATGATCATCTGCCGATAGAGCATTTAGTTGAGCCAGCTCAAGCGTGTTTCGATCGTAGACATGTTGTGGCTTCTTTATACTTCGATACCTCGGAACGAATTTTGAAGATGTGCACAGTAACACCGAGCATCCGTGACGGATCTTTGGTTAGATAATTTTGTATTTCCTGGCCCCCAGATCTTTCATCCAAGTACGGAGTACTTTTAAATGGACACCATAAGAGTAATAGTCCACTACAATAACGGGCAGTTGGCTTTCTATGGCCAAGCCTTCCAGTTGTCGATGGATTTTGTGGCTTTAGATGGCGTCTCGTCAAACGACTAGCAAAAAATCACAGTTTGAGAGAGTAATCTCTGCAGAACGTATCTCTCCTGTGCTGTTTCATTCTAAGGCAAAAGAGTAGCCCGCTTGCTGGTAACACTTTCAAAGACTGGTTTTTCATAGGTAAGGCCGATTGACAGGTTCAGGTTCTCTGGGGGGGAGATAGTCCAGGAGCAGTTGAATATGAGCTCAGGGTCATTCCTCAGCTCTTGCACCAACAGTGAAAGCGATGCGAAACTAGCAGCTGGCCAGGCCTCTCTTCTCGGGTATTGCTATGTCCATATAGTTACTCCGTAGTTTAGTAGATCTACGAGCATTCTTCGATCTCGTTCTTTGATTAAGTGTTGTCAAATAGTCGGCTGCTGGCGTCTGCATTGCAAGTGGAAGGCTGAGGAATTGTGAAACCCGTAACGACCCTTTCACTGACTCCAGATCAGTGACTCAAGATCGGATAACTTCCTGGTTATCTTTAAAGGACAAACTGTCCGCGAACAAAAACATCATCCTGCTTCCTTGTTGACGAAGAAGCGAAGAGGCGGAGGATTTCCTGGTTTGCCTTTCGACCGTTTATGCTTAACCTTGAATGGCAATCCGGTTATTTATAGTTAGCTTCAACATTTGAACCACCGTTGCTCTGTCGCCTATCTCATATCATCTGGCCTGCCCCCCTCGACCTCCCCAAAGACGCAAGAAGACGCCGGGTCAACACGAGTGCTCGATGAACACCTGATACATGCGAAGAATTACGCCAGAGGCGAAGCGTTGAGCCATGTCGAAATGGAAGGTCGGCTCTTTTTTACAGCAAGCCGTGGCTGGCGTCGAGTCCAGGCTGGACACCATCTTGGCCGACAGCGACAGCGAGGCTGCGCAGAATGGAGATAAGACAGAGAAGCCCGCAGAGAAGCAGCCTGGTCTCCGGGCGGGCATGGCGCCTCCTAGTATGTTTGGTCCTTTAGCTGGTAGTTAACCGTTGGTTGGTGGCAGTAGGAAGCTAACTCAGTGCACCAGGTCTTTCAAGAAGCTCCTCCTCGACCAGAGTCAATGACAGACTCCAGGAACGGCTTGCTCGCGCAATGGTGAAGCAGTCCGGAGCTGGAGGGGTAACCAGTCCGCCATCGTCGACTGGCGTGCCCTCACGAACCTCCAGTCCACTCCCCGCAGATGGCAGCAGAACGAGCATTGATAGCACCGCTGGGAACATAGAGAAGATTACAGATGATACAGCATCGGATGATAAATCGGTTACTGGTTCGATGCCGCGCAGTAGTATAGATGCTACAGTCCAAGGAAGAAGGTCAAATGAGGTACAGTCTGGAGAACAGGATGTAGCAACATCCAAGAACGCTGATGAAATACCAGGCCCCTCAGAGTCTTCCAACAACGATGAAGATGTGAATTCAAGTCAGATTGCTCAAGTGGATGGAGCTGAGTCCCGGTCAAATCGTCTTCAAGACTATGAGGCGGCGATGGCTAAGCTGCAGGCCGATCATGAAGCATCTGAATTGCGATGGCAAGAGGAGCTACACAACTACATAGAAAAGATTGATGCTCTTCAAGCAAAGTTGAAGTATCTAGCAAGCGAAGCAGCAGAGTCGGCTCGTAATTCTACGGCCACTGCTGCTCCTGGCTCCATGGAGAAGAAGCTCTCCGAAAAAGAGGAGAAAATTGCAGCTCTTATGGAGGAAGGTCAAAAGCTGTCAAAAACCGAGCTCGAGCATCGATCAACTATCAAGAAGCTCCGGCAGTATATAGCGGAAAACACCAAGTCTCAGGCAGATCTCAAAAAGAGGCTTGAGAAAATGGAAAAAGATCTAAATCAAGCAAACGACCGTGCTAAACGAGCAGAGACAGCTGAGAAACGAGCCACTGCCAGCTTAAACAAACAGTCAAGTGCAGAGGAAGATCTAGAATCTACAATTGCCGAGCGCAACATCTTGAAAGCTACTGTTTCTGATTTGAGCTACCAGCTATCCAGGGCATCTGCTAGAGCTGAAGCTGCTGAGAGAAAGGCTGAAGAAGAAACCGCAAAAGTAGAGAGCCGACAGATTACTGAGCTCAAGGATGAGCTATCCAGTGCGAAAGTGGAGCATGAACTCAGTGAGGAGAAGCTACGTCGTGAGATTCAAGATCTTAAGGACAGCCTTAACCGAGAAAAGGAGCGCTCAAGGACCCAAGAAGTTGAACTTCGGGGAGAGCAATCTGTCTTGGAGAGTAAGATGGAAAGCCTACGAGCTCGTGCTGAGGAAGCTTCATCCAGCGCCACTGGTGACGCGCAAGCCAAACTCCTACGGCAGGTAGAGACTTTACAGACGCAGTATGCTGTAGCCAGTGACAACTGGCATGGAATAGAGACCTCTTTACTCTCCCGCCTAGCCAGTGTGGAGAAAGAAAGGGATGATTTTGCTAAACGGGAAGGGGACATGCGCCGGAAAGTCCGGGAATCGGTAAGAAAGGGACCTCTAACCCCTAAAGAGATTGACGTGTATGTTAACATCCATATAACAGGTTCTTAAAGTCAAACGAGCTGAAGGAGACTGTGAGAACTCCCGTGAACTTTCTCGTGAGCTTGAGCGGAACCTTGAAGAGAGTAAACACGAAGTGAAAAAGTTGCAGGCAAGACTCGAAAAGGTGGAGGAGGAATTACTTGCAGCACAGCAGGATCTGTTGAAGCAGAAGGAGATCCTGGATGCTACCTGGGAACAGCGTCTCGAGGATGAGAGAGCCAAATGGCAGGAGAGCATAGCAGCCTCTCCATCGGTGCTTCAAGCTCGAGGGGAATCTGGGACGCCGAGTCGACGGTCGGATGTGTTGTCTTCTCTGTCTGAGATCCCACATAGCCGCAGGTCGTCTACTCTCCCTAAGCTGGATACTCCTCCCAGGCAGAATTCATACTCGTCTTTGAACTCCAATCCCCTCCTTCGTGGTACAACTGCCCATGATACCTCGTCTCCACTAGTTGACAATGTCTCTATCCAGACACTAGAACCCGACGAATATTTTAATGGTTCTGTTACTCCAGCAACTCCCTCGGTACCGGGAACTCATGCTCAACACTCTCGTGGAGCTCATGATGTTGTTTCTGCGTCTACTGTTGCAGCTGGGCCGTCTGTACAGCTGGTGGAGAGGATGAGTGCTACTGTCCGCCGGCTTGAGAGTGAACGTGCAGGCTTCAAAGATGAATTAGAACGTATCACCTCCCAGCGAGACGAAGCAAGACGTGAAGTCGTTGAACTTATGAAAGAAGTTGAGGAGAAGAGAGCTGGAGATGAAGAAGTACGAAAGCTTGAAGAGCAGGTTCAACAACTGAATGAGAGATATCAAATTACTCTTGAAATGCTTGGTGAAAAGAGCGAGCAAGTAGAAGAGTTGAAGGCAGATATCGCGGACCTAAAGGATATCTACCGCGACACACTCCAGAAACATCTCCAGTCATAAACCAGGTTCGGCGTTGCTGTGTTGAATTCCTCCCGTTTTATATCTTTGCCCCTGTTAATGCTGCTATTACGATTAGATACGAGGGAATCTACTTCGAGGGAATGTGTTATCAAATGTATTGAAATGTGGCTACTTGAAGCGTGTCGTCAATCTCGTTATTTCTTGATGTACTCAACAGTAATAAATATCATCACGGCAATTCGATGCCTTCTCTTTCCGCAGTTTCAAGGATATACTTCCGAACCTATAGAAGTCAGTCAGATAACGGCATTTACACCCTTTCGTTACACATGTCATGACATCAAAAACAAATTGAATGCACTCACCTTAGAATCTGGAGAAAGTTCGATAGCAAGCTGACCGTTGGAGTCTCGTTTATCAGCCTCGGCCCCAGCCCTTAGAAGGGTCAAAGCTGCTTCTCCGTACCCTTCTGAAATTGCATGATGAAGAGCAGTCAGGCCGTCGACATCCGTAGCATTCAATGGGCTCTTCCCTTCTTCGATGAGGAGTTTGACCAATGGGACTGATCCAATAGCGGCCGCACGGTGAAGTGGCAGTTGGCCTCGTTTGTCTTTCGCCCTTGCGCTGCATTTATTTTCAAGCAATTTGCGAACAGTGGATATGTTATTTTTCGAAGTAGCAAAATGGATGGCGTTCTATCACGGTCAATACTTTTGATATTTTGTTCCTAAGCGTAGCTTCCAGAGAAAGAGGAAGGAATACCTGGCCACTTGAGGTCTTCATATTGACATCCGCATCTTTACGAAGTAATTGGTCGACTATGGCGTCACCTTCTCCGTCTTTCAAACTTGCTGCAATCATAAGTGGCGTCCATCCCGATGCATCCTTATTCTTTTCTTAGTGGATTGGCTCCATAAGCATAGCAGGGTATCGAATTATACTAAAACTGACAGTAACATCAGGATCAAAGCCTTTCATTGATATGAGGAGCTCGATTATGGGTGGTCTGTTATATGCAACAGCCCAGTGGATAGGCAATCTCTCATCTCCGTCCTTTAGGTATGCAAGTTTGGGGTTTGCCTATAGCCTGGTCAGCTATGTTAACATAGTGAGCGTCGAAACCAGCCAGTAGACGGCTATTGTCTTACGTTGAGTAGAGATTCAACTACCAGGTCTATACAAATGTTAGTGACAGATGCATCTAGATTGTCAAGCAAACGGGGCTACGTACTCTTTCCCTCACGAGCTGCCTCATGAATAGCAAATTTTGCATTATAATCCGGGTCCATCTTCGCAATATTTCATCCTCCTTCCCTGTCACGTCTTGACGTCTTTTACGGCGAATCGTACGACTTGTTGTGCTGAAGTCTAGGTTGCTGTGGCGGCCATCTCGGAGCGCGGCTGTTTGATGGACGTTCAAGTCTTGGCGAAGAGACCCAGCTTTTTTTTCTCTTTAGCCGCAACACCAAGCTTCATGCTTCATCCATCAACGACCACAAGCTCCAGTTCTCGCATTATCAACACCCTTTGTCCCTCGAGTTGGACAGGCATACTTCAACGAATACACCGCCACGGATCAGATTGATTTGCTGACGTTTAAACCGCAACGAACCCTGCCTTGAATAACGGGTTTGAAGCGCGACTACCAGGACACGCTCCTTTTGGCGTGCTCCTCGATTCCAGCGCACAGCCGAAGCGAGCGCTTCTGATTATTACAGACGAAAGTTGAAACGATGGAGGTCGCTCAAGATAGCATCTCGGCAAACGAGGCTGTTCGGAAATCTGCTAAACGAACACACGAACTGTTTGGCTCCGATTATCTCTCCCCTGTTACGCCTATAACCTCAGAATCTATTGGTGTCTCATACCGGAGGAAAAAGGAATACGGAGATGTGCAGACGTTACCGCCGTCTCTAGCAGAGAAGCAAGCAAAAGCAGCTACTGCACGAGGGAAACGCACCAAATTAAAACCAGAACCGGGCACATCAACTGCGCTAGTGAAAAGCGCTGCTCCAGGTGGTGCGCAGTCAAGCGGAGACAGCGCACCTACGAGTCTTATAAAACGGCTGGATATCTCCCAGCAACCGAAGCCGGACTGGCACGCGCCATGGAAGTTGATGAGAGTGATATCGGGTCATTTAGGATGGGTTAGAAGTCTTGCAGTAGAGCCGAACAACCAGTGGTTTGCCAGTGGTGCAGGAGATCGCACCATCAAAATATGGGATTTGGCCACGGGCACCTTGAGGCTCACATTGACAGGTCATATATCCACAGTCAGAGGCCTGGCGGTTTCTCCAAGACATCCATATCTATTTTCCTGCGGAGAAGACAAGATGGTCAAGTGCTGGGACCTCGAGACGAACAAGGTTATCCGACACTATCACGGCCATCTCAGCGGTGTCTACACGCTTTCCCTACACCCTACATTAGATGTACTGGTGACGGGAGGCAGAGATGGTGTGGCGCGTGTATGGGACATGCGTACTCGAAGCAACATCCACGTCCTCAGCGGTCACAAAGGCACAGTCTCGGACGTAAAGTGTCAAGAAGCAGATCCCCAAGTTATTTCCTCCTCCCTTGACGCAACCGTACGATTGTGGGATTTGGCTGCTGGAAAGACAATGGGCGTCCTAACTCACCACAAGAAAGGTGTTAGAGCGCTCACTACACATCCAAAGGAGTTTACGTTTGCAAGTGCTAGCGCTGGAAGCATTAAGCAATGGAAGTGCCCTGAGGGTGCATTCATGCAGAACTTTGAAGGCCAAAATGCTATAATAAACACACTCGCTGTGAATGAGGACAACGTCCTTTTCTCTGGTGGGGATAATGGTTCCATGTCTTTCTGGGACTGGAAGTCAGGTTACCGTTTCCAGTCTCTGGACACAATTGCACAGCCAGGTTCACTAGATGCCGAAGCAGGTGTTATGGCTTCTACTTTCGACAAGACAGGCCTGAGATTGATTTGCGGAGAGGCCGACAAGACCATCAAGATCTGGAAACCCGATGATGAAGCCACCCCTGAGACGCATCCTCTAGACTGGAAACCGACCCTCGGCAGAAAAAGATATTAGAATGAGTGGGCATATTGAATTTCTCATCATGGCGCTTGATGGCGTTAACGGGTTCAGGGTTTTCTTGGTCAAGCATACAAATCATTACATCATGAAATTTATACCTGTACTTCTATTTAAATATTCTTTGGCATTATGGTAAAATGTCTTTCCATATGAAATATCAGGGCATTAATGCCTTACCAAGCCTATTCCATTAATCTTACACTATCCTTCAACACCTAAGCCTAACATATTCCCTTCCGGATCGTCTCTAAACGCTGCCCTGGCATCCTCCGCCGCAATCCGTAGCCGAACTTTACTATTTCTATTTCCCTTTCCTAAGGCATGGCTCATGCCATCGCCTGACTTTATACCATGGTCCCCCTCTAAAACAACAAGACCAGCATCTATTAAATCAACGGTTGCGAACCCCATACCATGTATCTGGGAACTGCACATCAAAATTTCCTTGAGTTTAGTACTGGAGGAAGAGGACACACTCGTTGCTGCGTCAGATAGACGCTTGGCTTCATCGAGTATATCACCAACAGTAGACTCGTTTATTCCGGTTCGTCGAATTCTTGCCAAAAGTCCCGCAAGAAGAACCTTGGATGCGAGGGGCAGGGATCGGAGAGCCTGCTGGAGAGGGGTGGATGTAGCCTCCTGAATAGCTTGCTTAATGGTAGCAATGGTAACTCGTGGAAGGCTATCTTCATCCGCACCATCTGTGCTTTTGTCTCCCTTTCGAGGAGAGCTCAAGATAGCAGTAGCGGCTTTGCGTCGAGATACGCTCTTGCTAGGTGTTGGAGGCAAAAACTCAAGATCCACATCGCCGTTTGTGTTTGCTGAAGAAGCAATCAAATGTTTTTCTGTTGCTTTGGCCTCACTGATTTGCTCCGCTATCTCAACCGCTCGACGACATATATCAAGCGCACGACGGGCATCACCGCTTACAGCAGCAACTTTTCGACTTGCAAATTGTATTGCATCTGCATCGACAATATTCCCAGGGACATTCTCAAGCCTTGACCCGATGATTTCCATGAGCTCTTGATATTTGTATCCCGAAAATGTAATTCTAGTAAGACCCAGTCGACTGGATATCTTATTGCTCAGAGTTCGCTCCGGAAGATCCATGGTATTGGCAACTGCAAGAACCACAAGTCGAGAATGCCGCAGGGCAGGCCAATTGAAGAAGTTATACATGACGGACTGGTTCTTAGTAACCAGCTGATCTAGTTCATCCATCAAAACAACACAGGGAACTCGACGAGGAGATGGTCGGGAAAATTCTCGAGAAAGTAAATCAAGTGCATGGGAAGGGGAGATGCGGTCGCCTTTCAAAGCTTCCCATAGCATAGAATATGACTGATGGGGGTCCGTGACTTTCATGCCATTAATTTCCACAAAGATGAAGTCGTCCATTTCTTCATCCAACACTCTTGTGTTTAGATGGGCAATAACATCTCGGACTGTGGCTGTTTTCCCGGTCCCAGGTGGACCTGATATATAAATACAGGTTCCAGTACCGTCACTGATAGCCGTATGGAGGCTGTCGTAAACAGAGTTAAATTCAGCATCACGACAGGGGAGTGACGCTGGGATACTAGAGACATGAAGCAGGTTACGGGCTTGTCGATAAGGAGACGCCGTGAAATGTGAGGGGGAAAGAGTGCGAGTTGATAGGGGTGTGAATTCAAGCGGTCTTTTCACTTTGATTCTACAATTATTGTTAGCGCATAGAAATTTTTATTGCTGCTGAGATGCTTACCTCTTGTGCGTCGGGGTTGTTAGGTATTTCTGACGTTGCCGGGACTGGGGAGTGCCGGCTGCAGATTCCGTTTTTTGACGCTTCCTCGGTGTTGACGGGGCGTAAGCGTCTGGCTTATCTTTTGCTGGCTATAGCACAAGTACATTAGCACCCACGGAATAGAATATGCCTTCACTGGGTACATACACCAGTTCCCTTTTGGGCTCTTTTTCTGGCTCTAGAGAGCGCCTCCCTTATGAACTCTACAAGTTCAAAGACACCATCTTCAGATTCCGTATAAATATCCTCCCAGATAAATTCGTCTGTGTACCTTCCCTGAAGCTGTTTAACTCCTCTTCGACAGACAATGCACTTGTTAAATTCAGCTGCTGCGGCCTTGCCCTTTGGTGGTTTTCCGTCGGGGTATTTCTTGTAAAATGCATCTTTGGACATAACGGTGGCTCTTCCGTTTATAGACATTAGGGGGTTGATGTTGAAGTCCGTTGTGATGTATTGTTCATTTGGCAAGGCATCGGCTCTTTTCTTGTTTTTTGTGGACAAAAACTCGTCAGGAGATGTAAACCACATTAGATTCATAGATTTGACAATCTCGCCGCTGTCCGGATCTGGGTCATCCAAGAACTCATATATAATTCCAGCCCAGTCTTTGCCAGCCTCAGGAGATTTCAGAAGGACAATGTGGCCTATTCTGCACTCGAATGAGCCCATTCGCGCGCCTATGATCTTAGGCCCCGATTTTTTGCCCTTCTTAGTCGGGGACGGCTGCGGTTCCTCATAGATCCATTCCCAGGGAAGGTCCTCAGACCCTAGCTCGTCATCAGAGTCTTCGTGGAATATGCCTCCCTTAGTTAGCCACTGTCGAGCTATCTCTTGAGCCCTCTTGCTTTTGGTCTCTGGGGTATCTTGGGCGGCCATCTTGCTTGATTGGAGGACACAGCGTGCAGTTGACTTAGGGGCTGTTCATTATGCTTGATCTAAATATCTCGCACATCCCCTCGTAATGTAGCTTTGGATGCATCATCAATCGAATTGACGATCACCTTCTTGCCGTCCTCCTGGAGTTTGATGTTTCTGATATTGAGATTATTCCTAATCAGGACTAGCGCCAACAAGCTTGGGCAAGCTTCTATCACGTGATATAAGTTTTGAAGATGTCCCGTTTTGGAAACATTCCAGGAACAAAAACTCATCCACAAACCGACTACAGCTTTGGTACTTCCTGAGGGCAGGAATCGGACTCAAGAGGTGGGATTCACGGAGCCCTGAGTCCCAAACGTCAGCTCTGGCTTCGTTCACTTCTGAAGGGTCATCTTTCTCCTGAGACCGCACGCAAATTCGAGTACCCGTGATTTTACAACAGTTGGCTCCGTGATCGCGACGGAGCGCCATCAACAGGGCCACTCGCCATCTTGCCTCCGGATATTAAAACGCGATGGCGCTATTTGGCACGCAGAATCAACAAGCTTCGGCTCCATCTCTGTTTGGCCAGTCGACGAACCAGCCCCAGCAGACTGGAAGCATATTTGGCACTCAACAGCAACCACAGCAGCAGGGAAGTTCCCTTTTCGGACAGTCACTCCAGCAGAAGCCTCAGAGTAACTTATTCGGTGGCATTGGGCAACAACAAAAGCCCAGCCCGTTTTCTGGATTCGGCACTACAGCGCAGCAGCAACAACAACAGCCACAACAAACTGGAGGGTTCACTCTTGGATCTACTACTACGCAGCAACCACAAAATCAACAAAATGCAAGTCCATTCGCGGGTTTCGGTACGACGCAGCAGCAGCAGCAGCAGCCACAGGCGCAGACTGGAAATACGTTCTCAGGTTTCGGTGCTCCTCCACAGCAACAACAACAGCAGCAACAACCCCAGCTAGGTCAAACTCTAGGATTTTCGCAAGCTGGTAGTTCAACGATTTGGACTCCTGGACAGGGAATGACGGGAGGTAAGTAACAGACTTATTTATACAGGAAGCCGTTTTCTAATAGATTCCCCCATAGTTCACCGAACCGTGCCAATGCAGATAATGATCGTGAAGGACAAATGGGATGCTACTAATCGGTCATCTCCATTCCGTGGTTACCTCTATAATAATGTGGGCGAGGAATCCGCGCCATTTTTCCAGCCGGGCCCCAACGACGATGAGAACAAGTGGGAGGAGGCTTTGAGAAAGCGGCCAGGGCCTGGTTATGTCCCCGTTCTTGTGCAGGGATTTTGGGAGCTGGGGAAGCGCACACAAAGACAGAAGGATTTCTTGTCAATGATGCAGACACGACTACATGAAATTAATAATGCTTTGACGGAGTTACTGTCACGGCATGACTTGGCCATATCTGTCAAGATTGCAGCTTGTCGACGGAAACACAAAGTGCTGAGCCAAAGATGCCTTGCGTTAGCATCGAAGACGCAGCTGTTGCGAAACCGCGGATATGCTATGGACCAAACAGAAGAAGAACTAGCCAAGAAACTGTTCCAGCTGGAGCGGGCAGTTTTCGACCCATCGCTTAACGGAAGATCAGAGGAGATTTGGGCTAGGATGCTGGCCATCCGGGAGAACTCAAAGCGCCTTCAGCTTGAAATTGAACGTACAGGAAATGACACATCTAACCAAGCAGACGATTCTCTTGACGATGCAGCGCTAAAAACAGCTAAGAAGGTATGGCATGGAAGATAAATCCCGTTTGTCATGGTCGGATACTAACTAGATAATAGATTCTTGAGGACTATGCTACTCAGATTCAGCATTTGAACAAGGAACTTGCTTCTGTTCAAAAGGATTTTGGAAACCTCGAGCAGTCTATACCCTCTTAATCGCTAATGCTGCAGCGCGTGAAATGATCCTGAATTGTTTTTCTTGTTAAGTTCATAATTGACACCTTTTTATCTTACTATCTTTCTGAGGTGTAAATTTCATCTTCTATTATGGCTGTTGAAGACGGCGTTGCGGGAAATGCGGTGGTGGGATAGGTATCAACTTTCCAGATCACTTGGCATTTAAATCTCTTGCTTTCAAATCCCTATACTCATACATGTACGATTATGACCTTGGCAAAGCCTGGCTGCTCGTTCAAAGACAGTGCCCTATCCAACCGTCGTGATTCCATGTGGTTTCATCGTATTAACACTCTATTGCCCAATAACAGAAACAAACTCCATCCATCTTATGAGAAACTATGGGTATATCCGGTAGGTAGTAGTTTAGAAAAGTCTTCGGACGAAGTCAATGGCAAACGGCGCTATAATGATCGTAACAATACCGGTCAGCCATGTTGCTTATTCAAATTGTTCAGCTCGTGGGAGTTACAACAGCCAACTTACAGAGATAGAGCAACACACTCCCAGTGGCAACCATCTTGAGGGTCTCGAAAGCCTCCAGTTCACCAGCCTATATATTAAAAAACAATCCAGATAAGAGAGAGAAGACCTTAGTTCCCAAGAGTCGTCTCACGTACCTTGATCTCTTCTGGAGAGATGGCTTCCTGTCCTATAAAATGGTGCATTAGTCAAAGGCTTTTTGGTATGAATCGAACAATACAGTATTTACCTGGCATAAACATTTTGATAGATAGCTATTGTCTTCTTTTTAAATGGATGGTATCTTGTGTTGATGGTCCTTATTCAACGTGATTAATTGTCAGTTGGTTTTCTCTATTCAACTTTTTCATTTTTTTTCCCAGGTGAGAGTTCGCAGGCTGCGCACAGACCAAGTGAACGTCAACTCTTGACCTTTTTCTCTTCTTCAAACTGACAACCTGCTTCGACTTCACCTCGAGCTCGGGTTCAACCTCTTGCGCTTCCTCACATTTTGCCTCGAATCTGCTGTAACCACAGTCTCTATACCATATTTTTTTGGGTCAGGCTCAGCGCACAGTTTACTACGTCAGTTTTCTACAGCGTCAACTCGCAACGCAGGCACCATGTCCGAATCTCCAGAACCGCGCCTGGACTCGCCAGCTCTCGACAAGGACGAGAACGAAGAGGATGTGACCCTTGATAAGGAGAGAGATATTGCGGCAGATATATCTGACGATGAATCTGTTCTCTCTGATGTCGACGAGGAGCAGTTCAAGGAGTTTGACCCTGCCGACATCCCTCTTGATGACCGTCCAGCACTCGCCATCGATGAAGAAAACTTGAAGCTAGTGGGTCGCCATAAACGCCGGAGGACTGAGGAAGATGGTGAGGGTCAGACGAAGAAGAAAAAGAAGGAGGGTCGCAGAGATAAGAAAAGCCACAGGAAGAAGCAGGGCAGCGAAGAGTTCAGCGGCGGAGAGGAGATGGACGGCAAAAGGAGAAGAAAACGGAGAGAGGGAGGGGGCGAAAAAGCTCCCAGGCAGAGTAAAAAACAAGTGGAAGAAGAAATCGATGAAGAGTCTCTGGATCCTGCTACCAGTAAGTTATACTCCACTCAGAGGAAAAGGTAACAACTTAGGATAGTGTTAACTAGGGACTTTTATAGGGCGACGCCGCGCTTTGGACCGGATGATGGACGAAGCGCTGAAGAAGCCTTCGAAACGGCGTATCAAGAAAGCAGATGGGATCGTGAGTCTATTCCTGTTGTTCTTTGCATGGCTACCTCTGACATGGGATCCATCCCTTGTAGGATTTGGCGGATTACGCCGACGCAGAGATCGAAGAGGTTCGCAAACGCATGACCGACGCAGCTCGTCTAGACAGCATTGCTCGCAAAGAGAACCGCCCTGCAATGCACAAGCTTAAGATGCTTCCAGAGGTTGTTTCCCTACTCAACCGCAACCAATATGTTAACAGTCTTATCGACCCGGAAATAAACCTTCTAGAAGCTGTTAAATTTTTCCTAGAACCTCTCGATGACGGTTCCTTGCCAGCGTACAATATCCAGCGAGATTTAATGGCAGCATTGCTACGACTACCTATTAACAAAGAGACTTTGATTGCTAGCGGTATTGGCAAAGTTATTGTGTTTTATACAAAAAGCAAGCGCCCGGAGATTGGGATCAAACGCCAGGCTGAACGTCTTCTCGCTGAATGGACCCGCCCTATTCTCCAGAGAAGCGATGACTACTCTAAACGAGTCTACGAGGAAGTCGACTTCGATCCCAGGTATGTCACTCGAATAAACCTCTACGCAACTTTTATACAGCTTTATCGGTAGAACTAACAAAATTTCTAGCCGACTCGCTGATCGAACTGTATCTGCGGAAGCCTCAGCTGCGGAAGCACGTGCTAGAGAACTGCTTCCACCTCGTCTTGCCAATCGTGCTCGTGTTGAAAGTAGCCATACTAGCTACACTGTTGTACCACGATCTATGGGCGTATCTGAGAGCAAGTTTGCTCGCCCTCTAGGTGCCAGCGGAGAAGATCGATTCAGACGTATGAAAGCCAGGCAAATTGCCGCCAATAAGGGATCGAAGCGATAAGCCATCTTTCCCTGTTTCCTGCGTCCACCTTATTTTACCTTCTTTCCCTGCAGATTTGATTACTCATTTTGTCTTTCCAGCGTTTTCGATTCCATATCTCTTCCAGTCTCTGCGAGGCCCTCTTTCTCTTACAATTTGTTTTATCCTCTTTGCAATGAAATGTAATTCTAGGCGTATTGGGACTCAAAGCACGAAAATAGAACAATAATAAGTCCAAATTGAAGCTACATCAATTTGAATTTGACATCATTAAACACTGGCTGGCTATGAGCACAACTAATTAATAGATGACTGGGTACATCTGAGTCGCTCCACGTGCAAGTTTAATTTTCTAGTCAATAATGTGCTCCGCCGCTCTGTCAACAGGGCCATCATTCCTCATAGCTTTCGGTTCCTTGTTTTGATCTCCCCTCACTTCCAGCCAAAGAGTGACTTCAGTTTAATCAAGGTAGATAAGACCATGACAAGCGTCAGTTTGCTGGGCGTGGACGTACCCTTTTGTAATTGTTGGTGCCAAAGGCTGGTACAATAATGATCACTCTGTATATATTCTAGCCCAACATGTTATTCGATTGACAAGGGAATATCATACACACACCTGATGCGAACGAATGTTATTGAAACATTCTACACAGCATCTGATAGTTATCAATGTAGTATCAAACTTCCCTTGTTTACAAAGTTGTCTTGCCGCTTTAGAGCTACAGCGATATAATAGTGGCTAGTTATATAATTTAACAAATGAACCAACGCTACATTATATAGCTACATATTTATCAGTATCTGCGCAATGAGATAAATATGCGGGTATAGTTTATCAACAGAGGAGTAATAATGCTTTGAGAATTTTCCGTGTTAAACTACTGATCTATTTATAGTTTTAAGCTTGAGGCTCAACTTAACTAACTTAGCCGGCGGTAGCGGTGAAGCTTGAACAGGGCTGGGGGATTCAAGGCCTGGCACACGGAAACTCCACACCGACTCCCTGTCAGCATCTTTTCTTAGTCCTGCTCATTATAGTCGTAGTAATTACAGACAGCCCGCCTTTTCTTCAGTAATGTAGCAGAGCGTTTCGCATGTCCACCCCGATTATTTATCTACTGATTTCTTCATACTCTGACAACTGGGAAACTCGATGAATATAATTCTCTCGCTGCGCCGAGAAAGTTTTTTACTAGTGGGAAGGTGATGGAGTACAAGAAACAAAATAATGAACTAGTTAGTATTTATAGGAAATAAGTTCATAGAAGCACCTTGGATCCTGAGAAAGCACAAGCGTTGCCTCAAAATTCTGCATGATGTTCATGCTGCCCCATAGTTAGTTAACTATCAAATTGGGTGAAACCCACCTCGAAATTTGTATTTAAGCACCCATTCACCCATTTGAGCTGTCGTGACGTCACCTTTTCTTCTCGAATTTGGTTAACTACACACCGTCTTTGAAGAATATTCTACCGCCTTCAAATTCGGCCGTTTCATCTAGTATCACGATTTTTATAGTCTCTATCTCCGAAATATAGCCACTCACATATTTTACTAGATATAGGGTTAAATATATCCCATGAACAAAATACGCAACATGGTCATGCAGCACTCGTCCGCTCTGATCTGTCGGCCATGCCCTGGCTTTGGACGCTGGCGGCCTTGTTACCCAGGGGGACAGCAGCTGAGGAGAGAATCAGGTTATGGGATACCATCAGGGACGAGTACAACGCCCGGCTCTGTAGCAACAGATTTGTCTATGCTTAAGGCTGCGGCTGCTCCGGTTTTATTACAAAAAGGCATTCCGAAAGTATTATGGGCTGGGGTATCTGGTGACCTCGCTACAGGAGAGGAGAATGATTATAGTGAATTGGACGTGATTGTTCTCTATGACTCTGATGAAGTTAGACTAGAGTGTTGGCCTCGACCAACACCGCCTATTTTTGAATCCTACCTGTAGTCTGGGGCCGAGAGGCGCAAGTGGAGGAGTTAACTACAAAGGAAGTGCCGTATTATGGGGATATGGTCTATGTCTTATGCTCTAGAACAATTTTTGGATCAGATAACGACCCTGCAGACGACAGCTTCGAGATGTAGCTATCTATCAGATTCTCCTTCTATAACATTTCAAGATGCTGCAAACTTGGGCGGTCCATCTTCAATTGGAAGGAGCTCGCAAATCAACCCAACTAGGAAGCTGGCTAGGAACCGAATAAATAAATAACCTAATGCGGACGACATCGACGAGAACATCGCGACTTCCGTAACGGGTTAGGTGCAGAGGTCAACCCGGGAATATTTCTAACGACATCTCTCTGTTGACAGAACGACATATCTAGAATAGTTAAATCAACAACTATACAAGATGAAGTCGAATTTGCTGGCCAAACGTTTTGCTGCAGCCCAGAAGGGCATCATGTCTGCCTTGGAATTGAAGGCAAGGCACAAGCTAACGCCGAAAGTACGTGACTCTGACACAGGTCTATACTTTGCTAACGGGGGCACTACGGTGCTAACCTATGAAAAGGTGTTGTGGGCAGCCAAGCAGGGTTCTCCAATGCATATAGCTGCTGGGGCGATTGCCATGCAAATGGTGAGTGTCATTGAGAATCTAAACGGCGTAGGTAAGAGGACGAAAGACAAGTATGCCAGAGTTTATAGCAAGGACTTCGAAGCAATGGTCCACCAACGAAACAACCTGGTCCACGGTTTTGGACATGCGGACGTCGAGAAGACGAAGGTCATGAGGGCGCAATCCATCGAACACTGACAAAGCGTTATCCCAAGTTGCTTGAGGAACTACAAAAGCTATAACCACCGAGGTAACTAGGCTTGTCTCTGGCTTCACTCCAGGCGATTGGAAGGACGGAACGCTGGCACGGAGTCTTACTCCTCGGGAGATGATTCCGTGGACAGCCCGCGGAGTCGGCACGCAAGCGCCTCTAGTCGACCTGCGAGACAGACGCTTGACTTCTGTTGCACCCTCTCGGAGTGGTGGAAGAGTGTCGCCAGGCTGTTAGTTATTGTTTTATATGTGCCTGCTATCCGCAAAAGACCAGTGGACGAAAATGCGGTTTGTCGCAGCTAAGCCTGCCAAACCCCGAGGCCGAGTTTTTGCCGCCCGAAAAGTCCCTTGTCGGGATTTGCGGCAGGCGAGAACGTCATAGTGTTGACTAAGGCTGGCTCACTTAGCTCTGCATTCCTGACACACGGCAAATTTTTCATACTCCAAGCTATATAACGGTCGAGACGCCGCAGTACCCTGTCGCTGGACAGACTCGCATCGTCATAGATATCGTTCGATTAATCCAGGCCATAACTAGAGGCACCAGTTTGCAGAGTTTGGACATTTATTATTTTCAAGATGAAGATCATCACTAAAGAAATCGAAGATGCCCACCACAAGTCCGTATCTCCCGCCGCATCCCCCTCTTCTCTCTTGCTATAAGACTGCTCCAATACTAACTGTCTTCTAGGGCCGTTCTACAGGGAGTAACAATCGGTGGAATTGCAGGTCTCATCGGTGGTTGGGCCGGTGTATTGGTAGCGTCGAAACGATGGGCCGGAGTCCGCAACCTCACCCTCCCTATGAAGGCCTTCCTAGTGACATCAACAGGCACATTTACCGGAATTGTTGCAGCCGACCATGGATCTCGGTCGTTTGAGAAGAGCCAGAGACAGGACATAGAGTTCCTAGAAGACCGCGAGTCCCGGTTACGCAAGGAAGAATTGGCACAGATGAGCGTGAGGGACCGAATCTTCGAATTTGCTCGCCAGGAGAAGTACAAGATTGTCGGCCTCACTTGGCTTGCCAGCATGTTTGGGTCGTTTGCCCTTGTCAGCCGGAGCCCATACTTGACTGGACCACAGAAGATCGTACAGGCTCGAGTCTACGCCCAGGGTCTTACGCTGGCCGTTCTCTGCGCTACTGCAGCATTTGAAATCTCGGATCAAAGGAAAGGTCGAGGAATCGCCGATGCTGTAAGAGCCAAAGCGAAGAAGGACAAGAACACCAACGATGACCTGTGGAAAGATATGGTCGACGCTGAAGAACACCGAATTCACGACAAGGAGGAGGCAAAGGTCAAAAACCATTAATCAACCACCACCACACAACCATCCGTCGGGCTTAACCGCACCCGTTACTCGCGCCCTCCTCTTTACTCAGCGATAATACCAAACTAAATCTCGAAGCGTATGTTTCGTGTGTACATTACTTCATTCTCTTTTTCCCACTCTATCACGGAAACACCTCCGAAACTCTCACCTCTCGCGCCCCGTCCTAACCAACCCGCGTTTCAAAAAATGGGCTCATTTCCTCCCAAATGATGCCTATGTACCAGCTATACCTGGATGCTGGCCTGTTACAGTTTATGAGTTTTCATTTCTTAGAACCCGTTAAAAAGGAAGTTGGACGAGGCTGCCTTGCATTTTTTATAATAGGAGGTCTTGGGTGGGAAAAGGCGTTATGGCTGTAAATAGTCTATATTGGATCTCTTAACTTTTTCATTTCAAAATGTATAACCAACAATAGACTATCTGCAAAAACGTGATGCATTTTAATCTATTAATCTATTAATCGCGGCTCTATCCGTGGAACTCCCAAGCTCTATGCCTCCTAATAGGCAAACACGGAGTGCCAAATGTTTGGCTCAATAGGGTTCAAAGTATATTATATACAATAAGATATAGATGAAGGAAAAATAAAAGACACAATACTCTACACATGCGATAAGAACGTCACACAGATAGATCAACCTCTTCGTGGAGTTTTGCATCGATATTGACAAATGATCGAACGACGTCCATGCCACGAAGTCGCTCTTCTTCAATCCTATGCCAATCCCAGGCACCAGATTTCTCGGTGTTTTCTCGGTTTTTCTTAACGTCATTATCCAGAACGGCCTTGTCAAGGTCCGAATTCTCTGTCAAAGTCAGTACCTTACGGAGAAGAGGCTCGTCCAGGGACTCTCCTGACTCAATTGCCTCGCCATTTGCAGGGGTATCAAGAGCGGTTGGTGGTGAGGGTACCTCCTCACCCGGAGGTCGTGGAGGCAGCAATCCACTTGCCCGAAGAACGTTCTCGGGCCGAACTGTCTTTCTGCCCTTCTTCACTACATACTTGCTCACTCCAACTGCAAGCAGTACTTTGGGCTCTCCCTTGCGCTTGGGGAATCGGAGGAAGAATGTCAATATATATAGCCATTTCTCGTCCCAGCCAGCAATCTTGGTCCGCATCTCGTATTTCTCAAACGACTTGATTTCCTTCTTGAACGTGCAGTAAACAGATCCCAGCATCACCGCAATTCTGCCAGGATATAGCTGCTTGCCATTGGCATCGCGTTCTTTATTCATTTCACGCTTAACAAGCTCCAAACCAGGGCTATACAAGCTGGTCACTAAAGTCGTACGTGCGATATCGAGATCAGAAAAGTATGTGCTGTTCGATTTGTGAATGTTGTAATCAGTCTCCCATAGCGTCGTCCTGCTCGTTATGCTGGACGGGACGAATATTGGGTGGACGTGTCCTGGCTTGTTCTCGTCTTTTGATTTCGGGTTTGGATAAATGTGTTTTTTCAGATGAATTCGGCTGAGTAGATGATAGAACAAGCGAATCTATATTGATCAGGATGTCAGCTATACGAGCAAGAAGAACAAGAGGAAATTTGCATTGGAGTAACCTTACATGCCACGAAAAGGGCACCGATTTGAGATTAAATAAAATATATAATAAGAGTAGGTTCTTCCAGGTCAACTGTGCACGAGCTTTTTGGATTGCCAGGCTGGCTGCAGCCAGAACAACTGGGACTGACAACACCGCCATCGTGGAACTCCTGGTTCAGCGTCCCACGGCTCTTGTAGTTCCGTTACGTAGGACTTTTCCTGGAATCGAATAACAGAATTATTCAAGTCCGTGTAAGCAGCAGATGAAGCTGCAGGTTATCCTTTTCAGCCTCAACAGTTTCGAAACCTTGGGGTCCTGAGAATATATGGAGAGAATAAGGGAGATGGCCAGCGAAATGGCCAGGAACCCAATTCAAACGACTGAAACTTGGGACACCGTGATCGTAGGACAGAGGTGAAAAGGACAGCTAAAATAAAAGACAGAAGGAAAGAAAAGGGTGTCAATAAAATAGATTGATCGATGGCGTTTTCCTCGTTTGACTGAAAAAGCGGCTTTCGCGCGTCACTGGCCAGGCACGAGCTTGTCATGTGACTCTAGGCCGAGGTTGAAATTGCAAGGTGCTTTAGTCGTATTTACGAGATTGGAAAAAAAAAAAAAACGAAGGGAAGCAGAGGGAAAACCATAGTAGATCGCTATGGTATGCCTAGGTTACGTGGGGACGGACGTGTGCTTAGGCCGAAGGTGTGATGCATGATGCATACTGTGGATGATCTGGTCGTTTTACTGAGGTGGATCATGTTGGGGTCGAGACATAAGCATCGACAAGTCAACATTTATACTCCGTAGAAAGACAAAGATAAGGATCGTGTTGTTGTATTCCTTAGCATATTAACATCAAAATCTGGCTATGTGAGGAACCCTGTGTTGTGCATTACCGTGGATGATTGCCAGGGCGTGGGTGGTAAGCAGACATAGTGCCTAGTAGATTTACTACCATAGCATGTTCATCCACGAAAGCACTTTGCAGCCTCTCTCCGTAAGGGTATTTAAGTATCTAGTTTCTGGTTCGAAACGAAGAGTATCATTGTTCCTTCTGGACCTCGAATTAATTGTTGATAAAGAAAGAATTAAAAAAAAAAAATGAAAAATGAGTGTGAGTTACAGCAAAACATACCATTGTGGAAGGGCATAAAATGTAACAATCTAGCTCCCTCGAAGCGGGATATTTCCCCCGTAGCTAAAGAGAAATTAAGGTCCCCACCGACATACTCGTACTCAGACTGTACGCAAACGACCTTGGGCGGAGACGGAAACATTGAACGGGGGCCGGCGAGCTTAGAGCTCATGTTGATATTTGCTCGTGTGACTGTGTGTATTCGTGAATCACTCCGCAAAGACACCTAAATGCCGGCTAGTATCTGTATCGTGTGGAGTAGTCTAATAGCAGCGACTTGTTAGCCAAAAGGGATCTCCCGAGACACCTTGAAAAAGAACCAACAAAGATATCCACAACTAACCTTTTGGGCTTACTACCAAACCTCTTCCTTTTTTCGCACCGCGATATATCGCCTCAAAGATATCGATCAACTCTTGCTTATCCTCCAGCACCCAGTTGAGTTTGTTGTTGTTTCCGGTTCCAAAATCGCACATCATATGCTTATTGCGGAAGAAGAACATTATTGTCATAGGGTCATACAGTTCGTACATCTGGATGAAATCTGGAACTTGATCGATGTCGCAAAGGTAGATGACGGCAAAATTCTTGACGCGATCAGCGATTCGGTAGAGCACTTCATCTTGCCTCATGCCTATATTGATTTGCGTATCAAGTTAGAACTTATCTTGCCTTGGGCGGTCATGTTGGTTAAGCAGTCAGTGGAAACGTACAGTCCTTGTCCCAGTCACGACCAAATCTGATGACAACTAGACGCTCCTCCTCGGAGAGAATAGCTTGGTCTACGTGCCAGGCTGTAGTAAGATGAGGGAGAACAACGGAGCCCATTTTCAGCCTTGCGTTCTCTTTCTTGACTTAGCTGGAGGGGTTCAAGGCGGTCTTTTCTAGTTGTTGCAACGAATGTTCGAGGTCGAAAAGAACCTTGGAAGTGACTTCATCAATGTCATACGCACGAGCCACCCGTCTTTGGCGCATAGTCGGAATGGATTTATTTTACTCCGGAAGTTTCTTCGATTAGTAAGCTCATTATCCACAACCACATTGAGCATCGATAAAGTTATGGGAGACAAGTTCTGATGCTTAAAAAATATTTTTAAATCACTCTATGATGCTCTACAGACGAGGCCCTTCCTCCCAGTTTTCCTACACACAACCACTCATGCAAATTAGAAGAAAAATTAAATGGTGGGGGTGATGACTGACCATTAGTGGAGACGGAAGGGAAAACGAAAGCTGGAAGATAAATATGACCAGCGAAAAGAAGGGGAAATAAGCCAATGGTGATGATATACCTGGTTGACAAACGAGGTGAAGAGAAAAAAATTATATAGAGTACCTTTACAAATCGTCGTCATCGTCATCATCGTCCGCGGTAGAACGCCTTCCCTTGTTCTTGAGGCTGGATGACATTTCGTATTCCTCAACATGCGTACTGTTGCGCCCGGACATAGCCATGGCCTGGCGTCCGGTATCAGAGGACTCCAGGAACTCTCGAAGTCGTCGTTTACCCTCTTCGACAGCTTGGCGAGAGGCTGCTTCTGCCATGTTTATCATAGGGCCCCAGAGATTGAGTCTGAAAGTGACATAAGCTCCAACGCCAATCACTAGCAGGAACAAGAAGTATATTGGGTTCCGGAGGACTATTAAGTGATGGGTTAGCTGACAAGTCGTAATTTTATAGTAAAGGATGCAAAAATCAATGCTCACCGGCGATTATTTCGTTCCAGCCCAAGGCTAGGAGAAGGCCGTAAAAATACAATGGTACTTGAGTAATGCCACCAATGGCACTTCTTTTTGCTTCAACGTACACGCCATCAGCCGCCTTTTTGAATCGAACAGTCAAATCCTGTCTTTTAGCTTCACTGAGCATAGTCATCTCTTCTTCCAGGCTCTTGCCGTCATCTTCATCAACGCCACCAATTGGTGCAAGGTCTTCTTCATCGGCAGCGCCTGCGGAACTGGGCATATGACCGACCCATTTATCCAATGGTGGAGGCGCGGACGTTTCGTTTAGCCTAAAACGGGCCAGAAGGGGAATCAAATTAAGTGTAGATTCTCTGGCAGTAGTGTAGATTCCTTCGATATCATCCGTAGGTCGCCAGATCCGGGGTACACCAAGGTCGTCATAACGGAATTTATCCTCAAAGTTTTCGCGCAATTTAAGGAGAATGTTCCCTTCCATCATCTCCTCATCGATCTTAGAACGTAGCACACCCCAGGATTTTCGTCGCAGTCTCCATAGGCCAACGTCAACTTCCTCCAAGCTTGCATCAAAGCTCTTGGCTCGCTCTGTAAATCTTCGTTCGGCGTCCAAAACCGTGTTTACAAAGAGAGACCAAATTCTATCCCAAATGGTTTTTTCACTGGGTTTTTCTCCGTCCTCTGGAGCCCTGGAGCCGCCTCTTCCTGAACCAAGGGCGTTGAATTCAAGGTCAATGGAGTCACCCAGCCGAGATCTCACCCATCGTTCAACTCTAGTGGCAAGGCGCCTCATCTCGTCCTTTCTTAGTTGTGAACTGATCTTTTCAAGATCCTTTTGGTATAGGGACAGCTCCTGCTTGTAATCACTCCAAGGAGCCCCCTCCACCAGCACAGTGCCGGCCTCCTTTTCAAACTTCTCAATTGCGAGCTTCCTTTCCCTGGTAACAATTTCTGCAAAATCATAGCTGGCACCTTTCTTCTGTCCTGCCTTGACGGCAGAACTGACTGCTTCACTAAATTCGGCAACGCCAGACTTGTGAGCGGCACTGAGTTGACCGGTAAATAGTGCTTTAAGGCGGGTATCAATTTTCTCCTCTAACTCAGACTTTTTGGTTGCGAAAACACGCTTGTGGTACCGGCTGGCTTCGGTTTCGAAACTGTTCATCGTTTTCCCCCGAGCTGTACGCATAGCGACACCAAGGCCAGCAAGAATTAATGGAATTCCGGATCGAGTTGCATCGGCTTGTTGCACTTCAAACGGTCCAATGGTTTGATCAAAGAGAACAAGTACTTCTCGTGCAATCTCGTCACAGCGGAATTGTGCAAGGAGTTCTTGTTGAGTAGGAAGATCCAGATCCTTATTATTCACAATTTGTTCCCAGATCCCTTCCGCATAAACAGAAAAACCATCAGCTGGAATTCGTCGATGGTACTCAGGAAGGAAAACGCCGTCTTCCGCCGCTGTACCCTTAACGGCCAGGTTGGAAGGGCTACGGTGGCCATCTCTGAATCGAGTACTAAGCTTATCAACTTCTTCAGCAAATTTTTCCGGCTGGAAACTCTTATGGGGCAAGCCTGCAAAAGCAAAATCGAAATAATCCTCAATAGTAGAATTTTCGGTCCCCTCTGGTTTGGAAAGTGATGACCATATTCGTTGGAGATCCTGCATTAGGGTATTCTGTAAATTCTTAAGTGGGGTCGTCCCCACGAAATCGCGAATAACAAAAAACAGTAGAGACCTGGGTGTGGATCTATGAAGCAGAGGTACCAAATGTCAGTATCCTCTGTGGAAGTGGAGTAGTGTTGGGGAGGGGTACCATACTTTGTATCTTTGAGGAATAGCTGAAGATTCACCTCAAATACTGTCTTTAAGAGACCCATATTGGCTCCCTGGTATAATCCAACCTGGTGCTCCCAGATATTGACAATAAGCACCTCACTCGTGGCAAGCGCAAAGAGGGCACTTTTGCGTTCAAAGTCCTGGTCTTCTCCACGCTCTCTGCCATCAGTCCCTTCGACATCCATGACCAGGATATTATCCGCCATCTTCTCTTTTTCATTCGAAGCAGTACGTTTATTTTTCGAGAGCCATATTCCCTTTGTGGTCTGACGTCTTTCGGTCTCGGACATAACGCTGAAGTCTGTTTTGAAGAGGGTATTTAGGAGGGTTGACTTTCCGGTGGACTGAGAGCCAAAGACCGAGATAAGGTGGTAATTAAATCCTGCCGGGGTAACATTCTCGTGTATCAGATATTTCGACAGATTCGGACTGTTCGTATACACTCAAAGGTCAGCAATCAAATAATAGAGAAATGTGCGTGTATCATTGTCCTTCCAAGTTGTCGCACAGAACGCCCAGTGCGAAAAACATGTAGACAGTGCTCTTGCTTCACAAGGTGGTGGCGTACTTGAACTCCTTATCGCCGTCCACTACCTGGACTCCATGCTGATAGTCCCCTCCGTCAACATCTCCAATAGAAGAAAAGTGCCCATTTGAAGTCATGATGTAGTCCTCATCCAAATATGGAGCCTCACTCAATCGCACTTCAGCAAGCAGGCCTTCAACCTGGGAACGCGGGCTGTCCCGGCAGTCACTTCACAGACGCAAGCAAGAGGGATGAAATAGGGAGAATGTAGTGCCGATCGGGAACGATAAAAGGCTCTTGTATCTAAGGGGGATAGGGGGTCAGTTTCTATTCTTCTTGTATTGCGCCTGGTGTCGAGTACATAAATAAGGAGGCGACTGGGTAGGTAGTCTTCGCAAGAAAGCACAAACATACACTAGATTTCAGTGACGGCAAAAGAGATCTCAGCACTGCAGAAGCATTGGTTCCATATAATTTGTCTCTCGTCGGCGCCAGCGGATGGCTGGCTGTAGGTCTTAAAAGCGCTTGACGTCGTTTTGTTTGATTACGCTGTCCTTTGCCCTTAGTTATATTTCAGCTGCGGTTGGATCAGGAGGCTGGCTTGGCGTGTTGACATCATCCCCGTTCGTCTCCTTCGTGGATTCTATACATGCGAAAGCCACCGCGTGAATCCATCAGATGACGAGGGCGAGACGAAGACCTCACGGAGTGACAAGGTCAAGATACAGCATGACTGGCTAGTTACTTTAGCTTGATGGAAGGCCTTCTTTCTAGCTAGCATATTCATAGCCTTCAGCCACCAGTGGCACACCAGCGGTCAGGTCTACCTAGACACGAAGGGACCTGTAAGTAGACATAAGGAACTACGACGATGATGTAGCTTTTCAAAGCTTGCGAAAGATGATATATTAACTAGTTATACCTTTTTTATCCCTTATATCTGCGTTGCAGTGCTTGACCGAGGCCGAGGACTCACGTAAGAGTGAGGTTTGGACAGGAGAGAGGCACTTTGAAGGACTGATGCATCTCATCTGTCCCAGGTAGTCCCCATTTCACAGTTTGATAGATTAGAGTCAGGCACCGCAGCGCATACTATTGCTATGATTTTGTGGTGTATCTCTAGGGTAAAAAAAAAAAAAAAAAAAAAAAAAAAAAAAAAAAAAAAAAAAAAAAAAAAAAAAAAAAAAAAAAAAAAAAAAAAAAACTAGCTTTTATGCGGCTGCAGGCTTCATGAAGAGTTTCTCTCGAGGGAGGAAGACCGAACATATCACCTGAAGGGCTCCAGCTGCAATCATAGAAATGTAGACTTTCTTCATAGCTTCCACGATAGCCTCGATCGCCAGCGACCTAACTTCCTCAGAGCCGTTCTGGAGGATGATAGATTGTGTCCCAGCAATGGCGGCAATAAGCTCTGCAGAAGTATAGCCTCGTCCAGCCAAGTATTTGGAAAGATTCTTGAACGCCAGCTGTTGGAAAATGGTTCCAGCAACAGTAATAGAGATGGTCTCAGCTCCGATTTGAGCCAAGTTGATATAGTTAATAGCATGCTGAACCTCATCTTCCTTGACTTTCGCGGCTGCAACTCCATAGGAAGCTTGAACACCAAGTCCGGTTCCAATTCCAATAATGATGCTATATCCATAGATATTGCCAACTGGAGTATCCACACCAACCGTCGACATCAGAGCTGAGCCGATTACTATCAAGACACCACTTATGGCGTAGTATGGAGCGTAGTATCCAACTAAGGGCATAGTGATCCCCTGAACCATAACCGATACAATAGCAAGAATGATCAGAGGAAGGAGACGTACTGCAGCATCCACAGGACTATCACCTCTGGTAAACTGGAAAAATAGCGGTATATAGTAGGCAGGGACGAGAAGGGCGGAATTCGTGCAGGACGTGCTGACGTATAAGAGGATCATCACTGTGCGCCTCAAGAACTGGGCAGGAAAGACACGTCTCTCTAGGGTTGTGAAGAGAGGAATGCCCTGCTGAATTGCAAATGCAATAAAGATAACACCAAAGGCGACGAACGAGGCAATTGTGCGATTATCGGACCATCCCCAGAGAGTGGAAGCAAAGGTCATCGGAATTACCCATCCAACATATATCCCGGCATTAAGAACCATACCGATGATGTCTAACTCTTTCAGCTTTTGAAGAGCTCCCTTGTGGGGTTTAGGCAGATAGTCGGGAACCAGGAGTAGGAGCACTGGTGCCTTCACGGCAGCTAGGACAAGGTTGATATAAAACGCCTTGATAGCCACGTTAGCAATCCACAATTTACACAAGGAACGGTTCAACATACCCATCTCCAGGTGGCGTTACTATGTGCAAATAAGCCTCCTATGACGGGCCCAATAACTGTACCGAGTCCCCAAACAAACCCAGACGTACTCACGTAAAGCGGCTGGCGCCTCTCTGGGACAAATACAGAGAAATATGTAAGGACCCTTGTATCTGTCAGCACAAGAGTTGATTTTGTTAGCATTGGTATTGATTCCTACCCAAGATACATTCCAGAACCACCTATTCCAGCAATTACTCTCCCTATTATCAGTGCATTCATGTTTGGTGCGGCACCACACAGTGCACTTCCGGCCTCGAACAAGATGATCGAGGCAATATATATAATTTTAATGCTAAATATATTGTAAAGCGCGCCTCTATAAGCTAATTAGTCTTGTGTTTGGGGGTTAATATGAAATAGGGGTGGTATCTTACATTGGAAGAATTGTGGCAACTGATCCAAGGGGAAAGCCGGATCCGAGCCAGCTGAGCTTTTGAACAGCACCAAATTGCTCTATCACTGGTGCCTGAACGTCTGCCACGATGGTAGTATCCAGGCCATAAAGAAAGGCAGAAGCGAGTAGTACAATAACTGCAAGTGTCCACTATATTCGAGTTAGAACTGGTAGCTTAATCTGGAGCAAATGCCTATCCATAACATACACTCCATCCTTCGGGCCGTTGCGGTAGCCCGACTGACTTAGGAGAAGGAGATACAGGGTCTTCTACACTGTCTCTGTCCTCTCTCTGTTTCAGTCCAGATGTCTTAGCTTCGTGGTATTCAAGCTTCGATAAAGAATCATCTTTCTCATAGCCTTGTAAAGGCGTCAACCCAGATGCAACCGGACCTGGCCGGTCTATGCTGGTTCTGGTACCCATATATGATCTGCTATTAAGATGGTATCAATCCTCAAGGCCTTGACATACTAGCATGAGATCTTAATAGAGAAAGGGCTAAGTGTAAAAATATGAGAAACGGGGTGTAGCATGAAATGTCCAACGTCGACCCTTCAATGCCATCGAATGCACCACAAAAACCTGAGATCATGACAGAGATTAAAAACAAAATCTGCTTCAAGCAGCATGCTCACATTGGAGGTGGAGAGGATTTATAAGCATGGCCCGAATCCGACTCATGGCAAACTGATTAGGAGCCCAGGGTATAAAAAAAAGTGCTCCGCAGCTAAAGAGTTTCATCATCACCAACGTCGAATATGCCTTGGCAAGTCCACTTTCAACTAAGTATGTCATCCAGGCCTGGACCCGGGTAACTAGGTACCTCTTGCGGGTATTTTCAGTGTTGTCTGCAGCAACCAGATAATACTGAACACCTCTCAGGGGGTCAAGGGAAACCAAAGGGGGAAATCAAGTCATCGAGTCGTTTGGATAATTCAATATTGTGAAATCATTGCCATTATTAATACTGGCACCTCCACTGCTGCATTAACAGACAGCTGTCAAGTGCTAACCAACAGTACTAGGAGAGGCCGAAGGGAGATCCTGGGATGCTGAAATAGGCAAGTACAGCCAGACATGACTCGTTGCCGCAAGCCGAGAGCCACTACCAGGGCCTTCTTTTTAAAATTTTCTGTTCTCCAGGTCCGAGAGTTCGGGTTATGGGCCAAAGGGCCGTGGTGGGTCAGTAAAAATCATGGTCGTGGCAAGCTTGTGAACAGCATGCAAGAGGGCCATTAGTGTTAATAATATTATTGGGACGGGTAACCTTGACAGTGATGTATGGAGTACTCCGTAAAGATCATGTCAATGCATCACAGCCACTCGTAAATGTACTTCATTAATTCGACATCATAAGTAGATTTGAAGAAAACATGGAGCGAGACAGCTGGTGCACGTGATTAATGGAATTATCTTACTAAGCGGCTCCGAAGGAAATTCGTTTATGTGATTAGATAAGCCTCGGCTTTTGGAGCTCCAGCCAATCAGTATCGAAGAATGACATCAGGGGGTCTGTTGCCTCTATTGGGAAATAATTAGAGGTAAAGGGGCATATTGTTACTTTTAAGATGGTAGGCATTTGTAGGCTCAGCCATTCAATTAATCGCCCTGGGCTATATGGAGAGATATCAGAGAACACAGATCACGATGTAGAAATGCATCGACGTATTAACCCCGATGATCATCGGAGAATTTTTCCACGCTTGATAACTGATGCAGCATGGGTATATCCTTCCAGCAGCGGATACTAATTTTGTACTCCGTATGCACCTGATAAATAATCTAGGATATAAATCTCCAATACCCTCTCGAATTTAGCTTGTTGGAATTTTTGGAAACACTTCTCCCAATTTTCCACTCTATCCTAACCTTCCGTTCCCTCCCCCAGCTGATTCTCTCGCCAGCCACATAACCAAAATGGCTTCAGGAATGCTGTTCGATCCAATGCGTCTCCTTCGCCTTGCGCCTCTCATCAGTAGTACAGGGAGCGTAATGTACTCGACTTGCGAACTCATTATGAACTCTGCCTTCCTCCATCCTACAATCCGGAGAGAAGCCGATGTCGTTCTTCCCCGCTGGTTTAACACTGTCTTCCAAAGCGGCGTTGCGGTCGTCGTTGGACTTATCACCATAACCTCATCCACGTCCATAGCCAATATCTACCTCTCATATAACAACGACCTATCCATCACAGAGGGTATCATGGCCCTGCCATTTAGTGCCAAAATGTATGCTTTGGGAGTGACTTGTGCATTGGGCCACTTGACCTTCATCCCATGGGTTGCCCCTCCAATTGAACGTCTAAGGACGAACACGTCAAAGCGAGGTGGTTCTGCTGAGATGGAAGACTGGCTGAGCGTACACAGAATAAGATGGGCCGTTGCTGATTTTCCAGCCTGGGTGGCTATCTTCCTGGCTGTTTTGACATTCGAAGGGACCCTCTAGCCTGGTATTCGGCTAACTGAAGACCTGGGTGTTTTTGGTATCGTGTCATCTATGAACAGCTTCGGATATCGAAGGATTGGGAGACGATATGTTGAGAAGGATTGGCTGGGCAACGCATGTACCATAAACTCATATGCTCAAGATAATATACAAAATATCCTAACTTCCATAAAAATGTGAAATTATCCCTCTGAATGAAAGAGAAAAAAAAAAAAAATAGAAGAGAAAATTACGGCTCATATTCCATATTCCATGCAATATTATCAGACAGGCTGGAAGTTCTGTGCATCCATCCATTCGAAATTCCACCCTTGTCCAAGAAAGAGATCCAAGTTTAGATTGGGGTTACCAAACCCTCCAGTGTCATCCATCAGGTTGAGATTTAAGTTCACATCAAGATTTGGTTCGGGCAATGGGGCCCCATTTTGTAGATATGAAGACGACGATGATTGACTTGGAGTTTGGAGTTGGGTATTAAATAGTGACATCGAAGGTGTATCCTGAGGTGTGGTATACCCGCTTGAGTTTGTAGAATTCTGTTTCTCAGGTATAGAATTCGGAGGGCTCATTTGTTGCTGTTGCGTGTACTGATATTGCTGTTGCAAATTGTGCTGATGTTGTTGTTGCTGCTGCTGTTGCTGCTGCTGCTGTAGTTGCTGTTCCTTCAGCATCTTACCAGGAACAATGCTGACAGCTCCGAAATATGGAAGTATAATCCTTCGAGCTTGGTTGCAGTTTTTGCTTTTGAATCCAGTCCTCAGAGCCCCATCAGCATCTCGACAAGAGCATAACTTTTCAATGACACTCGCAGATTGATAGCTAACGGAGTCCTCGGGCAGGTCTGGGTCATGGCGAAGCATTCGAGCAATGGACATGGCTGACCTCCAGTCGGCACGAGTCTGTGGATCGTCGGCGAAAGGGGAGCCGAGCAAGTGAACGATAAGGAGAACTGTAGATGTAAAAACCTGAAAATCAATCACTTTGCAAAATATACGGTCGGAATTGCGAATGTCATAAATGCCCTTATAACACTCGATGGTTTGTCTCGCTGATTCAAGAGCAGCATTATGACAATATTGGCAACGCTTATCGGTGTTGGATTTCAGCATGAATGGTAGGTGCAGCAACATCCTCACGAAATGGTGGGCAAATTGTGACCAAAGTCGACTGCTCTTTTCTATGGGGCTAAGCTGCCCTAACTGGGATGAATCCCACCAATCGTCTCCCATCTGTTTACCCATGTCCTCTAACTCTTGGTCGATTTTCAGGGTAAGAGGAAGAGACATATTGCCTCCGTCTTGGTTTCTATCAATTATAGATCCCAATGGAAGGCAAACACGCAACATATATGCTTCTGCAGGATCCATCTTTTTAACCTTCAGTAAATGTGTGATATGAGGCTTCAAGAGATGAAGCGGCACAGAATAAGGTAGCCCAAGAATTGAGCTCTGGTATAGGTCTGAGCATGCGAGACCACACCATATATGAAGCTTGCGAAGTCCGAGTTCATCATCTGGCCCAGGGCGATTGTTCGGAAGATGCAGGCCGGATAGCTGGGCAAAATTTATAGCCCGTCGCGTCAGGAGCCATGTTTTTCGTGGCCGGCCGATGTTGCTTTCATATTTTCCTGCCATATAAATACACTCTATACCAGATAGAGATGAAGCAATGTCATCATCTTCGATAACATACTTCTGAACAGCAGCAACACATTGTTCCACGTACTTTTCCTTAGGTACCGGAACCCTGAGGGATTGAAAGTCGAACTCTACCGCACGTTGTTCAAGGGTCATGATGATGCAGTACAGGATCTTTCCAATATCAGCAGGGTTTTCGAGAGCCTCAGGTTTTAGTATTTCTGGAAATCTTGCGCGCCATATAGTCCATATAATTGCCGGAGAATTTATTAGTCTTTTCAACTGCACAGGAGAAGGCAGGAGTTCTCTCAGTGCAAGAACTGCACGTCTTTCTTTCAGAGTTATTGGATCGGCGGCTTTGGAGGTTTCTAAATCCACATGCTTCTCATCTCGAGAAAGGATGTGATTATCGAACAACGTCAAAAGGGGAGCAGCGCCGGGCCCGGCGCTTCCTTGGTCCATCGATTTGGAGCGAACTGGTATGGCTTCCGGCACCGTTTCAGGCTGACAATTGGACAGGCTCTTCGTATCTAGTTTAAAATGTTAGGTCAAACAATCAAAAGCAAGGGCTTTTGGATATCCGCCAGTACCAACCTCGATCAATGCTATCTGTGGGGGACTCCATGTATGACCAGCTTGCGGCCTCTTTAGATCTACCCTTGTCACTTTCATCCATTTGTTTCACCAGCTTGCTCACGGTGTGCTCTAAAGCAGCTACCCGCTCCCTCAGGCTGTAGCTCTGGTCTCCTATACGGAGCTTTGCAGCTTCCGGCCGCAGGGGCGCATGTTCCTGATCGATACAGGACGAGCCTCGCGCGTGGCACTCATTGCATATCCCAGGCCGAGTGGGCGCATAGGTGCAGCGAATCTTTCGACGCCGGCCTAGCACGGCATTAATAGGATGATCCAAATGGCATGGCTTTTATGGCTCATCTGTAGAGCGGAGGTCAAGTCAGAGTAGAACGAACGCACATTCATAGCAGCTCTTTGTTCCTTTGCGCATTTTCTTGCGCTGGGGCTCCTGGTCGTGCAGTGACGCATCCGTGTCACCGGAGAGAGCTCGACGAAATGGCTCCATAGTTACAGCCCAGCAAATATGTCAGAACGAATGCCAGTGTCAGGTAGGTCAACTGTCCAAACAAGCAGGCAGCAGCGTAAGTAACTGCAGAGGCCGCGATGTGGCGGCTTTTGCTTTCTTTTAATCAAGGAAGACGGAGCTGAATTGCGTTAACCCCGAGAGCGCATGACTAATCGATATTAATTATTAATCATTTTTAGCCTTTCGTGCTTAAAACTTTAATTGCCTTTGTTTTCTACTTAGACTTTTGAGTTAAAGTTAGTTAAGCTTAACTCATTTTTATCTATATCAACTTGAAAACCAATACTTCCGCGACAGGGAGGCAGAGTGACCATATTGTTCAGGTACCGACTATAGGAAATGTATTCTATCAATATCATGTATGTATATGGAATATACCGCAAGTACACTTTCGCTATTGTATCAAGTACATAAGTCATAACCGCATTAACACAAAAGGAGGAGAGATGAAAAAAAAAAAATGCTTGAGGGAAGAAAAGAAAACTAGGTCGGGGATATCAAGCAAATCCGACTGCGTTCTTGTTCTGCAGCTTATTCAGGTTAAGGGGCTTGATAAAAGCGGCAGCGAAAACAGAAACGCCAGCGAGAGCTATGCAGACAATGAAGGTGATCTTCAAGCCATCGCCGTAGGCAACAAGAACTCCCTCGAGATCCTTTCCAGAGAACACTTTGTGTAGCTCCGAAGCTCCAGTTTTGATCACTAGACCCGGGTTCACACGCGGAGCCACCTCAGGAAGTCTTTTGATTAACTTGTTCACAAATGCGGTTTGAGCTGCAGACACCCAGATCGCGGCTCCCATGGTTTGGAGGAAGAGAATCATCGCAGTCGCGCTGGAGAGGTCCTCAGGTTTTACCAGAGCTTGGCTGATAATAACTGGGATCTGAAGGGCAAGGCCTCCTCCAATACCGGCGAGGATTTGGTATCCGATCCAAGTGCTTGATGGTGTGTCAAGCCCAAAGGTATAGACGAGGCCTGAGCCGACGGTGAGCATGATAGAACCAAGAACCATAAGGTAGCTGAAGTGGCCAAATGTCGCGATGAGACCACCAGAGAGTGTGGAAAATATACTGACTGCCAGTACGAATGGCAGATTTCGGATTCCAGAATCGGAAGCTGAGGTATGCTTGATTGCCTGGAAATAGATGGGAAGGTAGTAAATCAAAACGAAGAATGGACCAGCGAAAAAGAAGATGTAGATGGAACTGATCCTGATGTTCCATGTCTTGAACAAACGTGGGGGAAGAAGTGCTCGGTCGCCCATCCACCATTCATTCACAATAAAACAGATAACTAGCAGTCCAAAAACAACCAGGGTACCGATGACGGTCGAGTCCGACCACTTTTTGGTGGTCCCTCCCCATTGCATAGCTAGGAGGAAGCTGACCACGCCTGCCATGATTGTGAATGTTCCAACCAGGTCCATCTGCAATAGTTTCTCACGCATAGGGGCCTTGACTGGCCTAGAAGCTGGAGGGGCAGTGAAGAAAAATAGAATGATGGCGGCGCTAATGCCTCCGACCGGGAGGTTGATGTAGAAGCACCATCGCCAGGATACCTTGTCGGTGAAAACGCCACCAAGAAGAGGACCAATTGCACTGGCCACACCATAGGTTGCTCCAAGTATACCTGTGAAAGCAGGACGTTGTTGAGGTGGTACTGAGAATCCAATGATTGTGTAAACACCACCAGTGAGCCCGGAAGCACCGGCGCCGGCAATAGCTCGACCAACAATCAAAGTGGTGCTGTTATTTGCGACAGCGCAAATCAAGGAACCGATTTCAAAGACAAAGATAGCAAGCATAAAGACTGTCTTCAGTGGGAAGTATTTGAACGCTTTCCCCCATGTGGACTGGAATGAAGCCACAGTCAGGAAAAACGCCGATCCGTACCAGCCCACTTGATCTAACGATTTGAACTGGGCAGTAATCGTAGGGATTGCAGTAGCAACAATGGTCATGTCCAAGGCAATTAGGAAGATAGCAAGGATGAGAGCCACGACGATGAAAGAAAGAGCAAATTTCCCTGGGTATTCTGTTCCATCTTCGGCTTCGTTAGAGGGTGTGCTATCTCCCGTCGGGGCGCCAGACTTCTCGGCAACTATCTGAAATGAGGTCGATGAAGGGTTGTGAGATCCTTTGGGAAGGCTGCTTCCATCTACTCGAGTCGTATGATCTGATGATGTCGATAGAGGCCGTTGAGGCGTCGACCTTCCGGTCTCTGATGTTGAGAGCATACTGAGCCCTGTGTTCTGCAACTTTTGTGTGTATAGATGCTGGTTGTCCGTACTAAAAAAAAAAAAAAAAAAAGGAATTGTGGCTGAATTGGAGCCAACCCAGGGTAGGGAGGGGGGTTTGATAAGGCTATATGAATGTAACTGAGGATAGTATCTGGATTAAAAGAGTTAAGGTATCAAAAGCCATCTCCGAAGCAGAATTTCAGCAGATCTTTATATCCAGATGACTGCTCCATCTCTTCAGCCTTGGAACAAACAATCCTTTTTGGCTGGCCGATCGGCAGCCAACCAGAGCCGGCAGAGGCGCATGAAGCTCATGCCATGAAGCTCCGTAATGACGTCGGAAAAAAAGAAAAGGATAATGATACCTGAATCATTATCGTAGGAAAAGAAATGCCAGGGGAAGAACTAGTTCTTTCGGGTACAACATCGCTCCGTCTTGTTGCCGTATCCCCGTTTCAAGCATGATGAGCCGCTTTGCCCACAACGTGGCAGTATGAGCAATCCAGCCGGAATTAGGGGGTAAGAATTCGTCCGCTATGGGTATTATTATCTTCTCGAATCAGCCCCAGGAGGATTCACCCGAACCCTGTGTTTGAGTCATAATGATTAAAGACATACAGGCCAGCCGCACACGAAGATCAGCCATCATGGGCCGTTGAAACTTGACCGCATGGACATAACGAGAGGCTCCATAACTCCAAGCTCCATAACCGCAGCCGCTAGGCAAAGGTTTGTCTCCAGCGATGGAGATAACGTTATAAAGCAGAGACGGGAGTCGAAGAAATCGACGACCTCAAGCTTTTTATGCGGACAAAAAGTCGGAAGGTCGCGATGTTGATGACTAAGCTACTAAATCCGAAATTTCATCCGTTGGATGACTAATCTCAACTCCGCCGCAAAACGTCCGTCGAATTTCTATATATCTACTTTACGAAGGGCGCGGGCGCGGGCGCTACCTAAGGATAATTAATGTTAGTATCACGCTTTATCGCTTCTTGGATGGCTAGTTGAGGGGGAAATACTTTGGTTTGCGTAAGGCAATGGCTGCCTGGGTAAGGGCCCGCAAGAAAGGCTTCTTTCCTATGCGATCCAGCGAGATTCGACGGCCTTCACCAACAAGCAACATCAAGTTAACAATCCATCTGTCTGTCGGTGATACTGTCGATTACAACTGGTGAAGCCTTGTCTACAGAGCACGACAGTAGTACAGCCAGGAGATATGGCCATTACCGAGATTGCCATTCTAAAGCTGCGGCCGGCAGCCTTGACGACCACCGGCAAGCCCAATGAGGCGACCATAGCATTTCTTCGCACCGCCAAACAGAGCATGGAAGCCTACACGGGGTATCTGTTCTACATATTTACTCAGCTCGACGATCCGGCATGTGTCTATATCGTCGGCAACTGGGAGAGCCTGACGCAGCACTACGACAACTGGATACCATCTGATGCGAACCAGGGCCTGCTGGAGAGCGGCAAGGATCTATTTGACATTGCGGGCCTGGCACACCTTGATATCGACCAGCAGGAATCGGGGCTTCCGTCAGGTGCACCAGTGGTAACACTGGAATGGTTTCATATGCTTCCTGCCCACAAGGAGGAGTTTACCAGGGCCTGGGAAGAGAGGGTTTCCCCTTATCTGAAAGAAGTCACAGCTCCATACCTGGTTCGAAGCGGCTGGCGCATTGATGGAGAGCGAAAGATCGAGGGCAAGGAAGCAGTCATTATTGCAGACGGAGAGCCGGAGTTAGAGGAGTTTGTCGCATTCACAGGCTGGCGGGATGTCGGCGACGACGACTCGTATAAAGAGCTAGAAGGATTCAGCCGATTCCAGCAGCTTCTTGGCCTCGCAACCAAGGTTGAATCCAAGCGGCTTGCAAAGCTAGATCTCTAAGAGGGTACTCCATAACCTTCTGGAATTTTAATTTCCTGGACAGTGGATATCGGCCTAGACTCCGAGTGGGAAAAAGGGTTCATATTATTCATTCTTCGATGGCTATGGAATAAAAACAATCTTTAAACATACGCCTATGTGCCAGCAGGTATTATATATCAGATTCCTAACGCTTGTAGCCTCCTCGACGCCCGGACAGCATCGCAAGTTATAACGAAGCATAGACTTTCTCCACGATATTGATGGATGTCTGTTCGTCCAAGATAGCCCCGAATCTGCAAGAAGTAGTTAGCAGGGCGACAGTTAAGGGCAACAAAGCAACCAATACTTACCCAAAACAATGGATATTTCTGACAAGCCCTTCGCTTATCCTCTGCAAGCCCGCGGGATCCAATTTGTAGAACTTAGGGTGGTCGCTAATGAGCCGCCACGCCTGCACCGGTGTGATCTCACCGTCCAGGTTCAGCGCCCCTGCAAGCTCAAACAGCCTCTCGATCTCGCTAGCAGGTACTTCCCACGTAGACTGGTTCTGCAGAACTGGAGGGGTTCCAACAAGCAGTGGCGCCTGGAGGGTGAGCGCATGTCCTGAGAATCCCTGCTTCCCAAGCATACGGTGGCGTAAACAGCAACGCTCAAGACTAAGTAGATAGAAAGGGCTTGAGTTAGAGAGGAGGAGTGACTGATAAAAACAGTGGTGAGCAAGTCAAAAAAGGGGGATAGACGGCCTTACAATAAAACAAAATCAACTGCCACCTGGGTCGAATCAAAATGGTACGGATGGGATTGTACGGCAACTGGGGGTTCATATCCCCATCCGCCTGGGTCGTTCTTCGGCCGTATCTGAAGGTCGGCGTTGAAATGCTCTGGTCGAGGCTCATCCGGCGCAATCTGGTCTTCAATCTGCGGCGAGGTGAAGAGGTCCGCTGCCTTGTGCAGGACTTTCTGAGTGAACGACACTCCGAAGCCTTCTGGGTAGAAATTGGGTATCTTGTCCTCTCCTTCGTCAAGGGAGACCTGCAGGCGCTGGCCGAAGCCAGGCTCGCCGACGACAGTGACCTTGGCCAGCCGGTCTCGCGGCCTCGTCTGTGGCATCTGGATACCGTGTGCCCGCATGATTTCTCGAAGGAGGCTGTTTTCCGAGGTGAATCGGTTGATATCACTCGAGACAGACTCTCTCTCGTGCCGAAGACGAAGCAGCTCCTGTTCGAGGGACTTTATATACTTCTCCTTGCGCTCGCGGTGTTTGCTATATGTAAAGAAGAAACAGGACAGTCTTAGATGGAGCCCGGATATCATCATCATCATCAACAGCAACGGCAGCAACAAATAACAATAACAGCAACTAATCACGACATCAAGCAAGGAGCACTATATGAAAACGGAAATGAACCCACCGCTGGGCCCTCCGGACCTGGTCCCGCCGTCGCTCGTGCGCCGCCTTCGCCAGCGCCGCGCTCTCGTCCTCAATAGTGGCCGAATCTGAGCAGGATACAGCTTTAGCAACTATCTTACTGCTTGCCGTCAGGGCAATCGGGGCGTAGGTGACGGTATGAGACAGCATGGAAGCCACCGTCGCTGAGAGGCATGCCGGGGGGGAAAGAGATATCTCAACAGCCGCCCAGGAGGCTATATAGGGGGGTATAATTTCTTTGTACCAAACAGATGCCGCGATCCATCTCACCACCACTCCCGCCTCCCGCGCCCCCCTTCCCTCCTCCCTCGGCCAGTCAGTCAAGCGCGGAATACACCTCCTGGGGAAGCCTACGGTATGGAGTAACGAGTCCTATGTGAGATCATCATGCACGCTCCGAGACAGCATGACGAATGGGAGGCTCCCGGGACCGCAAGGCGCAGAGTGACGAAGGGGGCGAGCAGCGCAACCGACGCAAAAGGAGAGCAAGCCCCAGCATGAGGCGGGAAACGTGGTTAAGAAGGCGACGCGGTCATGCATCTGGATTCCAAATGGTGCTTGTTTCGAGGGAGGGATGCCTGCGACTTACCGGGTGGCTCTTTGGAATCATTCTTCGTAAGCGCAAGTTTCTTTTTCGACCGCTGCCACAGCGTCTCGAGGGTATCGCCATACGGATCGGCCGGCGGCTGGAGACTCGCATCCGCCATCGTGGAGGTCGACGTCCGGTGCTGGTTGATGCGTTGGTCGTGGGCCTCGTCCTTCGACGGTCGTCTGTTGGTTAATACTTATATCCTCCTTTCCACCATGAACACCACCGCTCCGGGGGGGTTGCTAGTAGCTATTTAACATGCAAACTGGCTGCCAGGACTTGCTGGATCGTTGGAGACCAGGAAACTCTAACACAAATTCATGCATTGGCAGCGGCGAGCTAGGCAAATGGGAGGATGGAGGGCGGCCGCTGCGCTGGTTGACCAGTTGCCCTGCCTGCTTCAAGCGCTGGCTGCTGGGGGGGGGCGCGAAGAATGTCGATTTTGAGATGCCTGGCGGTTGAAACAGGGGGGCCAGCGCCCTTGGTGATTATTGTCAAACAGTTAACTAGCAGTTAGCTGCAGCCATCGGTCTGCTCTTCGCTGATATTATTCAACGGTCAAGATCAAGCCTCCCTCGCGATCTGCTCGTTACATGCTCTGGCCCGAAGGATCCATGCATGCCGGGAGCCACTTGGTCAATCGACTAAGCAACCAGAAACCAGGAACCAGTAACCAGCGACCAGATAATATGAGCATGTTTGTCGGTGAGCCCCCAATCGGATGGAAGGATTTGGATCTGCAGATCTCTCCAGCAGGAGCCGGCCGTCGGAAAGATAGATAAATAGCTGCATGTACTCCGTGCAATCTATGTGTACCTGGCACATAGGCCATGTCGGATAACCACTCAGGAACTACATGCATGGTTATTCAACTAGTTATCTGGTATCTGGCCAAAGGTCGTCGTCTCTGTGACATGCTCTCGTCCTCTCGATAACCTGCTCTCCGAAGTAAGGCCGAAGCGCGGGTTGATAAACTGCCCTGAGGATACCAAATTACCAAGGGACTATTCTCTCCGAATAATTATCAAGCTGTTCAGCGAGTTATACAACTACCTCATTCCCGGCATGACTCCAGCCCCTTGATATGCCGGAGACGTGGCAGCATATACCTTGAACACTTGAAGTCGCAAGCTCTTCTCTTCAGCTACCCAAAGAAGGCCCAGAGTCAACGTCAACGTCAACTCGAATATTGAATTGAATCGGAGGGTGATAATACCGGGGAAATCACCCAAGAAAACGTTGATATTGACTCCCGGGAAGATGAGGATCAGCATCCTGCAGTCCAGATGAATTCGGTTATGCACGGGACCTGTAACTATACAGCGGCAAGATATTCTGTTATTTGAATATCAATAGCACCGTCCTGGTTCCAGGAGTCTCAACTAACATGTCACATCGTTTATACTGAATGCTCCTGGCTCTCCGGACGTCGTCTCGGCTCTTGACAATGCGAGGACGGGGATTACTGTAGGCAGCATTGGCTGTGGAATGAAGGCTGCCAGCTTAAAAGACAATTTCAGCCTCAAAGATGGATGTACTCCATTATAAGGAGAGATTCGCGTGTATTTAGAGAATTAGAATGTACTTCCTTGCCACCTGGATGGCCACTTCGTTGTTGACTAGAAAGCACCTGGTGAAGAGAGCTATACTCTCACATCTTGAAAGATGGCTTAATTGAAGAATGATCACCCCTTGATCATCTCTTTGCAAAGTACGCAGACAGCTTGCCAACAGGCTTGTCGACAGGAAATGCCCACTGGTAACACTCCATAAAGGCCCGTATATCCCTGTCCATTGCAGCAGAGACAGCCTGCCGCTGGTTGAAGGCCTTCGTCTCATCTTCATCCACTTCGATGTCCCGCTGTAGCTCAACCTCTCCAACCCAATGGCCAAAGTCCGTTCTATCCAACACGACCTCAAATTCCCGGTTGAACCTCCAGGTATCCCGATATGTCGTATATCGAGCCATCACTTCTAGCCCAGATTGTCTCACATCGCTGCCATCTCTCTCCGTGGGCAGGAACTTCACTCCAGACACAAGCCGCTGGACCAGCCTGAGCACTTCACCGGGTTCAGACAGCTCTTCGAATCGAGAGTCGGTGAAGGTTGAATTGGTCAGGTCTGTCCGCACTTTGGCCTGCCAGATGCCTTCCCGTCGCCGTATCCAGACTCCGTTCTTGGACAGCTGTTGGCGGTAGTCAAAGTACTGGTCTTCAAAGACGCTCTGTCCAATGTTCTCTACATGGTCGAACGATGGCGAGCCCCTGTTGGAACGGAATATTTCTCCCGATTTTGGCCCGCAGGAGAACTTTCTCTCGACTTCAATCACTGCGCGGCGGAGTCTCAGGACGGCGGTTGGGCGCATGATAGCCGGCTTCTAGCAACGCTCTTCTTCCCCTGAAATTCTGGTTTCAGTTCCTTGTTGGTATGAGGAAACGCAGGATTAAGTGAGAATTGATTGAAAAGATGTCACGGAAAGTTGTGATTATGGGAAGCTCGTCTGCAAACAAAGAAGCCTGGCCGCGGCTCTTAGAGGACTATCATTGTCTAGCAGCCGCTTTCTTGCATCTTCAGGAGAACCGCTAGAGGGGGTCTTTGAACGCTGCAAGTTGCCATGGCTTTGCTGTTGTCTTTCATGGCAATCAACGGAACGTCTCCTTGTTTTGGCTGATTTAGCATCCGTATCTCTGCAATTTGAGGAATGAGACCTTTGCATCCTGTTGTCTTTCCATCATACCCATGGATTATTTCTCTATTGAAAGGCCTTTCACTTTTATATACCCTTGGATTTCATCTTGCTATGTGGGATACCAAAAGAATGCGGTGTCTATGGAATATTATATATACCCTCTAATCCACCCAGAAAAAGCTCTAAACATCTTCATTTGGACATCCAAATGGTATACGGGCCATATCTTGAACCCTTACTTAGGCTGATATCTGACTTGGTGAAAGAAATCCATTGACGCCATGCCTCTATTCAGGAGTTTCCCTGATATCCCGGCTCAGTCGTCTCAACAGATAGCCCTATACCTTACAATTCTACTATCCAGCGTAATAAGCGTACTACTTTCATGGAGCCTACGGCCTGTCAGAAAACGACCAGTGTCCGTGAACTACCATTTCACTCGCCAATGCAACAAATCCTGTGGTTTCTGCTTCCACACCGCGACCACGTCCTTCAAGCTGTCAATACCAGAAGCTAAAAGGGGTCTCTTCAGCCTTAAACAGGCTGGCATGCAGAAAATCAACTTTGCAGGAGGAGAACCATTCATGTATCCCAAATTCCTTGGGCAAATGATCCAATTCTGCAAGGAAGAGTTGCGCCTGGAATCAGTCTCAATAGTCACAGATGGCAGCTTGGTCAAACGGGATTTCCTCGAACGATACGGTCGCTTCATTGACATTTTGGCCGTATCATGCGACTCTTTCAACGAACAAACGAACATCGAAATCGGCCGCGGAAAGGGTGATCAAGTACCACAGCTATTCCGCATCGCTGAATGGTGTCGAGAATATGGCATCAAGTTCAAATTGAACACGGTTGTTTGCAACCTAAACTACCAGGAAGACATGAATCCCGTCGTTGAAAAGTTGCAGCCCTTCAGATGGAAATGCTTCCAGGTTCTTATGGTCCAAGGAGAAAATGATTCCGACAAGACATTGAGGGATGTGCGGAAGTTTCAAATCACTGACCAGCAGTACGAGGAGTTCTGTCGTCGGCACGAACATCAACCGTCGTTTGTTGCAGAGCCGAATAATCTCATGGCTAAATCGTATTTGATTCTGGATGAGTATATGCGGTTTCTGGACAGGGATGGCCGAGAACCGTCTGCGTCTATCCTAGATGTTGATGTTTTTACTGCCTTAGGCCAGGTGTACTGGGACGAAACGAGCTTCAACAGACGTGGTGGTATCTATGACTGGAGTAGAGAAACGAATCAGTCATCTTGCGGGTCTGGGGATGATAGCAAGGCTTTAGAATGGTGACACAGTCTGTCAAATCTGTCAAATACTTGTGAAACGAGTACTGTCTGGTTAAGTGTTGTTGAGTATGGTAGTAGTTAGCCTTACCCTTGCACAGCCAGAGGAACGAATACATGAAGAGTGAACTGTCAAATTTGCAATGCAGTCCAAGAATAAGAGTCGAGAGAGCCTATGTATATCTTGTTGTTACATGAAAGGGCAGGGAAGCATAGGAGGCCATCCCCAAATAAAAACAGAAACCCCCAAAACTTCGTAGACACAGACTCCGTTTGTTCTTTCCCAGGATCCCCCCCGCTTACAGATGTGATGTTGATGATATTAACAAAAGGGATGATTATAGAAATACATGACAAGAATTCTTCCAGGTAGAATGGGCTAACGTGGGAGGACCAGCAATAACTCCGTCTTAAGGCGATTTTTTTTCCCTTCTTTATTTCGTTTAGAGGACACGAGTGATCAAACCCGTGGCAACGGTTCGGCCACCCTCACGGATGTTGAATCGTTGACCAGCCTCGGCAGCAATGGGATGGAGGGTCTTGCAAATCATCTCGACGTTGTCACCGGGCATAGCCTTCTTGTCTTGGTCTTCTCCAGGCCAGCTGAAAGATGCGGCTTCGTCTGTGGAAGGGAGTACAAGTTAGTGATGATCTACTTAGTAGATAGCATAATCTTGGGTTACATACCGGCAGTACGGATGAACATTTGTGGGCGGTACTTGTGGGTGAAGCCGTTGGAACGACCACCCTCAGCTTCAGTCAGGACGTAGAGGGAGACCATGAAGTCGGTATGAGCCTTGGTGGATCCGGGGGCGGCAACAACCATTCCACGCTTCAAGTCCTCACGCTTGATACCTCGGAGAAGGAGACCGGAATTGTCACCAGCTCGAGATTCATCGCAGGACTTCTTGAAGGTCTCAATATCGGTGACCTTGGTCTTGATAGGGGTCGTAGAACCACCAACAATTTCGACGTCGGAATCCTTCTTGAGGATACCACGCTCAACACGGCCGGAGACGACAGTACCACGACCAGAGATAGAGAACACTTCCTCAATGGACATGAGGAAAGGCTTATCAGTGGCGCGCTCTGGGGTGGGGATCCAGGTGTCGACGGCGTTCAATAGCTCGTCAATCTTCTCGACACCCAGCTCAGGTCGACGGGACTCGAGGGCGCAGAGGGCAGAGCCAAAGATGATGGGGGTCTCCTCTCCCTCGAAACCGTAGTGGCTGAGGAGTTCACGCATTTCTAGTTCGACAAGCTCCAACATCTCTGGGTCCTCAACGGCATCGACCTTGTTAACGAAAACGACGAGCTTCTGGACACCGACCTGGCGGGCAAGGAGCAAATGTTCTCTGGTCTGAGGCCTAGACTGATGTTAGAAAAGTTAAATCCTTTCATCCGTAAGGGCGAGTATTCAATTACATTTGACCGTCAGAAGCTGCGACAACGACAACGGCTCCGTCCATGCTGGCAGCACCAGTAATCATGTTCTTAATGTAATCAGCGTGACCGGGACAGTCGACGTGAGCATAGTGTCTCTTGTCGGTCTGGTATTCGATGTGAGCGGAGGAGATGGTGATACCACGCTTTCGCTCCTCGGGGGCCTTGTCAATGGATCCGTAGTCAAGGAAATTGGCGAACCCCTTTTCGGCCTGGCGCTTGGTAATAGCGGCGGTCAAAGTGGTCTATGAAGATTGTCAGTTTTCCGTCTATATTGGCCGGTTATTCTTCCCTCCTCTCTACCAGAGGTCTCGAGGTAAATGTCGAACCTTTCCGTGATCAACGTGTCCAATGGTACCTGTACCAGACGTCAGATTTCAGTCCACCAAGGTCAATTGGATCAGACCAAAGGCGCAGCACTTACCAATGTTGACATGGGGCTTGTTACGCTCGAAAGCAGCAGCCATTCCTCGGGCAGACATCCTGTTGTGAGAGAAGACGTACTGCATTGGGTTGACAGCGGACGGCCGCTGTGCGGCGTACTTGCCGGTCCTTAGCAGCACATTGAGGGATCTCTGAAGGGTAGACATTGTGAATGCTCTCCACGACGGGGAAATGCGATATCAAAAGACAAGTTGCTGCTCTGCTCACTTCTATCGCTCAACCTTGAAGTCGTTCGCGAGCAAAAAATCTGAAGCTCAAAAAAGTTTTTGTTGGCGTCAGGAACATGCTTAGTCATAATCACGTGAGGTACATGCTGCTGCTTGCTGGAGCTTTTGCAGGGAATCAAAAACAGAGAACGAGAGATATGGAGATCTAAGGAGGCCAGTAAGGATAAGATAGCTAGAGGTTGGGAAGCGCAGGAGAATGGTAGACGGTGGGTGGTGGACTGCTGTTAGATCTGGTTCGTTGTCGAAGCTGTGGAAGCTCCAGGTGCATAAGTTTTGATATAGTACATCAGTCTGTATTTGTTAGACTGCAGAGGCACATACGTAGACGAGCCTTACTCCGTAGGACAGTATAATAATAGTACACGATAGGCAGCTTGAAGCTCATCACGCCGTAGCCTTCTTCTTGTCTAGAACATATTCCATGTGCTCCATGATTTTGCCTCTTCTTGGTTTCACCTCCGTAACCCCGATCTCAAACAGCTTACTTTCAATGGCAGCCAACACCCGTTGTGCCTCGTCCGGTGTAGCTCTTCTCTTTCTCTTTTTCTTTGTCAGGATCAACGACACTCTCTTGCCCTTGGACAAGAAGGTCTCTAGCTGGTCCAGACGGTGCTGAAGGTCATGAGGGTCAATCGCCCAGTTCAGCTCTATCTGCTTTATCTGAACAGCCGTCGACTTAGGCTTGCTCTCCTTTCCCTTTGCTTTTGCCTTTGCACTTGCGCTATATTCCGACTTGTCGACAATCTTGCATACCGGAGCCTGGTCTTCTGATCCTGCTCGAACTTGTACCAAGAAGTTTCGGGACCGGTCAAATGAGGCTAACGCAGACTTGAGCGACATTGGCTCTCCTAATTGTCCATTCTCTTGAACCACCCGGACTATCGCACTTCGTATTTCTTCGTCCTTTGGTAGTGATGATCGAGAGGCGGAAGAGGCAGCCGAAGTAGCTGGGGGAGGAGGATAATGAGGTCGTTGCGAGAATTGAGAAACAGGGGTCGCCCGGTAGTATCTTAATTGTCGTGTAGGTAGGGCGTGTAGCTGTCTCGAAGCTTGGGCAGCGGTCTGCGATTCGATTGAGGAGATGAAGGTGCAACGCAGGGCCTGCGCAGCGGAAAACAGAGGCCGTAAACAGGCCATTGTCCTCCAACAGGTACTTCCAAAATAAGGAGAAACGGCTCTATATCTGCTCTATATAGCACTGTCTGCCTCAAACGGGCTTTGTGACCACTTCAAGTCTTCTTCAGGCTCTGCTTCGTCTTCGTCGTCGTCTTCGTCTTCGTCTCGTGATGCTGATGTTTGGTTGGCGTTGAAAGGACAAAAAGTAACAGTTCGCGGGCGGAGCCAAGAATTACACCTTCTTGGCATCCCGGGATCTTATTTTAACTCGACGACAAGGACAGCAAAAAGTATGGAAATTTCTTTGATTTGATATCAGTTTAGGGGTTCAGGAGGCAAATCATTAAGAAAAAAAAAAATCTCCTTATTCTATTTCTGCGTCTTCCCATCGCTGTTACAAGCTGTTTATTCCCTTGCGAAAGACGAAAGGTGTGTTGAAGTCGACTGGACCTCGCCTTCGTTTCGACCCTTCTCTGGTCCATCTCGGCATCCTCTCTCTTTGCGCACGCAGCAGTTTGCATGTCCGGAGCCTCTGGAGGCAGATCTCACCGTGCAACTTCCTCCACCGTAGATTCTGACCCGAGTTTACACCGGAGAGCCTCTTCTGTCTCCAAACCAACCGATCACAGCCTTGATATCGAGAATATCCCACCTGAACCGATGAAGGGTTCTCCCACCATCGCCCTGATGACACAAAGCCAGCGGTCGAGATACCTGAAAACAGGTGGAATCCTTGCGTTCATACTATTTATAATATACGTGCTCGCTCCTTCATCACGGACGCCGAATCTCCCTCCTCCCGGGCCAGACTCGGCGACGAAATGTACAAAGCCGTACGATTCCTCCAAGCCTCTCATCCAATATGTCTTGATGATTGATGCCGGCAGCACGGGATCGAGAATCCATGTCTATCGCTTCAACAACTGCGGTCCAACTCCAGCACTGGAAAATGAGGAGTTTAAAATGACTGAGACGAAGGAGGGGGGCTCTGGTCTCAGCTCATACCGTGAGGATGCTGAGGGTGCGGCCAAGAGTCTCGACCCGTTGATGGAGGTTGCCATGAAGACTGTTCCAGAAGAATATAGATCTTGTTCCCCTATTGCCGTCAAGGCTACTGCTGGTTTGCGAATGTTGGGCAAAGACATGAGTGACAATATTCTTAAGGCCGTCAGAACTCGGCTGGAGACTGTCTACCCATTCCCGGTTGTCTCGGAGGCCCAAGGCGGTGTCGAGATTATGGAAGGCAAGGATGAGGGTGTTTATGCCTGGATTACAACCAATTACTTGCTTGGAAACATTGGTTCTCCAGAAGAGATCCCAACCGCTGCCATCTTTGATCTGGGAGGCGGTTCTACTCAGATTGTTTTCCAGCCAACCTATAACGGCAAAGGACCAGACGGCCTTCCAGAGAAAATGCCAGAAGGCGACCATAAGTACGCCCTCAAATTTGGTGGCAGAGAGTTTATTCTCTACCAGCACTCCCACCTTGGGTACGGTCTGATGGCCGCTAGGTCTGCTATTCACCGTTACCTCATCGAAACCAAGCATGAGCTTAGCCCTAATGACAAGGGCTGGCTCAAACAGAAGGTGGTGAACCCATGTATTGTTCCGGGAATGTCTCGCAATGTCAGCATTGATTTAGGAGATAACCATGCCCTGGGGAAGGAAGTCGAGGTACTCATGGTTGGCCCCAAGGAATCCTCAGCTGCTCAGTGCCGAAACCTCGCGGAGAAGATTCTCAAGAAGGACGCAACTTGCAACCTTGCCCCATGTTCTTTCAACGGAATCCACCAGCCCTCCCTTCGCAAGACTTTTGCTAAAGAGGATGTCTTCATTTTCTCTTACTTCTACGACCGCACCTCTCCCCTCGGAATGCCCGACTCATTCACTCTCCATGACCTTCATGAACTGACTTCAATTGTCTGCGGCGGCGAGGATAGCTGGGGCGTTTTCCAATCCAACAGCAGCGCCATGAAAGAGCTAAGTGACCGCCCTGAATACTGTTTGGACCTTAACTTCATGCTCGCCCTCCTACACACTGGGTATGAGATGCCTCTGCAGAGAGAAGTCAAGACGGCGAAGAAGATTGACGGAAACGAGCTCGGTTGGTGCCTGGGTGCAAGGTCAGTAAACGTATCTCTTAACTATATGTCCAAATTCGTATTAATACTAACTTCACAAACAGTCTCCCGCTCCTCAGCAAGAACTCTGGGTGGGAATGCCGTATTAAGCAGATTTCTTAAATGACGGGAAAGAATTAGACTTTAGATCTCGTCTTCTGTTGTCACAAGATTTTTATAAATATCACCTTTTAATGAAAGCACCTGAAACCGAGAAAAATAATTGGATGACCATTAAGTTGTGATGCTATGATGCACAAGGGAATATATTCTTGAAGAATTTTCCTGCCCTCCCCCTATTTATACCTTTTCTTTCTCTTCTGGGGGTTACGCGGGTGCTCATTGGGTTTTATGTCCACTTTCTTATATCGTTACCCCTTTTTATTTTTGTGCAGCGGTACGATTGTCTTTACCATTAGCTAGAATGCCATTTTCCCCCCATTCTCTTTCTGAAACGACCAAACCTGCCTCCATTAATTGTCTACATTGAGCGTAAGTAGATTTGCTGGATCCAAGCAGTAATACTGTTTGCCAGGCGAAAATCCTTGAATTGATCTGTCGTGAATATTACATGGGAATAATCAAAGTGTGGACTCGTGGAGTATAAATGATGTTAGAATGGCGTTTTGTTGATTGCAATGGAAATCAGGTCAAGACCCTAGATCTTCGATTTTCGGCTTTTGCAGGTCGGATTCCTTTCCCATAAGTTTGCCAATAACATTTTGTTCTTTTTCCGGGTCTATGCTCTCGGAACTTTCGCTGCCTGCATCACTATGTTCATCACTGTCTTCTCCCTTTTCTTGAAGCACGCCTAAACCAAGATTCTACCGTGATAGTTAGCTATATGTATCATCTCTGTTAGTAGAGCGGTCAGATTGGTATCTTACCATTTCAATAAGCTGACCCTGCCCGTCATCTTCGTTGTCCACCTCAAGGGTCATTGACTTTCCGGCAGCGATTTCTCGTTCCAGGTCTTCATTCGCCGCCTTTAGAGATGGTAAAAAACTTGCAAGTCTTGCACGTAGGGCTGAGTTGTTTGGAAGACTGGAAAACGGTCTCGAAGGTATAGAAGGGCCAGGTGGATCATCCATTTGTTCATCATCGTCAGACTTTTCCTCGTCTGAGCTTTCTCCAGCTTTAGAATCTGAATCTGAATCAACAGAAGATCCAGAAGACGATGTTGGCTCCGAATCTGTCGATTCTGGTGATGAACATTTAGAGGCCTCTTTGCTTGTTAGGTTTGCGACGGAATCGCCAGAGCCACAGTTTATGCCATCCAACTGGCCTTTATCACGGAGAGTCAATGATTCAGACGCTTTGTTCGACTCTTTCGACGAAGAAGACATTCTTGATGGATTAACACGCGGCGGATAAGGGTATGGACAGCAAGTAAGAGTGCGCTGCACCAGTACAAAGATATTTGGGATATACTATAACAGAGATATATTTCTCTCCCTATCCTGAAGCCCTGCATGAAGTGTTCCTATCTCATCCTTCTGTCGTATAGATATCGTGGTAACAGAATATGTTCCAGCGACAGCCCTTCTATCCCTTAACCTCTGAGATAGGAAATTGAAAGGGGTGGAAGAAGAGTAAATATATCACTGCTCTAGAAAATAGAGGCACGGCTCAAGGGTATAAATGACAGTTGTAGTTCCTTTTATAGAGTCTCGACCGTCATACCGCAGTTTTTCTCCAATGAAAGAGTTAAAGTTTGGATTATATAACCCGTATTATACACGTGACATCACGTGCTAGTCTTCCGAAAAAAGAAAAGTTAACGACAAACAACAAAATAAAACCAACGAACGACAAACATCAAGTCAAGGAGCTTGAAAATGACAATAATGCATCAATAAAAGGTAGCCAGCGATGTCGAGTCGCGAGAAAGACATCAGAGTTTGTGGGGGCTGCCGGTCCAGTTTCGAATGCGTTTCGTCCTTTGCGGATGGCTCCAGACAGGCCCTGAGAAAGCCGTTGACGGGCCGAGCTCCAGCCTCGTTGGGCAAGTGATACACTCGCTGTGGGCCAATGATGATACGGCGGTTATCATGCAAGTAGTGCGCATCAAGCAGAGGTGGCCACGAACTCGAAGACCCTGTCGATAAATTCCCAGCTGAGAGAGCTGTTGGCCATGATTCGTCTGATGTTTGCTTTGTCGAATGGCATCAAGGTTGGTACATGAAGATGCGTTTCAGGTCTTTGACCATGCTGCATTTCCCTGGCCTCTTGAATGGTACAGACAGGGGTTCAGTTCTTCCTATTGATGTCTTTGAAAGGTGATATGCCACACCCTTAAGCGCTTCAATCAGAGTACTGGCTCTTTGCTGTTTCTTATATGAAGATATGTGTCCCTGAGACTTTGGTCTTTTCTCGTCTCTCAGTAACATCGAAGCGCCCGCCATCCAAGAAGTCCTCTCTCCAACATGACCATTCAAGCTCCTAAGTTTACCGCCTTGGAATCGGTTACTGAAGATGAAGTTCAGGCCCTCAACCCAACCCGAAAAACACTCCATCAGAACATTATAGGCAAATTGAGACCTTTGCCTTTTCAGTATCGTTGGGCTGTATGGCATGAGAAGCACTCTGAGTCTACCAACTACGGTGACAGGCTATACCCCCTGCATGATGATGTTGCCGATATTGCGACCTTTTATCGGATATACAACAATTATCCATGGGGAAAGATCAAAGTCCGCGACACTGTGCATATTTTCCGCCGTGAGACGAAGCCCGTCTGGGAGGACCCTCAAAACTTGAAGGGAGGGTGCTGGACTTTTCGAGTTCCTAAGTCAAAGAGCCAGGCATTCTTCCATGAAGTAGCCATTCTTTGTATGGCAAATGAGTTCCAGGCCGCAGTGCAGTCCGGTATGTTCTACAGCCATATAGCACACTATCCCGCCTGCTGACAATCGTGTAGAGCGTGATCATGTTCTTGGAGTCTCGACATCTGCTCGATTCAACTCTAATTTGATATCCATATGGAATAAACAAGGATATAACCCAAAAGCCATCAAGGCACTCGAGGAGGTTATACTACAACGTCTTTCACCCGAACTTCGTCCAACCGCCGAAAAGTCTTACTTCTACAAACGCCATGATGAACATGATGGGTACCAGGCTGCAGTTGAAGCAGCACATGGCTCTGCTACTCACCGGAGTAATACATTGGAATAGGAAGCATGCTTATCTGAAGCTATTTTGGCCAGTGAGAAGGGGTGAAATAGTTGCTATCTATTTGTGCTTTGCTTTCTTTTCACATTTCATGAATTCCTCTAGCGCCCGCCTACTTTCTATTTTGTTGCATATATGGAGTTCAGGGATAATGAATTTGCTCGTTTATTACTCCTAAGATATCCATGTTCACCTGTTCAATACTAGCCTATTATGCGGGCCCCAATATAATCATATCAAAACTCCGTGGAAATGCAACTGGTGGTACAACCCTTGGGCTCAAGGTAGCAAAGGTGTCTGGCACTCAACGACTTGCGTCCCGACGCCTACTCCTCCTGTCCTCTCTATCGACGCTGGTTCCTCGAGACTCTTTCTCCGTGGCTCCCGGGATATACCGATCAATATCAGGTAATCGGTCTCTGTCTCTATCCCTTTCACGGTCGCGTTCCCTGTCTCTGTCCCTATCTCTGTCCCTCTCACGCTCCCTATCTCTGTCTCGGCCTCTGTCTCTATCACGATCCCTGTCTCTATCTCGCGACCTGTCCCTGTCTCTGTCTCGATCTCGATCTCTTTCTCGTTCGCGGTCTCTATCCCTGTCACGCTCCCGATCACGGTCTCTTTCCCTATCTCTGTCTGGTGACCTGGCTCTCCGTTTTGGTGACCGACTTCGCGTTGATGTCGGAGGAACATACCGGTCAATATCACCTCCAGCGTTTCTTGACGTTGACCTGACACGGCGGCTTCGGGATCTGGACCGTTCCCTTTCCCGGTATCTTCGCCGGGTGGTTGATCGAGATCTTGACCTAGACAGGGACTTGGATCTTCGTGCTGGTCTATGGGATGCTGCTCTTGAGCGAGATCTTGAACGGGCGCTGGGGCGATAGCTGCGATATTCGCCTCTGCTCTCACGCTCCCGGTCCCGGTCACGCTCCCTATCCCTATCCCTTCCTCTTTCCCGATCTCTGTCCCTATCACGATCTCTATCTCTATCCCTATCCCTATCCCTATCCCTATCCCTATCCCTATCCCTATCCCTATCACGGTCTCGATCACGATCTCGTTCCCTATCTCGATCGTAAGGCCGATATTTATCCATGTCATCTAGAACTCTGCTCCGGCTCCGAGTCCTGCTCCGTCGTCGAGACCTAGCACGAACAGAATGGTCGTCCCGGTCTCGTCTGTCTCGTTCTCCAGGCCGGTATACATCAAAATCACGAGGCCGCCTTTCTGGCTCTCTCCTATCTGAGTCGGCATCTCGATATCTGTCATCATGCCTTGAGGACCTCCTTGTTCTAGTTCTGCTTCTGGACCTGCTGCGGCCACGCCGGCGACTGTGGCTACGACGACTTTCGCGGTCTTCTGTTCTTGATCTGACAGGGTCTTGGGAAGGGAGGGTGGATTCCGTTTTTGGCTTGGAAGAAGTACTTCGAGTGGTAGTATTAGCAGGCTGTAGAACTTGGCCATTCTCCAGGGCTTCGGCCTGCTCAAAGTCGAACTCCGGCTTTTGTCGGGACTTAGCAGCAAGCTCTTTTCCTTCTTTTAGCAGCAGTTCAAGGGCTGCATCTTCCAGCGCTTTCTCATCCACAGGGGGAGCTGGAGTCTTATGCGCCCTGGATGTATCTCGTGGCGTACCACTCCCGTCTCTTCCGCGGTCAAGATCTGATCGTCTATTTTTGTCTCTGTCATAGTCACGCTCCCGTTCCCGTTCTCGTTCCCGGTAGCGTTCTTTCTCCTCTCGCCTTCTTCGTTCATATCGTTCCTCCCGCTCTCGTTCTCGCCGTTCTTCTCGCAACCTATCTTCCTCGCGTTGCTTTTCCCTTTCCGCCCGCCGCTTTTGCTCTCGTTCCTCTCGTCGTTTCCGGTCTTCTTCCTCCCTTTGCTTTCGTAACTCACGTTGGCGCCGTTTCTCTTCGGCTTCAGCTTTCTTTCTTTCTTCCTCCGCTTTCCTTTCAATCTCTAGTTCTTTCTGTCTAATTTTCTCACGCTCATCTCTTTTAGCTTGAACCTGCTTCTCGTACTCAGCATCTGTGGTAAGCCCCTTGGCTATTTCGGCATTTGCTGCTTCCTGGCCAATGTCTTGAGCGCGAATTTTGCGTAGAGAGGCTAGAATCTCATCAATATGGTTGGATATTATTGCGTCGACTGTTTCTTCTATCCCCGAATGTAGGTCACTGCGGTCAACGGCTCCAGATATTAGGGTAGCAGCCTTCCCTCTCTCGCGGGATAGTAAGGACGGGTCACGTTCGATTTCCGACTCGGCCATTTCAATTAACGACGCTGTAAATGAGTTCTTAGCATCCTGTAGAACAGATATATTAGCACAGAGTGGCGAGCAACGTAGGAAGCCTGTCACAACACACGCTATCATTGAATTTGGCCCAAACTTCTTTCCGGACAGCATCAAAGCCCCCTTTCTTCTTGAAAGAATATAACAGATTTTCTATCGTAGTCCGCTGAGCCGTGGAAATGGGCAGCTCTGACAGCTTGAATTTTTTGCGCCGGAGACTCTCCATGCTGGACCCAACGCGCTTCACACCAGCTCCTTCGGTCTCTGCTTCTGCCATTCTGAGCTGACGCGCCTAAAGCCACCATATAATGCTATAACGCTCGCAGCAGCCCCAGCACATTATCATCACAGAGCAGCGCTGGCACATCAGTCGGCCTCCATGTTCCACTTCCATCAGGTCACTTTTCTTCCCACTTCATGCCCAATAAAGTTGGAGCTCCATCCTGGACGATACTCTGGCGGATAAACGTAATCCCGTATCCGCGACGGACGTCCATCGAATCAAGGCCTCCCGAAAGCAAAACCGACGACTTCAAGCAGTCGACGCCGCAGAGATCGAACACATATCGGCATTGCTCTCCCCGGGGATGCTCTATTGACAGCCTACGATTGAGAGCAGAGCACTCGCGTTTTATTCCGGCCTGCTTGTTGCGTGGAAAAGTTTCCCAGCCGCCCTCCCGTGATTCCACAGCCACATTCGACACGACCCATCATGCCAGTCCACAAAGTGCTCTTCTGGAGCGGCTTCGGTTAGTGATATCTTTCTCTTCATCCGTATATGCCCGGGCTACCGTGTACCTGTTGGGTTCATCTCTACTCGCATGCCAATGGCTCTCTCCAAGATCGCACAGCCTGGCGCATCTTACTGCACGTGGAATCGCATCTAACTTCTCGTTCTTCTGTAGGCGTTGCCGTCCGACTATGGCAGCTTGGAATTGAAATGCGCCCATTCTTCAACAAGGAATCCCTATGGGTTTACCCTCTATTTGCAACTGTTGGTGGAAGTTTCGGATACTGGTTAGAAGGTGTGGAGGGTCGACAATTGAAAATGCTTGCCGAGAGAAAACGAATACTCCTTGAGAAGAGACAGAGAAGAGCCGAGAGAGATGCAGATGACACCGTCGGACTCGGCCAGGCCGAACAAGGGGGAATTCTAGCCAGCACTTCTTGAGGAGAGAACACTGGTTTCGATACATTCGCTGGGCGAGCGGTTCCAGGACCAACAGTATAGAAATATGGATATATCAAGTGGATGAAAATGGGGTTGCTCAGTCTCGCTTTTTAGAAGAGAACTAGAATGGGAGACCATAAAAAATTGTACTTATAACGTGATTCCTTGTCATTTATTTCTCTCAATATGAACCGCAAGGAATCCCATGAAAAGGCCATTCATTTAGTTACCATGTACAAGACTCCATCTTTCCGGAGACTATAAACATAATATAAACCTGCATTGAGATACTCCCGACGAATATTACCAGCTACCATCACTTTTTGACCAGATCAATGGCCTTGAGGATTCCTCTGATGGATCGATTTGTGAAAGACTTACGTCGACTTTGGTACTTTAGCAGGAGGTCAACGACCTCCGGACTCGGCCGTTGATGGGCAATTGTTTCCAAAATCTGCTTCCGCTCTTCTTCTGTAGCCCCTGTCACGGATATGCTTCGCGGGAGGTCAAAGGTCCATGTCTTTCTAGTTCCCCAGTTCAAAATTTCCCCTGCTAAGCGGCAGCACCCTTCAGGGCAAATACATTCCATGAACTTCAGTTCAAGGTTGGAAATGAGGAGGCGTTGACGAAGAAACGTCAAGGTCCGGCCAAAAAGATAGTCTTGCATGCTCTTAATGTCCTGGGCATGGGGAAGTATGGGAGTTATGTTTCGATCAATAAGCCCACAGCCAGCGGTATATGTCCTGGCCCCGAGTATGGAAGCTCGATACTTCAACAGATTCTTTGCCATTTTGTCCGTTTTTTTGTCGCCTTGTTTGTCCTGCCGTCTCAAGGCAATGCTTCCTGCAAGCAAATCATCGCAAAACGGACCACTGAGGTATTGGAAATCCCGGTGATGAAAGATTACTTCAATGCTGTGCATATGCCTTAGATGATCCCTTACACGGGGATATTCATTCGAAATATCCAAAAGAACGTCGGGATGTAGGATTGAAAAGGTATTCTCACGATAGAATACCAGGCAGGCTTCTTCATACACCTTCTTGCAGACAAGAAGGATTGCCATATTTGGGGGATTATGGGCGTGAAGTCTGCTCTGATCGTTTATATAATGGAATGAAACGAACGGGCGGACAAAGATCTTCCCTGGAGCAACTGCATATCTATAGATTTCCTTGCGAATATTCAGGGGAAATTGAAAGAAGTAGGCCCTTTGATGCTCCAGGCGCTCTGGTACAGAACTAGCACCATTTTATTAGTGGATATTGGTAGCAGTAGGGTAAGTCAAGGCTCACATTGCATTCTCAGTGATGTTTTCCTGGCCGGCATAAATACTTCCCTCATCCACGACAGACATGTCACTAGTCGTGTTTATACTGGCAGCAACCAGTGGCTTGAGGGACGATACCATCTCCAAGACTTAAACGCCAACGACTAGCAGCAAGAAGGTACCTTGGGAAAAGCTTGCTGTAAAAAAGCAGAAAAGTTCTTTCTAGCTAGGAGAAACGGGCAATCCTGAGTGCTTTGTTTATTGTGATGGAAGTTTCCAGCAGAGATTTCATGGTTGCTAGGAGACCGTGTGTTATTCAACTGCCATAAGTATATAAGGAGATCATAAACAAAGTATAGGGTCATGTTGAGTCAACACTGAATTGCAAAGAAACCTCCCATTTTTGCACTCCAGTGCCATACTCGCCTCCAAGACGCTGCTTGATCATATTGACTATCCGCTCCCTGAGAAGGGTAATCGCTTCCTCTGAGCCACTCACTCTCAGCTTGAGATTGGCCATACACAAGCCATAGTGGACTTGCCAGAAGCGCGCCTCCTCAACAGTTGTGACTGATGGGTGTGCGGCAATGTCCTTCATGACGGCAGAAACGCCAGGTCCTGCGTAAGACATGAGAAGCATAGAGCCTAGGTTCACCACTAGACGAATCCCCAGGGAACACATAGAAAAGGCTAGAGTAAAGGAAATAACCGGATCAAGCATCGAATAAAAGGAAACTGATATCAAAGGGAGTAAAAGAAGGAGAGTGGAGCACGATAGAGTAAGGAAATGAGCAGGGTTGCTGAGCAAGGACGGTAGTGCTTGTATATAGGTGACACGCATAGCCTTGCCAATTCGTCCATGATTTTTGAGCCCGATGGCTGAAATCAAAGTTGCAGCAATTGAAAGGAGTGCAGTTATATCAACGCTACCCGGAGTTACCCGTTCATGCTCATTATGGGGGTGTGCATGATGAGAGCCGCCAAGTACATGTTGCACGGTATGGGATATCAAATCGCCCCCCATGAAGAATAGAAGGACGGATAAAGCAAACCCAGCAACCACTTCGGCCCTTTCTAGCCCAAATGGATGCCGAATACTGGACCTTTTCCAGACTTCAAAATTTCCAAGGATATCTACCACAACGCACAGCATTGCCCCAAGAGAGTCGAAGAGCATTAAGTGTGAAAGGCCAGTCATGGCCATTGAACCGTGGGCACTCCATAGTGTATATCCTGCCACTGCCATATGGCACAAACTCCACCAAAATCGAGCCTTCTGATCTCGGGACATGCTCTTGCGGTATTCGACGAAAGTTGGAATCGGCAATGAATTTGGGAGTGCCAATGGAGCTCTCGGAGGCGGTTCAAGGAAGATCTGGTGAGACACACTGCTGTGCTTGTATTTGTGGCCCCGGCGCTGCCCAACGTTCTATAATAGATATCACCGTTAGCAAGGATAGCTATGCGGATTTCGGAGAATTTTAGGCACGCGTACTGATTTTAGAACCGGGGTCTTTGCAAGAGTCGTAGGCTTGAAATTGAACGGGCTTGGAACATCTAGACTTGGCCGCCTATACGAGTTCCATGATGCATCTATTAAAACAAGGTTGATAAGCACTCCGTATTCCTAGGCGCCCACTGATGGGAGACTATACCTGAGGACCCTGAAGGAAGGGTGTCTGTCAACGATGGGAGGGCAGCAGGCTCGAGAGATCCTTGCCTTTGGTATCCAATGGAAACGCTCCCGGCCGGAGAGGACGTGGTATTATCCGGCGGTGGACTAGGCGTCCGGGGAGGGAGTGGGATAGGGAGCCCTGAAGCCATGATAGCCAATTCAGATAAGCTGCCACTACGTATTCACGCCGGAAGGAAACAAACAGATCGCTGACTCTACTTGAAAAGCATTATATCCGTGTGAGTCGTGTGAGGGACAGCTGTCATGCAGTCATTGCGAGTCCATTATTGAACGGTGGGTTGGTGTTATGTGGCATATTATAGCAAGCGTCATGGAACGAAGTTGATCTTATCTCCTTTGGCGCTTGGCGATCTTGCCGCGGCTATTTTGGATTTAATCGCTGCCGCCTCCATTGCCCAACATCAACCGCAACGTTTCAAGCATCCGACCTTGGAGTAACGTCGCAAGAAGAAGGCCAACGGAGGCTCTAAGACAGGGAGCAGGACATGGATTTTAGACTTGAACGACCGGCCGGCTAAGCTTCCCGGCTGTCAGCCTCCATGGACGGGCGTCGTGGTGCCTTCATCTTCATCCTCCTCTTCTTCCTCTTCACGGCTCCAAACCCTCACCCGCCATCTTCGGTCTCCGTACGCGATTATAAACGTCGATTAGCAGACGAAGAGAGTGCTCTCACTTCATTGAACTCGTCAAGTTATGGAGATTTGGATCCCCAAGCTGGCCGATGGCTTTCCCTTGCCGGTATCAGGGCCACAGATGGCTATGCGTGGAACCTGCTTCCATCTGTCCAAGAAAAGGCTAGAAAGCGGTTACAAGTAGCTCTCAGTGCTTCTGGAACGTCAGATTCGGTATCTTCGAAAACGAATATCACCGATCTCTCCCTTCCCGTTTACCGCAATGTCTCGGGCAATGTTCGTGGTGAATGGGTTCGCTCTATGGAAACGGACAAGCTGAGCCGACCGGAACTCAACCTCACTACAATAATCACCGAGCATGAGTATTTCAGTCGAGAATTTGGCCACAATGTTACCGCTCCCAATGGCCGTGTTGTGTTGAATCTACACGAGGGCCAAGGACACAGCCTTGTTGGTGAGGATGGCAAAGGTGTTGAGGAGATCAAAGCGGAGATGCTTCTACAGACTGATATATCTCTTGGAGAGAGCTGGATAGTACCCCTATACGGTGTACACTTTCCAGCATCTGGGGGAATTATTCTTACTACTGCAAGCGAGAAGTACGCGGGTCTTGCATTGATACCCCATTTAGCTTTGTCGAATGACACGTTTGAACTCTCCCGTGAATTGCTTAACAACTCGCTCACTGAAGCTCTTTCGGAGAGGTCCAGTCATCTCAATACATTCCTGCCTTGGTCGTCTCTTTCCCAAGGAACTAATTCGGCATCTCTTCCAGCCCCTAACTGCGAATATGTTGTATACCTGCAGCAACATGTCCTACTATCCCTAGGAAAGCCCATCCCAGACCCCATTATAGAAGATATTGAGCAGGAACTCAGATTCCCCACAGGTGCACCTATCCCAAAGCCGTCACCACTGGTATTATCTGGTGTTATATTTTCCCCAGACTGTGGATTTGTTCTCGAAACTAAAGCGTCGCCAGAATACCCTCCTACAGACGAATTATACTTAATCGGGTTGAAACAAGAAGAATATAGTAAATATACCGGACGCTTTATCACACTAGTTGCTGGAATACTTGCCTCGCAGATACTGTTGTTGATGAAGCAGATGAAGGAGTCCTCGACGCCTTCAACTAGAAGCCGAGTTAGCTTCTATACCATTGCTATGATGTCAATGGGAGACGCGTTGTTTATGTCCTTTATGCTTATAGAGCTATACTCGGAGACCTCATTTTTGCTACTTACAGCTACCTCCTTCCTAGCATTCTTCGGCGTTAGCTTTCTGGGCATGAAATTTCAGATTGAAATCTGGCTGGTGCAAGCTCCGGAGCGAAGAGAACAGCAGCAACAACGACACCAAACTGTTGTCCACCCAACTCCATCAACCCTCCCACTACCGGTGACAGCACGACGGCCCACGGATACAGGTGCAACCCCAGTCACCCTCCCTCCAGATCAAGATGAAAACCCTGGGACTGCTGTGAACCCAACAACTCCTGACCAGAACGATGACACAGCTAATGCTGGAGCAATGTATTCACGGTTCTATTTCCTCCTTTTCAGCCTGTTATTTTTCTCATCCTGGGTACTCTTCTGGCCTAGTCGCCTCCGAACTATTTACGGCAATGTTTTGTCGTTTATATATCTCTCGTTCTGGACCCCGCAGATATACCGAAATATAATGCGCAATTGCCGCAAGGCTCTAAGATGGGAATTTGTCGTCGGACAAAGCCTCCTTCGTCTGTTCCCTTTCTTGTATTTCTACTTTATGCCCCAGAACGTCTTATTTATCCGGGCGGATGGTACCACAACTCTTTTACTCTCATTTTGGGTATGGATCCAGATTTGGAGCCTTGTCAGCCAGGATATCCTTGGGCCACGTTTCTTCGTTCCCAAAAGTTGGGTACCACCTGCGTACGATTACCATCCAATCCTGCGAGACACGTCTGCCTCTGGTTCTGCTGAGGACTTGGAGGCTGGAGACGCCTTACCGATATCTTCACTCCGTGCTGAGCAGAGTGAGCCGCCGTCAGGCTTGCGAGATGGAGGCAAGGAGGTAGACTCTCGCCAAAACAGGAGGGATTTTAGCTGTGCGATATGCATGCAGGATATTAATGTCCCAGTTGTTACTGGGAATGATCCTAGCGCGGGAACCAGTGTAACGACAGGTGCCACGCACCTATTCAGTCGACGTGCCTATATGGTAACTCCTTGCCGCCATATTTTCCACTCTCAATGTCTGGAAACGTGGATGCGGCTGAGGCTGCAATGCCCCATCTGTCGAGAGTCAATACCCCCAATTTGATCCCTTGCTCGTTCCTCCAACAAACACCATTGTACTATATATTTTTGGTTAGGTTCAAATACATACTTGAGTAGATGAAAATTTTCTGTATTTTTGATATCATTCCCACAGAAATGGTACAGTTTCTCGCCGGAATAGTAGGTGATCCAGACTGCATTTTCGTTTTGTGTGGGTATCATGACTTAAAACTGCAGCCGTTGAACATTTATGTCTGTTGAAGAGTATATATACACAACATCGTACGCAAAATGAGAGAAATAGGAATAGTTATGGCGCCACGACCATCCAGCAAACAACAGGGCGCCGAGCTTTTACCTTTGGTACATCCCTCTCAGTTTTATCATGAGTACACAGCTAGGGAATCAGGGCAGGGTCAGATCTAAGTATTCAGCCGCCCAGAAGGGGAAAAGACAGAGGATATGCGAACATCATTAGCACAATTTGTAGCTAATGATTAAGAAACATGAAATTTCAAAACAATCCCGGAGAAGGGCCAGAGTCACCCAAAGGTTTAGTCGGCTTCGTCCAAGGAGGCCTTATATGCCTCGATATCCATCAAACCATCCAGCTCACTAGCATCGGAAACCTCAATCTTAGCGAACCATCCATCTTCCTCAGGCGAGTCGTTGACAGTCTTTGGTTTCTCCTCCAGAACGGTGTTGACCTCGATGACTTTCCCGCTGGCGGGAGACATGATGTCTGAAGCAGACTTGACAGACTCGACAGCGCCAATGCCATCACCGCACGCAACCTCATCATCAACGCTTGGTAATTCGACGTAAACAACATCTCCGAGGGCTTTGGCAGCATATTCGGTGATACCAATTTTAGCTATCATATATTGTGTCAGCTATATCGTTATCAGTTTCCTCGACTTGAATGAAATCGTCCGGAATATCATTCTAGTAGAAGCTCCAGTACTTCTCAAGTACTTCAGAATAAAGAAGGGAAAAGTATACCAGTCTTGCCATCTTCCAAAAGATCTATCCACTCATGCTGTTCGGTGTATTTCTTTGCTTGAACTATTTAACCGGCAACCGAAGGTGTCAGCCCACGTTATATAATCCCGCCCCAATAGCTATCTGCAGCTCAATTGAACCCGGGCTAGCATGCAGATGATTGATTAGGCTATCAAATTGTACGTACGCGATGAACTCTGGGAGAATGGCCGTCTGATGTTTTGCTGAGCGGCATAGCGGAGAGCGGAAGAAGCTCGGAACCGGGGAACGCTGAGGGCGCTTCGGAGAGGAGCAATGAATCGGAGAGCGGTGGCAGCCATTGCGGAAGCTTCTAACGATTACACGGCTTCTTTCGACAACCAGAACAATATGCTAGACGGCGCAAGAAAAAAGAGCGATGCTGGAGTTCGTTTTGTGGTGGGGAGAAGAAGTTGACGGGAAACAGTTCGGTGAAGCTTCGGGAAAAAGGAAGAAAGCGAGGCCGCGGCGTATTCAGATTACAGCATTACGCCGATGTAAACACGTGATTTGTCTCCGGGGTCGGCGATATGTGGTCTATGATTGGTCACTTTAGTAATAATGGGTACCGTAACGATACCGCTTGAAAAAAAAAAAAAAGATTTGCTTTGCTTTCCAGCAGCGACCAAAGGTCATGTTATTGATATTGCATATTGATATCAACGACACGGCCACCGAGCAGAGATTGTCACGATGCTGTACGAATTAGTTGCAATTGTACGCATATCCCATGATGAAGCTATGATAGCGCAGGAATTGGTTGAATCAGCTTCCTAACTGGTCTCCTACAGGTCCGTCAGGGCAGTCTCCAAGAAGTCAAAGAGTAGGTGAACAACAGCTTCAACCCATCTTATATAAAATATAATGCTCTTCAAGATTTCTAATCACTGCATTATAGTATTGCCCGTACCCTTGGCCTCCAAGTAATCCGTTCCGGCGGTGTTGTTCGCGGATATACCAACTGGGGCCCGTTCACTCTCCCACGACCTACAACGAAACACCAGGTGAAGAACACCGTAGGCCATCACTTTATCATGCGTTTCGATGCCGCCGCTCCTGTGCAAAAGGAAATGCGACGAACACTTGGTCTTGATCCCCGAATGATACGATATTCAGTTGTGAAACTCGGCTCTACATTGAAAGAAGTCAAGAATGTTCCAGGTCGCATTGATTGGAACAACACGAAGATACAGGAAGAGACATTTGGAAACGAATACAGACCCTCGCCCTTAACCAGATAATGATGGGATAGTGTGCTGGACGAGGGGAAAAATAACGGAAAGGCAGATATCTGTCTTGGATCACATCTTTTTACAATGGTCTTGACGGCGTTCTGTACATCACTTCTTTTTTCGCGCCTCGGAGTGTGTTGAGCGGGAATATTTGCATGTATAATACTTGGGTTTATGGCATAGGGCTGGGATATGTTTATTGTTTGGGTGCTCACCATACATACATTAGCCTATGAATGGAAATTCTATGAAAAGAGTCAATAAACCACGCAACATTTTTCGAATGATACATTAGATATAGGGTTTGTATATACATAATGGAGAGGAATGGTAGAATAAACCAAACACTTCGCAAACCGGGTGAAAAAATGGGTCAGGCCAGATATATAGCTGGTGGCCCAAAGCCAATCCAATAATAACGCCGCCGAAGTCTTTGGTGTATTGGTATATCAAACAATAAGGGGAAAGGAAATCATCATAAAGGGACACGTATGGCTCAGGTCCTCATGGGAAATTGGGTACTTAGAATAGGCGCCAACTTCCCTTTACGCGTTCCTTCGTAGCAGCCGCTTGATTCGGATTGGATTTGCTGCGCCCTTCCAATTGCCGCAAGCTTTCAATCTTTTCCAAAACTAGTTCAAGCATCTCCTTCTTCTGAATCACGTCCAAGTGTCTTCTGATCCGCGGGTCTTCACGGGCGAATCGTTCTACCTCTGCTTCAGACAGGTGACGACCCAATCTTAGGTCAAGTTCCCGAGGGAAATGGTAGTAAAATTCGGATAGAAGCTCAACGTTGAGGAAAAGCACCGCTGTGGAAGTAAGCTTGTCGGCAACAACATCTAGGAACACCTCTGGGCAGTAATGTCGGTTCTTCTTGGAGGAACATTGTTTAGAGCGGACGGCGAGGAGCCGCATCTTCAGAATGTCAGCCCTATCACGTAGAAAGGCAGCATTTCGGGCTAAATTAAGCAAGTCAGTATACAAGTAATAAAAATAATTAAATCAAAGCTAACTCACCTTGCTCAATCAACGATGCACTGAACCCTCCAGCACCACCAGTATTATCACCCTCGATGTTGATATCCCCTTTTCGTGACTTATCCACAAATGACATGACATCCCTAAGTTTCCGCTTTCCCACTGCGTTTTCAACGTTTTTCAGTGCACTTTCGCATGCCTTTAACTCTTCTTTCAGACTTCTAGTCACATTTTCTCGCCCTTTAGACCACTCCATATCATCAACCTCTATCTCAAATTTGTAAGGTTTGATGCAATTCTCAACCTGGTCACTCGTACTAAAGAATCGATCGTTGAGTATGGTAGTGGAAGCCTCCTCAATGATTTTCCGCGCATAGGGATGTGCATTGAAAGTTGACGATGCTACCAAAGAATCGATATGGTTTTGCAATGAGTTTGCAACAATTGTCGTAGCCAGCCGGCCAATTCCTAACTTAGTAAGAGCTGATGAAGAAGCGTCAAGTTTTCGCCTCCAGTACAAGGAATCTGGGCTTGAGGTAGGTAGGCTGCTTAAAGGATCAACTTCTGGTAGAGCCAGTGAAATGTCCTCTATCGGCTTGTTCCAATACCTCTGAGCCAGGATATCTAAAACGCGCTGATCTAGCTGGGCTTTTAGCAACTCCCGAACTTGTGGCCGCCCGAACCCCTCGCTAAACTCCTTGAAGGAGCGCTTGAAGCTATCTAAGCTCTCGGCAAGGTATGATTCTGCACTTAGAGGCCTGTCATTGTATTGGACTTTAAACTCGTACGTAGCTTCTTCCAATTCTTGAGAAACCGCATCACGAGTCCCAGCAAGGTTAGACGCCATAGTTTGTTCTAGGGTTTGCATGAGCTTCTTTCGAAGGACACTTGTACCCACAAACAATTCGCTATCAGGGCCAAACTCCCGTGGATGTGCGTTAAAGTATGCATTTTCATTCTTCACTATCGCGTTTGAAATATTTCCGCTTCCACGAGAGAACAGGCCAGCGGATTGCGGGATGCGACTTATGATCCCAACATAGCCTAGGCGCAAAGGGTATTTCCTATCCGAGAGAATGCTAGCACCTCGTTCAGGGTCGACAAGATCCATTTTAGTGATGACTCCAATAGTTCTTTCGCCACGAGGGTCTACCCTCCGGCTGGCTCTTAGTGCTGTGGAATTGGCCAGATCAACATCTGCGGCGGAAATTGCTAGTATAATGTTGGGAGCCTGGATATACTTGTCACAAAGGTCGGAAATTTTTTGTTTCAATTCTTGAGGCTGACCGCGGCCAGCAACCTGAATATAACCAGGCAGATCAATCAGAGAAAGGTCAGGGACATGTGGAGAGTAAATTGAAAGTTGGATCGGCTCATCAATGACGCACTCCTTTTCTGGGACTGCAAGGTTTAGGTCAGTCAGGGTGCGTTGAATTTGACTAAAATCTGTTATCTTTCCTAATCCCAGAGCCGGAAATTCGCCATATTCGGCAGAAGAGTCAGGGGTATTGACCAGAGTAAGCTCTATAGGACGGCGAGTAACCATGTTGGATCCCTTTGGCAAGAATTCATGGCCAACGATGGCTTCCAGTACTGAGCTCTTGCCTGATGATTGTGATCCAATTACCACTATAGATGGCAATGTCAGCGTATTGGATTGGCCGACACGCTGTAGCATGTTTCGGATTTCAATCATTTTCCGGGTCAAGGTCATCATTTGCTCGTCCAGGGCCAGGGTAGCGGCGCTCCTGTTCTCCTGATCGGAATCAAATCCTAAGCTCGAGCCAGCGGCAGCACCGGCCATTGCTATTCCCGTGCTGCTCTTCTTTGGGGGCCCTCCTTCGCCACCGCTCCCACCGCCGCCCGAAGATCCTCCATGGCCGGAGGGAGCATATTCGTTCATTCGAAGAATTTTTTGCACCCATTCCGGTACTTGAATATTATCCTTTGTATTTTGGATGCCTTGTTGCGTCTGTTCCGCAATATCTCGAAGGCCCTGGAGCGCATCCAAGGCTACACCCCCTGCCGTTTCGCTGGCGGATTTTATCACATCGATTGCATAATTTCCGGCTTCTATACGGATGCAGAAGGTTAGGAAGTCTCGGGAAGGAAATGACAGGCGGTTACCCATATCACTTTACTTACGAGCTGCTTGATACTGGATATATGCAAGGCCTGCTATCATTGCGCCTCCAAACATGGCAGGTATGCGGGCAAGCTTCAGGGCAAGCTTGGGCAGGACGCGCGCAAAGGATATCGTCCTGACCGCCGGAACATTGTGAATAGCATTCGTTCCTAGCGGCCATGATCTCACACGTAAGTATGCGCTTCCCTGAGGATTGATGAGCCCCCCAGCTCTGGTGACGCCCAAGTACTGAAACTGGCGCGCAACCGTTCTGCCCGAGAGCAGCGTAGCGCTGCGGGAGAGTAGTCTCCCACTCATGGCGTCCGTCTCATAAGGTAACCTATAATGCACAACCGGTCACCGTGTGGCCAGCACTTCTGTCGCGGTGGTGTAATCGCACTGCTCACTGTTCATCGCATCAAGCGGTCCGTCATGAGTGACGCCAAAATTAACAATTCCAGGGATGGCGCTCGCCGCTTTTTCTTCATGACTAATATATGACTAAGTATGAGTAAAAGCAGCGATCTCCACGTGAGACAGTTCGCGCCTGCCCGAGTGGGGAAGGGGCAACCTTAACTCTCCCAGACGAACCTTTCCGCTTTCGGACACCCGGACGAACCACGGCGACCTCAGAATCTTGCCTGCTGGTGATACGACGACTCGTTCGATCCATGGGTCGGGAGTCTCGAGTTCTGGATGCTCATTCAAAGCCATGAATCTGGCAACGTATCGCTGCACTACCTTTACTCCGTACTTGAACTCTTCAAAGGATGATTCTCCTTTTACCACCAGTCGCGTTTGCCAACACATCCATCCTTTATAATACTCCGTATATGCGTTGGCACACAGTGTTTGGTCCCCCGACTGCACCCCCAAAGGGCTAACCAAGCTATAAATATTTGAAGACTTATTATAATTATTATTATACTCCGCATATTCTATTATTAGGGGATGTTGTTCTGGGAGGGCATACCAGATATGTCAGAACGATCTTCGACACTAGCGAAGTTTGTTCCTGCTCTCAATTGAGTCAATTCCCTTTCTTTTATTTTTAAAAGGGGCTTTGTGAGACTTGGAATTTGAACGAGTGGTTTAAATTCCGGACGATTTCCACCATTCCCCTCTGTTTATGAACGCCATCTGAATGCCATATTCAATATAGATCTGCCTCGCTCGGCTTATCTACCATCTCCCAACCAGAAAATATATCCTCAATTGCCCAACGTATAGCTATCAACAGCGATCAACCAAAATGAAGGTCCAATATCTTTTGACGTTCATGGCCATCGGTCTCTCCATGGCTCACAGAGGAAGACACATCAAACGGGATTCTGGATGTGTAAGCACTTCAACCAGAGGATAACGACGTGTACCAGGTGCTAATCAGAACCCATGTGTATATGCAGTCAACGATCTGCACCGCGGAATTCAAGCCCGTGTGCGGCCAGGGCAGCGATGGGACCTCCAAGACCTTTAGTAACTTATGTCAGCTAAAGGCTGCAAACTGCAACAAATCTTCTTCATCCTTTGTTTTGCTTCGCGAAGGGGAGTGCTAGTGTGGCTACACTCTGCTGTTAGAGGCGTATTGGAGAAGGATACCTGCCTGGACTATCATAGGTGAGCTAACTGCTTAGATTCCCCATGCTGCTTGCTGACTGGTGTAACTAAACATATGATTTGCGATTTGGCAAATAGAAAAGGGGTTGTTACACGACGAGCTTTGTATGGCGAGAACGGAAATGATATGGATAGCTTTTTATTATGAATGCTCCAACATCGGCCACCTAGCTACCTCCATAGCAATCCCCTAGATATCACACTACACAGCTCTATATAAATGAGGCCCAAAAGAGTAATGACCTGTTGCTGCTTTTTATGATTAGTAATTTATGACTCAGCTATTGAGCTCGATTACACGTGATTCTGCTTGCCTATTACGACATCCCTTCTTATCTTTTTTGACTGGCAAAAAGAAAAGTCGAAACGTCAAACATGAAACCGTTTTGAATTGCTTCCCAAGCTACGGAGTACGTTTCTCTAGATATAAATACACAGGCCTCGCTCGCTTTTGGTCGACCTTGCTTCTCAACAGACAAGCGTCGGCTGCCCTATCTGCCAGCTGGTCGAAGTTAATTGTCGAGACCTGTCACCCCTGCTTCGTTCAGCATCCACTGCGGAGACCTCGGTCGAGAAACGAAGCTCTAATTCCTCTCCTCGCTACTACGATTTTGGATTTGTCTTGCTATTAGCTTATGGTTATTGATATTGTTATAGAAAATGTGTCGATTCCTGGTATGACAACCGGTTTGCTGATAACTCCCCAAAAATAGCGGTCAGTTTCTAACTAATGCTGATGGTGCCCGGAATTGATAGGTATACAAGGGGAGAAATGACATCCTACTAAGCAAACTGATAACCGAACCCAGTCACTCTATTCTAACCCAATCTTATGACTGCCGATTGAGATTAGTGAGCCTGATCTTGCTCTTGTTTCCAACTTAATCGGATATGCTACTACCCAACGGCAAGAAAGATAACATGGTATATCTAACAAGTGCCTTTCTAGGACACACGGCGACCGGTAAATGGTGATGGATTCGGTGTTGGATTCTATACTTCTCCAGAACTTGGACCGGAACCTTGCATATTTACTTCGACCCTTCCCGCCTGGAATTGTGACAACCTTGAACGGATCGCATCCAAAACATGCTCGTCACTCGTGTTTGCACATGTACGGGCAACAACCGAGGGGTCTTTAGCAGAAAACAACTGTCATCCATTCCAGCACAATACTCTGATGTGGATGCACAATGGAAATCTTGGAGGATGGTACCATATAAAACGGCCCCTTGGCGACTCATTGGCTAACAAGTGGTATCTGGGCGTAAAAGGAGGAACTGACAGCGAATGGGCATTTGCTCTCTTCCTGGATTTGATGGAAAAGGAAGGAGTTGACCCCAGCTCAGCGCCAGAGGGAGGATTTGGTCCTGAATTGTTGAGAGGTGTGATGACCAAAACAATCCGGAAAATCAACGAATTTATTGCTGCCATTCCCAAGGAATATGCCATGACCGATCTCGAAGTGAGAAGTCTCCTCAACTTTGCGGTAACAGATGGACACTCTGTTATTTGCACCCGTTATGTGAGTAGCAAAACAGACGAAGCTGCTAGCTTGTACTTTTCGTCAGGCACCAAATGGAAAGAAGGCAAAGTCAAAGGTGATTTTAAGATGGAGAGACATGACAAGGGAGCCGACATTGTTCTAGTAGCCAGTGAACCGCTCACATTCGAAAGGCGTAAGTCTATGCCCCTTTTTCATGAGAGTGTGGCATTATCAATTCTAACCATGTTGGATTATAGATAACTGGGTTACTGTCCCGACAAATTCTATTCTCACCATCCACAAACAAAACGTGCTCATTCATCCTATCATAGACGAATTTTATGACGGGGATCCAAATCACGACAGATCTTCCGGGTTCGCAGTCTCGAAGGGGCTTGTAAGCAAAGCTCCCGGAACCACCGTTGCTCCTGAAGGCCAAGATGTTCCTAGACCTAATGGAGCGGCAAATACTGTCATAACTACTTGCGGAGCTAGAAGGGACATAGACAGCCTAACCCTGGAGATGCACCGGAATACTAATGGGGTCGCTCTCCCTTCCTAGTCAGTCATTCTGCAAATTATGCTCCATCGCATAGTTGATACCCCGTCGTTCCGCTCTCTTCCTTTGGCATCGTATTTCGTTTATCGAGGTATGATATTACTCTAGTTTGGATACCCATGTTGTTCTCATTTTATGGCGACTGCTGAAGATCTGGTTTCTTTTTATTTTTCATTCTTATATATTATCATTTCCCTTCCCCAGCAACTCCTAGGGTATATAGATCGATATAAAGTCAATTCGTGGATGTCATGTCCAGTTTTCCACATTTAACAACCAATGCAGCCAACCGTCCATGTCCCAATACCGTTAGAAAAATGCTCATCAATATAAAAGAAAAGATAAGATAATCATGGCATGGATATACGCCAAGGAAGGGTATATAGGGTGATGTAGTGCCTGCAGCTGATGCTCATGTATCGTCCCCTGAAATATTTGCATGTCGGAAATACTTCATACCCACCCAAGCAACTACCACCCAAACCCAAGCCATAACAGCTGTCAGGACGATCAAGGCAGGGTAATACCCTACAATTGGAAGGGTGGCATCATCCTCCAGCTCTGGTGGTGCATAGGGAGTCTCTCCTACATCCCACGCCCAGCTCCATACCCCAAGACAGCTGCCCATACCAACAACAAATACCAGCCAGGTGACTATCAGTATAATCCATCCCCACCACTCGGTCTCAGAGTAATCCCATACCTCTGAGGGGCTGGTGATTTCGGCAGTGTTTGAAGTGGCTAGTGGTGATCGGATACGCTGAGAAGACGAGCGTGAAATCTGCGCCATGGTGCTGGAATGTTTGAAGAACGAGTCTGAACTAGATGAAGCAGCCGTTTGTAGAGCGGATAGCGGCATACGTCGAGGAGGAAGCACTGGAGAGGCCGATATGCTGCTGTTGCTAGTTTTGCTCGACAGACGAGAGAGGTTCGAGGTATTCAGTCGCGGTAGCGAGAGTCCGTCTTCATCATCCGTTGTGCCATCATCTTGGACGGAGTTTGCTGCACTTGATTGTCCTACTTGCGCGGCATTCGAGAAGGAGCCACTGTTTGCCGGCGTGTGCTGCAATTGCTGTCCCTGCTGTTGTTGCTTCCACTGGTTCTGGTTCCAAGAGGAAGGAGAGGCAGAGGACGGACTTTCGTGATCCGCAGCAAGCGTACTCGAATGACTATATCGCCGGGGAGTAGACTCGCCATCGTCTAATGACGCTGAGAGCTGTCGTTGAAGCCGAGATAACTTCTTGCTGTCGTTTGTGACAACAGAGGCAGCTTCACGACCCGTTTCCCCATCCTTTTCAAGCTCCCCTTTCTCTCTGCTCTTATACTCCTCTATCTCCGCCGGCCCATCGTACTGGTCGAGAAATATCCCTGTGGCTCGCTTCAATGTTGTACCGCCACCAGCAAACCTCTCCTTCCCTTCCATCCGCAACATTCCCGTCCCAAGTAAAGCCGTCTTCCTCAACGAGCCTTTTCTTCTCCGCGTCTTCCTTCTTTGCTGGTTCAGGGCGCTGGCAATAGCTCTGTCTGGCACCTTTAACCTCTGCCCTCCGGTCTGCTGTCCTGTTGTCCGCATGTTATCAAGGCAACCACCGATCTCGTCCCCGTCTGCTTCCTCTTCGCCCTCGGCCTTGCCATGTGTATTTTTCGTAACGTTGGCGGAATTCATGCGCAAGAAAGTAAACCTCGACGGTAGTAAGCTCGGTAGTCCTGTGCTACCGGTACTGTTTCTCTTGTGATATGGAGGGTTGGCTGGCGCAAAGCTCCCCCCTAGTCGTGGCCCGGCAGCACGGTCGAGTCGCGTCTCTGCGTTCCCATCTCCCATGAAAGGGAGCAAGCGTAAGGGTAACACGTCTATAGAAGTAACAAGCAGGCTGTTGGTGAACTGGGAGGTATCTAGAGGGCCGTAGCGCGGTGTCGAATGCACGTCGTTGTCTTTCGCTGGCGAAATCTGTCTTTGCTTTAGTTAGTTCGATGAAATTGAGTTTGGTGGGGAGGACGATGGCAAGGCTTGGCAACGTTGCTTGTTTTTATTTTATTTTGATAGTGACCTTCGAGAGAAGGCAGACGGATGGATGGATAGAAATCTAAGCACGCATCTACTACGGGTTAGGAGAGGAGTAGCCGGTGGACATGTAAATATCTGGTATGGCCGATGAGAGTGGCTGAATGATAGACTGGGCTCGCCGGGTCTTGCCATTAGGTAGTATGTACACAATGCATAGCCGAGGAAGGATGGTGCTACATCTGGCACTATCAATCTGTATTTATGGAGCCCAGGAACAGAACAACGTAGTTATAGTAAATAGATAGTCCAAAGGAGACAATGCTTCAAAGATCTCTGCTTGCTGGGAAGGATGCACATTTTTATCATACCATATGATAGTCATCAAGTCATCACGATCATTAGCGTCCTCGAAAAAGGGGACGGGGAAGGAAAGGGGGTATCATAAGTAAAACTGATGACCGCTAATGAAAGAGACTCGTTTTTGCTTCACATTCTCACCTGATGAAGTAGAAACAGATAGATAGATAGGAGCGGGTAAAAGATGGATAAGATTCCCACGCATCCATATGACTGTATGAATGGAGGGATAATAAATGAACGAGCAGAAAACCCCAAGGAATCAAGTCAATTCAAACTGTGACGAATAGATATAAGAAGACAAATCGAAGTCGAGAAGTAAAAGCTAAGAAAAGCACAGGGTAGAAGTAGAAGAAGAGAGAAAGGTTGAGAAAAGAAAAAGATGGATAGACCTGAGAATCATGATCAGGCTGTTTGACCGGAAGAAAAACGACAGGGTAAGCAATGAGCCAGGGGGTTTAAACGCTTTTTTTTTTTTCAGTTCAACTTCAGGCATCAACCGCTGTTGGTTAGGATTGTTCAATGGCGGGAGAGGAGATTCAATATGGCAAAAAACGACAGAGGGCGAAAGAGAAAAGGAGGCATCAGTGGTAAAAAAAGGTCTCAGTCATCATAAAGGAAAGACAGGTGAAGTTCAAGACCAACGGAATGAGAGCGCTAAGAAATAAGGCCAACAAGAAAAAGGGCGGGGAGGGTAAAACGCAGAAGACAGGTGCATACGGTGAGGGAAAACCAAATGGGGATATTGGGGCAAAGGGGTATTCGTTGATTAGTAGCTTGGGACCGAGGGTTTCATTTCAGGAGACACACTGACAGGAGATGGATAAAACACAGGGGAAGCCAGCTGCAGGTATGGATAGAAGACGTGAAGTGAATATGGAATGAAAAAAAAACCCCAGCAAGAAATAAAAAAAAAACCTTACTTTGAGCATGAATACCAATGGCAATTTGGGAAGAATCGAACGTGGATGCAAAGGAGAAGAAGCTGATAAAAGAGAGGTGAAGAAGAGAGTTGATAAAAGAAGACAAGGAGAATGGGTAAATCAGACAATAGACCAAAAGTCGAAACAGGAAGATCCAAGCCAGGCAGTCAGTCAATGAATAAGAAAGAAAGGTTTTAACAGAAAGGTAAAAAAAGAAGGTGGAAAGAAGATAAACCAATCGAAAGAAAGAATAACAGAGCTGCCCGATAACCAAACCAAGAAGTTACGCTCAAGAATGATGATAATCGTAATAATGATCAGAAATCGGATGCAGGATAGGTCGAGTCTGTGTGGTATGCAATGCATCGAGGCATGGGGAGGGTGTGCGGGTCGGTAGGAAGCAAAGGGACAATAGTAGGAGCAACAGCTTAAGTCTGATAACCACCGAAACCGTTACCAAAGTTTCCACCAGCACCGCCAACACCAACGCCGTTGTTAGGTTGTTGAGCCCATCCGGCAGAAGGAGGGTTGGACTGGCCACGGCCGTAGCCGGCAGAGGCGGCACCAGGCCCTCCAGGGCCTCCTGGGCCTCCTGGACCTCCCTGCACAGGAACTTGGACTTGAGGGTAGCCCTGGGCTGGTGGCATCCCACCTGTGTGACGAATTAGCGTGCTTTGCTCTCAATAAAGGGGATTAAGTCGCACAACAGGCGACTAGCAGAACCCAAAGGGGGCAGGGATATGGGTGGCAATTTTAGGGTAAAGGTTTACCTTGAGGAGTCATTGGGCCACCCGGGCCGCCATATTGAGGGAAGTATGGCGAAGTACCAGAGTTGAAGGCCGGGTTTCCACTCTGCTGAGGCGAATATGCGTCAAATTGGCCGGTTGGCGGACGGTCCTTACCCCACTGAAGACGGGAGACCCACAAGGTTAGTACGGCGGGATGAAAGTTAAAGAAGAGCAGGAAGAAAGGAGAAAAGATATCGGAGTCAACATACGCTACACTTGAGAGGACGGCCGTTGACGTTGTAGCCGTTGAGCTGGCAGATGGCCATGGCAGCATTCTCGTGGGTATCCATCTTCACGAAAGCGAAGCCACGGTCGGCCTGGAAGCGGGTCTCAACAACGTAACCGAAGTTCTGGAACAATGGGATGAGGTCGTTCTGGGTAGTATAGGGGGTGAGGTTTCCGACGTAACAGGTGGTCTGCCATTGGGGAGTCTGCTGGACAACCATGTCGTAGCTCTGGACGCCGTGGGTAGGGAAATGGTGGTGGCCAAACGGAGTAGTAGGCGTCATGCCCATGGCAGCCATGGCTTGTTGTTGGGAGATGGAAGGTTGGCCCTTTTGGTTGGCCCAGTTGCAGCGGATAGCACGAGAACCAAGCCACTCGCCATCCATGGAACTGAGGGCCTTTTCAGCATCAGCTCTTTCACGGAAAGCAACGAACCCGTAGCCACGAGATCGACCAGTCTTCATGTCCCACATTACACGAGCCTCGGAGACTGAACCACAGGCAGAGAAAGCCTGAAGGAGAACCTCATCATTGACTTCGTTGCTCAGGTCACCGACAAAGATGTGGAAGTGGCTTGAGGTGTCTTCTTTGGAAGCGGTGTTGGACTGATAAGCCCAATTAACGCGGATTTCCTATAACCGATATTTAGCCCCAGGGCTAATTAACCGACTTTAAGAGGAATAGATAAACACATACTGATTGATGAACACGGCGGCCATTAAGAGTCTGCATCGCACGCTCTGCCGCACCAGGGTCATCATATTCTATGAAGCCATAGTTCAGGCCTTTGCTCTGGAACTGTGCGGGTGTCTAGGTTAGTGGAAAGTGAATTAGAAAGATAGCAAAAGTTTATAAACAAGTAAACAAACAATAACTAGAAGAAGAGCAGAAGTAATAAGGTTGAGATAAACATATAAGACAAAGAAGAGATATAGATCTGAGAGGTAAAGTAGTAAAAGGCGTTGACTCACATTCTTATCGGGGATGATCTTAACACTCTGGACATGGCCAGTGGTCTCAAAAATCTGTTTCAAGATGTCTTCTGTGACGCGAGGATCAAGGCCACCAACATAAAGCGCTCGCTTGTTGGGCTCCGGAGCAGAACGACGCACATAACCGCCAGCCGCGGTGGGCGACATCATGTTGCCTGACATGGGCGAGGTGATTGCCGTCGGAATCGGATTGGTGTTTTGCGGAATGACAACCGGCGGCAGCGGTGGCGGTGGCATGTGTGACGGGTTTGTCTGTCCATTTCCCTGGGAGTTGTCGAACTGCTGTTGCTGTCCCTGCTGTTGCTGCTGCTGCTGGCCTGGAGCACCGGCAGATGACTGATGGGGAGGGGGAGGAAGCGAAGTTGAAGTCGCTGGTGGGGCGTTGTCAGCCATTGCAAAGACGAAATGGCGAAGCTGGACGAAGTCGAAGAGATCGAAGGAACCTCTGGACGAGTGTGCCGGGCTGGAAGACTACGAGATGGGTCGACGAGCTGTATGTGTAGTTTTTTTTTTGGTGTTTAGGTTGGATGTTTGTGGTGTGTGGTTTTTGTGTTTGGTGTGTGTGGGAAAAGGCAGGCGGTTGAAGATGAGGCTGGAGCTAGCTAGCTACTCTTTGCGTTTGAGGCCGAGAGAGAGTGAGGTCTCCAAATAAAAGAGTGAGAAAGACGGGAGAAGAGACAAGCAGAACAAATAACCCCTGTTACTCTGGAAGGGCCCTCAAGTGCATCGAACGGCCACACTGGGGAAAGGAGAAGAGAAATATCTTAGTTATTGGACTCTTTTTTGATGCAGAAGGACGAGAAAAGAAGGCAGATAATACGCACAAAACGACGGTCTTTTCTGGGGTCCTTTTCTTTTTTGCTTCCCTGTCTGCTTTTTCTTTTCTTTTCTGCTTAAAATTGATCTGATCTAGCTGCGGGCGGGAGGAGAGATGGACGGGGCGAGTGGAAAAAAATAGACAGACAAGAAGAACCGGTTCAATGGCAGTGACTCGAGCCTGCTAGAAGACGGGCCGAGGAGATAGAGAGATGTAGAGAGAGCCCAGAGAGAGCAAAGGGAAGAGAAGAGAAGAGAGAGTTAAGAGAGATAGCAGGACTGAGAGAAAGAAGTAGGAGACGAAGCTACAGAAGGACAACACGCAGCTAGGAAACACGGAAACACGGAGGAACAAGGAGACGGGGCGGGCAAAGAAAAAGCAAGGAGAAGAGAGAGGAAGAGAGAAGAAGGAGATGAAGAGGCAGAGAGCGCTTCGTGGTGCGGGAGAAAGAGGAGGAGGAGAAGAAGAGAAGTTGAAGTTGAAGTTGAAGTTGACGGAGAAGAAATAAAAGGCGGCCTCTGCGCTGTTCGACGGTTGACTAAGCAGAGCGCCAACACGCTTCTTGCTACCGCTTGCGGAGTTGCTTACTTACACTTAACTTGTAGTTCCTCTCCGTCTCTCTCTCTCTCTCTCTCTCTGTGCAGCCTTCCGCCCTTCTCCCGCCGCTGCAGCTTCATTTACTCCTCCAGCTTCGGCCTTTTTTTCTGTTTCTGCTCGCCTAGGCCCCTACGGACTGCTGTTTCACTGGCTGAACGAACGACGTGCCAGGGCCAGAAAGAATGGGGGCACACAGTGACATGTTTTGACAGGCACCCGAGATGGTCATGTGACACGCTTTTTGCTGGTTCACGGCGACGCCCAAGAGACAGCAAAAGTTGACGTCGTCGATCCCCATTTCCCCTCTGCAGCGTCTGCTCGATGGACAACAGCTCCAGGATACCGCTCTGTGGCGTCGATTGTCTTTGCTGAGATATCCATTGTTGACACCTCCTGCGAACCGTCGTCGTTACCTACTATCCCCACCGGAACCAGCAAACCCGGGAGCTCCATCCCAGCATTATCAAAGCTTCTCCCTAGCTTCGTCCGGCACAAGGGGAGCCCTTCGCACGATTCTTATACCGCCTAGCAGACACCGGCCATCTCGGGAGGGACAGACGAGCTCGCAGAAGACACAGGCACTGTAGTTTGGTGGGCAAGTCTCAAGATGGTGGCCCGCAGACAGTCGTGTGAGGAGGCCCTGGTCGAGATGACGGCCATGGCCAACAAGACGGTACTCTTCGAGACACACACCCACACCCACATCCGAGAAGAACTGAAACATAGAGCTAACTCCGTCTAGATGGTGGCTACAGGGCGTTGGTTCCGTAATCCAGAGCGTTACCCAAACGAGCTGAAGCGTCATATTCCGGCAGCGCACGAGCAGTTCCAGCGGGCTCTTGACCGGCTGCAACAGGAAATCGTACATCTCCCCAACCCACTTTCTCTCCAATTCGGCCCCCTGTGTTATAAATCCATTCTAATAGTCCGCTTGGGTTAGTTTCTTGCCAAAGCTCTGCTGGAGATAGACTACCAGGATATCCGTGAGAAGAAGGCGGAGCTGAACAGAGCTCAACAAGGGGAAGCGGATGCTCCAGCAGCCATCCCAGCTACGTCCGATATTACAGATGCAGCGCCTATTCCGTCAACAGCTCCATCAGCGGTCCAGCCAACGAATGCACCAGTCATCGATGGACCTCTGCAACCGACTACACAGTCGCCGACTCTGACTTCCACATCCGCTCCCGCTCCCGTCACACGGCCAGCAGACACACAAGCACAGGCACAGCCTGCAGCATCATCACCTGCAATACCAGTTATGAATCCCTCTACAACATCACCATCTGTCACCACAGCGCCGGTGCAGGTGGCATTAACGACAACCACACAAGCAGCTCAACCTCCCGCCGTTGCAACCGAAGGCTTACCAGACCCTACCATCCCCGACACGTCGGCCAATGTACAGCCTATCACGGCCGAGCCCATGGCGCACACTCAGAGTAGTATCAGCCATGCCTCAGGCTCAATAGGTTCGCTTCTCCCAGGATTAGAAACTTACGCCAACGCCGGTGACGAGGCTATCTTGGACCTTCTGCCGTCAACCGGGCAGCCCAATGACCAAGCTAACGGCCAGTCCGGCACTCAACAGAACAACCAGAATAATGCAGAGAACAGAAATAATACTACGACAGAGAATCCCCGGCGTGATGTAGTGATGGACGACGTGCCTGAATCGAATTTTGATGACTTATTCGTCGGGTCTGGAGACTTTGGCGGCGACGCTGATGACTTGATAATGAATACTGCTGAGACAACGGAACTAGACGACTCATGGTTTCAGTAAATAGTTGCTCGGACAGTGTTCTGGTTGGTATGACTAACATCCGGAGGTGTTGTGGCCACAGTTCTCCATACATGAATAAACATGCCTTCCACTATGTATTATATCAACAATAAAACCAATTAAACAAAAGGAATCAACCCGAAAGCTATTCAAGCGCCCTTCAAGCGAACGTTCTCGTCGATCTATTATTACCCAGATATAGATCCTAGATACAACAGCCAATATGCCTCGGTTCAATATCGGCCAGAAAATCGTCTATCGTCCAGTCGGAGGTAAGTCGACCAGACAGGGTGCCATGATGGGCTAACCTGCATATTCCGAACTTCGCCGAATGCAAATCCTGCTTACAGCCTGGTACCATGGTCATTCATCAAAAGGTCATGACTGGTATACCCCCGACACTCTTGGTATTATCACCAACGTCCTCACCGAGGACGGCCGTCAGGCAGGTCGAAACGTCGCAGCTAGCAATGATGAGCCACGCTACGAGGTTCGTAAGCAAGCACATCCATATAACTACTTACTTACAGTATGTTATCCAAAAGAAAAACCAATCAACAGTTTTTCATTCATGCCGTCCCGTTCGCTCCCTTGCCCCTGCTCCCTTGCCACGGTTGTGACAGACATGACAACCCCGAGAGATCCGGCTAGGTACAGGGATGCAGCGTATTCAATTCCCTCTGCTGTTTCTTTTCTTTTCTTTTCTTTTTTCTTTTTTTTTTTTTTTGTGATCTTTTCTCCTCTTAAATTGTGCAGATGTATTCAATTTGCAAAACTTATGGATGCCTGATGACCCTTTTTAGGTCGAGAACTAGCAGGACGGGTAAATTGGCGAGTATCAAGGAGGAGAATATCATGCAGCCCTTGTATTTGTGACAAAAAAAGATCATCACGAGTACTCTGTAACGGAAAAAAGCTGTCTCCTCTGGCTATATTCAATATAGTTAATCCATTCATCAATAATAATGAAATAAAAAAAAACCGATCCATATCATTTCGAGTGAAGATGTTGAATGTTGCCTAATCAGGAGCATCACGGGACCGCTCCCTCTTTCGTCCCTTTTTCAACGTCGCGAGAAAGAAATGCAGGTCAACAGCTTGACAGCTTGACAGCTTTTATAAATTCTGCATCCCACGACGAGATGCCACGCAAGTGTAATCTGGGGAGCGAGCGTGCAGGGTCCGGAGAAAAGGAGGATGAAACCATGGAATCCCTCAGGCCAGGTCATGCAAAATGATCGATGCCGGCATTCAAACTCCAGCCAGTCAAGTTCGTGCCATTTCTTCCAACCGACAGCACTGATAGCTAACGTGAGACCTTGCAGCTCGAACAGAACGCGGTCCAAACTTATTATTATTGTCCGCGGAGGAGCCAGGTCTCACTTTGTTGACAAATCTTAAGGGCTTCGTCAACAAACAGAGCTTCCTTGCTGGTGTCCCCACAGACAAGAGGCAGAGAATAATAAAAGAGACCCAAGAAGACGGCTGCCCGACTGCACGATGACGCTGGAGCCCCTTCGCGTGTAGTTCGCAGCGCCAATTGGCCCGAATCCTTGTCAGAACCTGACTCTTTATATTTTGCTCACCTCCGTTCACAGGGAAAGATAAAATAACAGGCCTTTTCTATCGCCTTTTTCTGGCCCGAAAGTTGCCTCCAATTTCTTGTCATTCTTTATTTACATGATCTAGATTCCCGTCATTTGGAACAGCTGGACTCTGCAGAATACGGTCGACAGCTCCCTGTTCCATGGTTGCATCTAGAGATTAAACGGTTCTTCGCCGTCTAAGAAGGTTCCACTCGTTTGTCACCTCTCCTGGTCTTCCGTAGAAGGGTCGAATTCAAGGACAAGCTTAGTGTCTTGTGACAGCGCTTGGTGGCGGTACTGCTAATACACTTCCTTTATATAGTGTGCCTAAAACAACGCCTCCCCACCCTTGTTACTTCATCATCTTCCTCATTTCTTCCTCCTACATAGAGGCGCATCCGTTTCTCTCATTGCTGTACATAGCTCTTGGAGTTTGTTTCGGCGTACTTGTTGATTTACGGGAAGAGGTGTTGCTTGTTTGTTCGGCTCAAAGCACGGTATAACACTCAATTGGCCCTGACAAACCGAGGTACCTCCGAGATTTCTTCGCCGCAATAAACGCCAATCTAGAGCTACCCCTGCGGCGAATATTATAAACAACAAAACCAACGACACGATACGACAACACTACAAGCCGTCAAACTGGCGTCCTACCTACACCATGGAAAGCGATTCGTTCGCCGTTCCTTGATAATGAAGGAGAGCTCCAGAGATACAAGTCCTAGTCGGTGCTCCTCTACCAGCAGTAGGTCCCTGGGTGATCACTGGTCGCCTACTCGCATCGTCAGCAACACAATCACGGGCCCTTCTGAGGTGGAACGTACGTTCGAAGAGCATGCCAAACAGCTCGCAGATACCCCTCGGAGAGAGACATTCTCGCGTTCGTCCTCCTTGAAATCGTCGGAAAGCAACTCAGTCCCGGTACCGAACTCAGTCCTTCCATCATTCCCCCATGAGCGTATAGTAGCGTCTGGAAATGGTATCGTCGTCTTAATCGGGCTTGCTGAACCGGTACTCTACCTCGAACGGGTAGATAAAAGGGTGTCTTCAGACAAGAAGCGTGTGCTTACAGGCTCGTTACATCTTAAAATCACAAAGCCTACCAAAATCAAAAGGATAAGCCTCGGCTTCAAGGGTATAGCTAGGACGCTATGGCCTGAAGGTATGTGATACGAATTTGTACCAAAATCTAAGGTAGATATAGAAGTGTGCCCAACTAAGCTGAATGCAGGTATCCCCGGGAACAGGAAAAGAACAAGAGATACAGAGACCGTCATCAGCCTTAATTGGGCTTTCTTCGATGCTCATTCTCGCGCTGTTAGGAAGGGCTATGGTGCAAATCATATCAAATTCACTAGCTTGAGGGAGAAAGGGTCTGAAAATAGCCCTGTTGTCGACATATCCGGTTTGTTGGAATCATCTTCGTCGCTGCCAAAGGAGCTCAAAAGACTTTCGCTACACCACTCGCGGTCGAATAGCTTTGGAAAGGGGGATACAAATTTGATATCGGATATTATGGGCCAGAAAGGTTATAAGACGTTCCCACCAGGCGAATATATGTACAATTTTGAGATACCAATGGAGCATCGATACCCGGAAACCGTTAAATGGGATCACGCATCGGTAAAATACGAGCTTGAGGCTGTGGTCGAGCGCGCTGGCGCCTTTCGCCCGAATCTTATTGGCATCAAGGAAATACCCCTCATCCGCACTCCAGGCGATGACTGTTTAGAGCATGTTGAACCCATTGCAATCAGCAGAACGTGGGATAACAAGCTACACTATGATGTCGTTATAACGGGGAAGTCATTCCCCTTGGGTTCCAAGATACCAGTAGCTATCAAGTTTACGCCATTTGCTAAAGTTGGCTGCCACCGTATAAGTGTTTTCATAACGGAGAAGGTTCAACTGTGGGCTCATAATAGAAAAGCTCACCGAGTGGCTAGTGATAAGATGCTGCTACTCTTTGAGAAGAGAGCTGGTATGCCCAGCAAAAGTATCTATTCGGGAAGCACAATGCGTCTCTCTGGAGGAGGCGAGCAAATTGCATCCAATGGCGAAGATCTAGCAAGCGGTGCGCATAATTTCTTAGGAAACATCAGTCACGATGGTTTCAGCCCTGGCACAACAGAGATAGAGTGCGAGGTACAATTACCGAGCTGCCCAGCTATGAAGAAAATGACAGATCCCTCAATGAAACTTCATTGCGACGTGCAATATTCGAGCATTGAAATATCTCACTCCGTTAAGGTAAGCCAAGACCTCTTACGTCTAGAGATACAATTGCTGACTTATCAATAAATACAGATCGTCTTCCGCCTATCAAAATGGGATAATGGGTCACCTCAAAGAAGGCGCCAGTTCGACATCTCTATTGACTCGCCACTTTGTATAACGTCTTGCAAAGCGAATGCTTCAAATATCTATGTGCCTTCCTACAACTCACCGTCATCCTACTACACAGATGAATATGAGTGCGGCTGCCCAGATGCCGTAGCTCTGTCGCATGACGTGAATCTGAACCCTACGCTCTCCTTGCCGCCTTCATTTACAGACCAAGGCGTGCCATCCCCTACAACTACTAGCGAGTCAAATGATACTTCTCAAAGCGACGAACATCAAGACGAGAATAACCACTACAATGATCCACCAACCCGACCCGTCCACTTTTTGAGGGCTCCATCATTTAACCCTCCACCATTCGAGTCTGTTCCCCCTCCACCACCTCCTATTCTAAGCCCACCGCCTGAATATTCAACCATCTGTTCCGGCGAGTCAGGGAACAACGAAATTGTTGACTATTTTGCTCTCGCGCATGCGCGAGAGGGACAATACGATGATAACGTACGAGGAAGCGGGCGGGTCGATATACCGCTGACTCCTGGTGGAAGAGTCCACCGTAGTATGGATATCCCTAGGGAATGCTTGGCCAATGTTCCACCATTGCCAGGGCGGAATGCATAAATTTAATTTCATCTCTTTGTATTTATATTTGCCTATATTGACGATTTTTATGAGCGATGAGTTTTATTGTTCTGTACCAGGTATACTGTTGCCTGTTGCTTAAAGGCGAGGAGGTTCAGTACAAGATACCAGGACCGATTTATATTACAGTATAAGAAGTGGCGAGCCTATTTAGACCGTGGCTCTTCGAAATACCCATAATCTGAATTAAAGCAAGCAATTATTACATTTGGGGTGGTATGCTACCATTGCCACGAATATGTCTGAAATCTCTCACGATTTATTAGGCACGATAATGTGGTAGCTAGCGACAGTAAAATTTCGTCAGAGTCTAGTGTAGGTAAGTAACTGTAAACTTAGGAGTTGTTACTCTGAGCATATAGGTGTGTCTTCATTTAGAGTAGGTTTCAATACTGTTATGAGGCTCGATCAAAGTTTATAGCTTATTTTACCTTAGAAAGGTTGTTTTAGGATGAGTGCAACTTCAAGAAAGTTAGCAAAAGATGAGGTCCTGTTAAATAGAAGACCTGGTCTATATAACTATGTAGTTATAACTAAGAGCAAAAAGATAAACTTAAAAGTTGCGTTCAATATCGTTATAATTGATTAACTATCTACTACGAAGTCAGTATGTCACTTTTTTAGTCCATAGCTTTGGTTCGACGATTAACTATATACATTATTTACTAGACTTTATCCTAGCTCATGCCGATTCTGGGGTTGATGAGAAAGGCCTTGTCTACTCCATCTGCCATCCGCATATAACTCTTGGGGATCACGATGCACAGTTTCAGGCCCAAATGGCTCAAATGACTTGTCAGGATGTGATATATTACTTGGTTGGCCTTTATAACCCCGAGAAATAAAAGGAGACTGTTTAGCCCTCTGCCGTATAAGGAAGAAGACAGCTCCAGCAGTTAAACAAAACGGCACACCCAAGCCTATACCCAGCCCTAGGGCGAGATTTTTATTGGGTGATTTATCGTCTTCTTTTTGTGAGTGCTCTCCCTCGCTCGTATTACTGGGTAATGTAGTCCAGGACATAGAGGAACTCCCCGTAGTGCTTGCCAGAGTACTTGTCGGGGACATTGTAATGGATGCTCTTGGATCCGAGCCGAAATTGATATAGAACTGGCCGCTGAGGAATCCACCGCCTTGCTGCGCTTCCCTTGAGCCTTGAGCGTTGACTATGCGGAAGACAAACGGAATTGAGTGGTTTGTTGCGTCGGGATAGTTCACAGTCCAGTCATACCAAGTGGATGCCGTGTTTACTTCGAGCATAGTTAGTAAGTGGCTCTAGGCTCTCGTTAGGAGCTGAGAATAACTTACAGGCAATTCCAACGGGGCTATTAAAATCTCCTCCCTGGATCAGATAGAGATTCGTCGCTTCAAAGATTGAAGACCAGCTCACATTCAAACGAGATCCTTTGCTCACACACTGAGGAGATCCGTTTGGGTAGTAAAATTTTCCATCAGTATATTGCTCAGGCAAAGGAAGCTCCTCCAAGGGGCATTCGGCCAAAGCGTAACTGACTATCCAAGGGATTATAATGCTCCAGAGCGGTCGCATTGTGTCGAGCTTTCATTAAACAAGGGAGTTGTTGTGGGCGAAACGGGAGAGGCGAGAGGAGAAGGACATCATTACTGCACGGCCAACGGCTTGCAATATATCCGTGATTGCTGCGCCCTTTTTGAGTGCGGATCATCACACCTAGGATTAAATATAGCTATCACATACGGCGCATACAGCTGTAGGGATATCCAGCCTATCCCATATCTCTGGATGGGGCCTCGCTGTCGCTAAGTAGCCATATCACCTGGAGTTGCCCAACCATTTGCAAGGATTATATGCAACTACGGCGCGTAGAGCGATGGATATACCCAGGCTTTACTGTATGTCTCAACAGGGGTCCTGGGCGCTAAAGACGTCACTCGGTGATGGCTGGTCATTAAAAAGAGTTAGGATGCGCACTCGACTACCCGCTTTCATTTAAACGCAACGTCAAGTTCACATCAGCCCTCTCTCCATGGTACCCCTAAAGAGCGGAAGAAAACCTCTGCGCCGATGGATCTATCTCGCTTCTCCCTTTCTTAGCTTTCTTGTGGCAGGCTATCTGTTCCTGTCAAATTATCCTTTATACTATAAAGATAATGGGGCCCTTAATATTCCATCTTCACCGTCAGAAGAGATACCTCGGATAATAGCTGGCCTAGAAGACGTCCACGTTGTGTTAAAAACCGGTGCAACCGAAGCAGTAGCAAAAGTTCCCGTTCACTTTAACACTACCTTGCGATACGTCCCTCACTTCACTTTATTCTCTGACTATGAGGAGGATCTCGCTGGGTTTCATATTTATGATGTTCTGCGAAACGTCAATGCGGCGATCAAAGATAAGCATCCGGAATTTGAACTCTATAGGCGCCTTAGGGCTGCGGGTAGAGAAACTCTATCGAACACTGACCCATCGAACGACGTGAGCACACCTGCTGGGAAACCAAGCAACCCTGGCTGGATCTTGGACAAATGGAAGTTCCTCCCGATGATGCACGAAACTTTCCGCTTTCGAGATGATGCCAAATGGTATATCTTCATGGAGGCAGATACGTATATAGTCTGGAAGAATTTAGCAACCTGGCTCGAGAACTTCGACTCCAGTAAGCCATACTATCTTGGCAACCAGATGCAAATTGGAGATACTATATTTGCCCACGGAGGATCTGGCTTTGTACTGTCCCAAGTGGCTCTGAAACGTGTTGTCGAGTACCATTCTTCTCTGGTCAAGGAATGGGATACACTCACAGGTGAGCACTGGGCGGGTGATGAAATTCTTGGGAAGGCTTTAAATGACGCAGGCGTCGGCCTTCTTTGGTCCTGGCCGATGCTCCAAGGTTCGACGCCTTGGAATTTTGATCCCTTTTCGTCCAGCTATAATAAACTGCCCTGGTGCTATCCTCCAATAGCCTATCACCACATGGGCTCGGAGGATATTAGAGAGCTATGGGAATTTGAGGAGAGATGGTTTAAAGAGGTAAAGCTGCACCAAAAATATCAAACCTGAAAAAGTAAATGCTAACTAGAGCATTAGAATGGCAATTCAGCCCTCTTACTTCATCGCGATGTATTCCAGAAGCTTGCCCAACCTCGTTTTAATACCACGGGAGAAGATTGGGATAATGGCTCCCGAGATATCGCAGCTGGAGTTGAAACGGCAGCAGAATGCGAAAGACATTGCACCAAAGACCTAGAGTGTCTCCAGTATTCCTTTGGTGACAAAGTATGCCGTACGTCAAAAGTGGTTCGATGGGGCAGCCGTAAACCTAGAATCATTTCAGGTTGGATGTCGGATAAGATTGACGAAGCTGCGGCAAAGCTGGGTGCATGTAAACAGACGGATTGGATTCGTCCAGAATAGGTTGCACATCGCCAAATGGAACTGATATCCAGAGAATTATTAACGTTCAAGATATCATATTTTTATGTTCATCTCCTTCGTTTTTTTGAACTTAAGAAAAACAACATCACCAACACACTAAACTCACATCTGGAAACAGCAGAGAGCAACCACCGCCTATCGCAAAGTGAGTAAGTCCTCTCTATATATATTTCCTATACGATATTTACCCTGTAGCGCGAAATATATATATATATATATATATATATCAAAAAACGGACGGCTAACAAGCTCTACAGCGTTTTTTTAGGTTCCTCTGGCGTTTTTTTTAGTGAGATCGAAGTGATAGTATCAAAGTCTGCCACTACACCAAAAGGAATGAGCCCACTATAACAGTGGGCAGAGGTGAAGTTTTTGACAGATAGTTTTGTCAACATCGGTGAGTGTGAGGCCATCGCCAGACCCCCTTGATATATCGATTGAACGGTGGACTCGGTAACCGCGGTGATCGGGCCCTTGTTTGGATAATTTGCACAGCGGGGCCTGTTACCTAACTATCTGTAAGCTATTATCAAACCACACCGATGCTAACACTCGATAGTCAAACTTCACCATCGTCAACTCGGCAGATATCGGCCCTCTGCTACTTGTATCGGACGGACATGGTGTCGAACGGAGATGACAGCAGCACAAATCTATTTGGCGCAGACGTCGGTGGTGACATCTTCGATAGTGATGCTGAAGATACAGAGTAGATAGGTTTGTGGATGTCGTCACCAAAGCGAGGCTTAACTATATTGACACTGAATATAGGAGAGATCACCTTTGATGGCAGGGCGAGATTGAGCGGATTACTCCCAAGTTTCGTATCATTACGTATTATGGTGACAGCCGCGAAGTGCAACACGGTGTGAAAGGCCTCTTGGAGGCGACGATGGCTATCTTCGATGGCAATGACGATTGCAAAGATGTCATCATTTTAACAAGCCACCAGTCCTTCTATAGCCGTCGTGGGGAGAGTGAAAAGAAGGAGTGGCTTCGTACGCATGAAAACTGTGGACTGCGTGACGGGCGCTCCTGCAGATGTGACTTTGCAGGCCTATTTGACGATATGATCCTAGGATGAGGCTCACATTAAAAATTCTCGGAAGCTCGAGGGAATGTCACATGACCTGAGCTTCAGAGCACAATAGATTAGTAAATAAATACCTCGATATTTAGCTAAATACTTTATTTAGTATAGCTATTATTAAATAATAAATAATACTTATTTAGCTTAATATAGTAGTTATAAATTTAATATTACTATTATATTTAATCTTGGAAAAAGAGTAGTTTCCACGACTTTAAGCTTAATTTCGCGCTCACTTGGTTACGTAATACTCTACCACGTGATCTAGCGCTTAGAATCAGGTGACGTCAAGGGCGCGCGCCAAAATTTAGGGGATTTAGATGGGGATGGGATTCCACTTTCCATTCGGACCTCATGCTATGGACGATACGTTCTTCCTCTACCCTATTCGCCGTTGTGTTTTCTTCTCCACGCCCTATTTAATGCCCAAAGTTAACTACCCCTTTCTGACCACCGTCTGCGGGAGCCAACGCACC